ACCTTGAATCTGACAAGATGGAAGATACCGACGCCACCCCTGTGGCGGCTGCCAGCCTTGGACTTGCAACCTCAGAAGTCAGGCGTCACACTCACAGTATCACAAGTAGTCTGTCCTTCAATACAATTAAGCTGATGAATTATCATTATGCCGGATCCTTGTTTGCTGTGATCAGCACATCGGAGGTGGCTGCACCCAGTGTCCATCCCTGAGCTCTATGAGATGTATGAACTGCATCATCAAGGTTCACCTGTCTCTTCTGTGTCAGTTTTCAGAGCAGAATTGAAGAAGTGGCGGTCAGTTCTCAAGATTCGCCAAGTTGGTCAGCATGCAAGATGCATGACATGCAGCTTTACTCAATTTGAGAAATATACCCAAACATGACATCCTTTAAACTTTAAGCTATGATTTCATGGGGCTGTTTTGAATAGTAAAAACCCATTGGGCATTATCATTCGACAACAGGTGCATCCATCACAGTCTCCTGAGGCTCCAGGCTTTCGGAATGGCGTCGAGCCTGCAAAACGGCAGAGGACAGGCAGAAGGTCCAGAAGGCCAAGGCAGAGCATTTGGCTGGTGTCTTTGGGGATCGCTCTTGTGCAAGACGACTCATGCTCACATCTGAATCCAGTACCCGGGAAGATCTCAGGGTACCACCTGAGAAGAGTTGTCTTTACATCTCCATCGATGGAATGGACCAAGCAATTGGGCTGCATCCTAATCTCAACATTGCATTTACTACATAAGTGACCATGGTCTAAGTTTCGGGATGATAGTAACTCAATGCTGGCGAACCTTTTCTGAGGCGAAGTACAAGTGCCCCCGGAACTTGAGCAGTTCGAAGGAATTCTCGACGGCATTCCGTCCATCTCTTCATGTGGTTGGCTGTGTGGTGCACGGTGTCATCGAAATCTTTTTCATTTGTCATGCTGATGTTCAGAAAAGCAGCAACACCAACATCACGCTTTTGTGTCGCCATCTCAGACTGAGGGTTACCATGAAATTCTGTACATTATTATGATGCCCCATGGCTAAAATTAAAAAACATAATTCAATCACCCATGGTAATTATCAACCCACTCCCTTCCTTATGTCAGGCACTGCATCATTTGGCCTCCATCAGCTGAGACCCAGGTCGGGCCCTTGAAATCACCAAGGAGGTCCTGGCCAGGCGGCAGCTCAAGCTGCCGCACCATATCGCGATTCAGACTGATAATACCACGAGGGAGCAGCGGAACAGTTGGACAATGTTGTGGAGCGGATGGATGGTAGGCCAGAACATCGTGACTTCCCTCGAAGAATGCTATTATCGAGTAGGACACACACATAATGAGGTAGATCAACGGTTCTGGGTCATCAGTTCAGCTTTGAGCAAAGAGACAAGGCTGGAATGCCCAGAGGACATAAGTTGATTCAAACAAATGATGAAGATTCAAGTTTTAAAACCATAACAATTAATTCCTATGTCTACCATTCCTTTTGGAACCCTTCAGGATTTCAGGGACTGCATCGCCAAAATCCCTGGGGCAAATGGCAGAGAGCTTCGTTGCGAAATCGTGGATGATGTGTTGAATTGGCATCCATTTTTGGCACAAGCCAACACCCATCTGACCGGACACACCATCACTCAGGCCATGCAGTCCGTGAACCACGCCTTCCGGTTCATCAAGCGCAACGACCTGAAGCTGTACAAGGGCAGCGAATCTCGGCTTAATAGGACGTGACTCAGATTACAGTGGGTGGCGCATTTCACACTAACCATTAATGATGATACACTATAATAGGACTAGCAAGACTTTAGGTCTCATGAATCTGAACCAACAAGACCGGTTTATGGATCTCGCAGCTGCGTTAGTGTCCAAGTCTTTGAAGTGAAAACTTTGTTAGCTAGCATCTACGGAGCAATGCCATCATCCCTCGATCGTCTTGAAGGCTTCATAGTGATGCAGGCCTGTTTGTTTTGGATTGACATGGCAGATCCATCCACTCAGCAACAGTGTCAAGGTCTTAGGCTCGAGCGGCTCGAAAGATCACGAGAGTTGTGCCGAAACATCTGCAATGCAGTTGGCATCAAGCCTAGCACAGAGCTGTGTGCCAAGTGGTGGCAAATTATCACTGCTGTGCAGTTGATCCATAGTGGTACCGAACCCGACCAAGCTATCATTCCCTATGATGGCCTGGGGCCCTGCGAAAACAAACCTATCACCCATCTTTGCTCTTTACACTTTGTCCATCAAGAAGACTTCACAACAAGTTTAGAACTTGTGACGGAAATTTTTCCGGATGATGCGCAATTCAAAAAGGATCTAGTGTCAACTTTGACAGATCTCATGCATGTGGCATTCCTGCATGAGGCACATCAGGACCCACAAGCACACGGTCAAAGACCATTGTGATGACTAAGGCGACTAAGGTCGTTGAATTGGACCTAGAATTTTTGATCTTAGAGGGACCAACTTGGCTCTGCAGCAGAAAAAAGTCTAGATTCAGCAGTTTCATCTAATCAATCCGGAAGTTATTCACCACTACCCTTGCATTCAGAAGGAAGGGAATTGTCTTTTTGAATCAAACAATCGTTCCTTCAACCACTTCCAACAGGGATCACCACAGTGATTGTGCCTAGCCAAGGAACACTGGGAGGTCCAGGAGCTTCCTGGCATGACCGAAGGTGATGCTTCCCCGGATGATGTGCTGATGCTGGTCAAGGAGCACATGAACAAGACCTATCTTGCTCAGAAGCCCCTTGTGCTGATTCAACATTGTGACCTTCAAAGCATGCCACTCACAGGGCCGACTAGTCTCTTGCCTCGAAACCTTTTGCCTGAAAAGATGATCAAAGAGTACAGCAAGACCGCTACTTTGGTTGAAAACCCACCCTGGCACTTGAACCGTGCTGCAACTTACCTTCGTGAATGGGCATCAGCAAACATGGAGTCAGTCCAAAAAGATGCACCATCTTTTTCATTGGGAACGAAGTCAGAAACTGGCAGTGGTGAATCTGTTTTGGCTGAATATGACCGCTTGCAAGAGTTTGCACCTGACCCACCCAAGCAAATCAAAGTGGAAATGGGCCCCCCGCCTTTGGCTGATGCCAAGTCAAAGGCCAAGGCCAAGACGCCCAGGCCGAAGACCAGTCCTGCGCAGGCAAAAGCCAAGGGTTCAGTTCCGAAAGCCAAGGCTTCGCCTAAGGTGAAAGCCAAAGCTAAGGCGAAGGTAAAGGCAAAGGCAAAAGCAGCAACAGTCAGGAGGACTCTGAAACGACCAGCTGCAGCTCCACACATTGATGAGGATTCCCCTGAAGTTACTTGTATGAACTGACACTGAGACTTGTATTGAACAATAACTGATGCAATCGCCAAACATCTGAGGCAACGATTTGATCTCAATAATAGCTACTAACAGCCCCACATCCACCTTCTGGTCCTTGCTATGAAGCCAAGGCTGGCCCAGGTCCTGCTCGGCGATTACCAAGGGCACAAAGCAGCTTGGGTTGTTCAAAGTGCCGCTATGCCCAAAATGGATGTTCGCAGTGCCGTGACCGTTTCCAACGGTATATGCAAGGGCGTCATTCGGAGTGAGTAGCCTAAGCCTGTGATGATGGCAATTTTGATTAGATCTCTGACCCATCACTAACACAGTGAAGATCACCAATTTGTGCTAAGCACCGCGAGATTCCAGGACGGGCTGTGTGGACTTTGCAATCACTGTTTATTATTAGACTTGTCAAAAGTTATACTTTTCCACCAAAAAAAATCAGCGCTGTTTTGATAGAACATGGTTCAAAAGATGAACGCAAGCCTCCTGGATCTCAACCCAAATCATAGCACATGAAGGTGGATTTTGTACGTGTGTGGAAGGCAAAAGCTTAAAATTGGACATGACTGAGCAAAGCATGCCTTCTCAGTGGTTTGAAGTAGATTGCAATCGTAACATCCTAAATCATATTCCGAGTAATTGCTCAGAATGATTGCGCAGGTTGAAAGGCTAAGGTTGACTGCAAAAGAATCTATCGACGATGTATTTTTCAGAAGCATCATCACTCAATGTGGGCAACCTGTTTTAATTGGAAATTTAAAACGTACCATCATACAGTTTGATCAGGTTGCATGCCAAATGCTTCCTACCCATAATATTATTGCATTTCAAGACTGTAACTGTGTATATGTTGGGGAAACCTTTAGGGGCTGCAAAACAAACAGTAATGGTACGAACAAGCATATTGTCTACACATGCTATCAACGACAATAGGGTTTATCCGGCAACATTTTTGGGGTCGAACATTATGAAGAATTCAAGTTGAAAAGGTCGCCTGCCAAAAAGGATTGAGGTTCTGAAACCTTTAGGTGCCGATTTGTCAATTTTCCCTTTGGTTTGGCACTGCAAAAAGCCTCCCACAAGTTCCAAGGCCCACTGCTAAATATAAGGGTCTCTGAGGTGGATTTTCTGGGAACGTTTTTCAATGGCCAAATGTTTACCATCATGATGACCCTTTTCAAATTGTCTCGAGCCTTCTCAGCCTGAAGTACCCCGTGCGCTGTCCCTCTCCTGGCTACTCCGTGGAAGTATCAGGCCTCAGCGATGAGTCTGAATGGACTGGTTTTCAGATTCAATTTGTTGAAAATAAATGGAGCATCCACTCACCGACTGTACGCAACGTAGCTCGTAGCAGTTCCATATAATAAGTGAACATCCCAGATCCTCTACCTGCCAGGCAGGCCATGTCTAACACCGGTGACATCAACATGGTCCAGCTTCCAAGCGATGACTCGGGCGACGAGATTGAGCTTCCGAGCGACAATGACTCCGGTGACGGGGAGAGCTTGGCAATGGATGGCCCTCAGCATCATGCGCCTGCAGTGCCAGACATGTGGATGGAGAAGCTCAAATTCGAGGACTTGTACCAACAAGTTTTGCGAGGCAATGAACCATTCCAGCTACTCGCTGAAGTTTTCAGCCCCCCTCGTGTTACCAAGCGTGCTCAACACCATGGGCATGCGACCATGATGGCTTTTGACATTACTCACAATGGCTGGGACTGCATGGAGCCTACCATGAGAAAGCAACTTCGGGAAATCATTGCTAAAGTCCAGCCCAAGGTGCTGGTCCTCAGTCCCCCATGCACGATGTTCTCAGCGCTCACCAGGACTAAAATCAAAGCATATTGCTGATAGCAGTTAGTTCAAGCATTCTGTTTTATAAAAACATATTTGGGCACTACAAACTACATAATAGTAAAATCATGCTCATCAAGCCGTAACCCCGAGGATGTGGAACATGAAGCTTTGGAGTGAAGAGGAACAGGATGAGCGAATGCGGAAAGCCAAGTTAATGTTCAATTTTGCACTGGAGCTCTGTTTGCTCCAGAGCCGGAACGGCAGTGGTTTTGTGCTGGAAAACCCAGTAGCTGCTTCGAGCTGGCAGCTGCCACTAGTTCAACAAGGGTTGGCTGAATGGCCAGGCACACAGTTTGTATCTTTTGACCAATGCAGGTTGGGACTTTTGTCGCCGTTGGGGGGTCCAATCAAAAAGAGGACAAGGTTCCTCACCAACGTGCCTTCCGTTGTCCATCATTTTAATCAAATGCAATGCACGTGTGTTCGTCCGCACACAAGGGTGCAGGGATCCGAATCAGGCCAACGTCTAAGCACTTGGTCCCAATTCTATCCTGAGGGGATGTGTGACCTTTTGGTCCAAGCTTCTGAGGAAGCTTAATCTTAGGTGACCTGAGCCGATTTACCTACCAATCAGGCTTCAGAGTACAGTTTTGATGCGGTAAGCTTAAGATGATGGAGCAAGGCCAAAAACAAAGAGCTCAAATGAAAACATGTTTCACTGGAAACTCCATTGATCTATGAGCAAGCTCAGGCATGCACGGAGATGTGGTGAATTTTTTTTTTCACCATAAAAATCCATTGAGACATACAGCTCACCACAACTCAACTTTCATAAGATTAAGTTGTAGCAGTTGTGAATGGTTTGCACTTTAGCAAAGTTATGGCGAAAAAAAATTTTTCACCACATCTCAACACCAACCAAGGATGATGTTGAGTAGTACAGTTGTTCAATTTTTATTTTCTTGCAACTCAAACTGCACAATGGAATTTGAGATGATGTCGAACCATCAAACATGTTTTGGCCCTGAAACCTCACCACTTGCAGTCTATAACCCTTGACATCGCAGCAGCTTTTGGGATACTCAAATTGTCAAATTACTGTTGGTATCATCTCTCGTCATTTGCTTGTGGTCATGGAATTCGTTGACTCAGCAGTCGAACCATCTACCACCGGGAGTGGCCTCGCCACGTCAGCCTGGGATCTCGATGATGAGGCTGGCAGGGCCGATATCCATGAGGAAACCTTCGGCAAGACCATGAGGGATGCCATGCACAAGATGTTGAAAGAGTTTGGTGGGCCAGAGAACTACTTGCGAGCTAGGTTTGCTGAGCAACAGGAGCTCATTGAATGGCTCAACTACCTGGTGCATATGGTTCCGGTGGACTGCAGCCCATTCGACTTCTCGGAGAACTTGCCTCCAACCACGGTAGATACCTTGGAGCAGGCTAGTGTCTAGTTGTTGGCTGGGGTGAGGCCTCAACCCAAGAATATGTTTAACCTTCTCAATCTAACAGTATAATTGTGGATGGACAAAACCATGCACACCATTCACCACCTTGTTTTAGGTTCTTGGACGAATGGTATATCATTTATCACACAATTTGTCCATCAACAGTATTAAAAGGAATTAATCAATTCTAAAGTCAAAGACTGTACTATTTTTATTTGACAGCCAAATGAGATTCAGAAACAAAGATAACTGTCACAATGTGGAATCAAATTTCATTGCATGGATCTCCAACTTCGAGAGTCATGCAGCTTTAACCCAAAAAGATTGTTGGTGGCTGGCAAATACTGAAGCCGACAGATACCATTGTTATATACATGTGGACGTGTAAATTAAAAGGAAAGCTCCAAACAAATACATTTGCAATCTCATTTGGTTCGCGTGACAGGCTAAAACCTTCGTGATTCACCCGGCAATGTTCTCTTACGCGCCAGAAGCGTCGATCAAAGGGCCAGCAGAGAACGATGTTGTGGTTTTGATGATGGAAGAAATCCTCAAGGATGGCTTCATGACAGGCCACGACCCCTTACTTCTGGTTCAGTCTGCAGACTTGAGCAATGGCCATCCACAGGCGGGGTTTTAGACAGTTTCTAATTGTCATCATGTGAAATAAGTTTTCTTGTTGAAGGCTAACTATCCACAAGGCAAAACAAAAGTTTGAACCAAGCAGTTTAATTCTGTGATTACATTCTTAATATTAAGTGCTAACCCTCGTCAGTGTGAGGCAGTGTCTGCACCTTGGAGAACCCAGCCGGGCACGGCACTACCGTTTACACTGGGGTACTTCAAGGGCAAGACCCGAGTGGCCGTGCTGATGAGCATGCTGTCTTTGGCCAGGGATCTCAAGATTGACAGCTACTCCATGGTCCAATCCTCAATTTATTGAGAAATTGTTATGGGATTGAAACAAACCTTTTACAGTTTGGTTCATCGGACGAGGATACCAGCATGATGATTACTACCAATTCCATTTTTGAATCAGGATGTTCTGAACACACAGATCATCATTATCATAGTTGCTAATGTTCAAGACATGGTTCCCAACCAGACTCTTTATCATGTTCTGTTTGGAAAACGCAGGAGCAAAAACAAAGAACAGTCTTCCAATAATCCACCCGGTTTGACAAGCTGCAAGGCCCATCCGAAGCTTCTGGACAGCATCCGCAAGATCCATGCGGTTCGAGTCTGGGTGTCATCGAAACGTGATGAGATGTTGGGCAACTTCAAGCACAGTGTCAGGGGGTCGATTCGCAAAGCTCCCAATATCATGCCAGGGCCTTATCCCTACTTTAAGCTTGTTTTCAATTCTCAGACAGTTGGCATTGAATATTACAGATGATCAATTGTTGAATCTTCAAAAGACTTCTTTGATTCTACCACTGAATCAACAAACCTGAACTATCGAAGCGCTCCAAAAAAAAATGGTGTCCCAAAACGCCGGTTTGGTCATGGAAGGTTCTGGAAAGTAACATGCTGAATGAAACCCTGATGCATGTTACTGAGTACTTGGGTGACTACGATCAGCAACCTGATGCGTCATGAGCCGAACCTTGATGTTTCTCAATTGGCCGCTCTGCGTCAATAGATTTTGTCTGAAGATGTTTGTTTGTGCAAACCAAATGTCATAATCTCAGTCTAGTAAACTTGATTTTTTCCAAATATTGAAACCAACCTGGTTAAGAAATGAAAATGATTTCATCAGAATTCGACGACAGAGCCTTGAAACCATTTGGTCTTATTAGTAGGGCCTTCCATTTTGAATCTAATTTCTCCAGCCCCATGTGCCATTTCCCTGACTCTGAGGTGCGCGACAACAACCGCATGAACTCCAAGAACGGCCAGCTCCTTGGGATGAAGGCGCAATCGGTGAAAAACATCATGGAGCATTTCGACCAGGATGCTCGACAGGCTATCATTGACTACACTGTCAATGTTGGCCATGAAAACACCCCATGGACTGATGACAATTTGAGTTCGAAAAAATGCCTACCAGGTTTTCAGTTACTTGGCAAGTAACATCACTTTGGAAGCTATTCTGTGCAAAGGGTCGTCCAAAGTTGATGATCTCATCATATGATAAAGATGCAATAGTATATTGAACCATGTCGAAATTATAATTGCAAAAAACTATGTGGAGGAAGATGTTTCCCAAACCGGCTTCAAACAAATAGAGCTTTGAAAACGATGACGCCTGCATCATCTCAGGTTCAAATCCAATGCTGGGCCAATTTGGCAAGCACGCGGCAGAGTGACCAATGAAAGCAACCGAGTGATGGCAACTACACTGTGCTTAGTATGTCATGTGTTCTCTTGTAATTGGTTGAAATGTAACTGACTTGACTAGCTGCAACTAGTTAATGTTGTCCTGTTAGTGCTTTGTTGTTGCTGTTGCTGTTGCTGTTGCTGTTGTTGTTGTTGTTGCTGTTCTTGTTCTTACTCTTGTTCGTGTTGTGGATCTCACCATGTGTTTGCTTGGTGGTTTCTTAGTTAGGTTCTTGTTTGCTTGTTCATGTGTTTTTGTCGGTTCATGAATTTATGATCTGTTGCGTGCATGGCCCTTGTTCTTGCAATGATTGTCATGGTTATCACTGATTCGTGTGTTTGTTGTGGTTGCTCTTGTTGCCCCTGTTGTTCAGGCTGCTGCTTCTAAAGCTGCAAATTGTGTCTATTGTTATTCTGCTGTTACGTTCTCATTGTTGTTGCTTTTGTTGTCGGTGCGTGTGTGGTCGCTGTTGTTGCCGTTGCTGTTGCTGTTGTTGTTGCTGTTGTTGTTTTTACTGTTGTTTCCCTTCATTGTTCTCTCTGTTGCTATCCCTGTCAGTGTTGTTGCCAACAGTGTGATTGATGCGGTTGTTGTTTTGCTTGTCGTCGCTGGTGTCTTGTCACTGGTGATGGTTCTTCGGTTCTTGCCTGATTAAATTGATGGTGTGTTGTTTTTGTTATCTATACTCTGTGGTTCTATTTTTGCTGCTGTTGACGCTCGTTGCTTCTCTTGATGTTTGTTGTCATTATTGCTGTCTTCTTGGTGTGTGCTTGCCTTTGTCCCATGTTTATTTACTGCTTCAGAAGGTGCACAACAACTAAAATACACCCTATCTAAGCCATGTCTCAGGTGAACCACCAGATCAACAGCCACCGCAAGTTGCCCCGCAGTCTCCAAAAGAAGTATGACAAGAAGGAGATGGAAGCCTTGTCTGAGGAGGCTGCATTCGTAGTTGCGGTGAAGGCTGAGGTCCTGCAGCTGATGCCACTCTCTCCAGAGGCTTTGCATGCTGGATGGGTGGAACTCTATGAAAAGGCTGACCCTTCAGTGGTGTTGGAGGTTCAAAGTGCCATCATGAACAGAAATTGCAACAAGGTGACCGACATTGCCAGCTTGTGTAGATTGATGAACCATCATTCTTCTACGACCCCCTTACCATCCCGAGCAGTCACTGAAATGGAGAAACTAGAGTCCGAGACATTCAGTCTCAAAATGAAACAATTGGAGTATGACGTGCAAGCACTACGTGTAGCACGCGCAAAACGGTCATCCTGGGAGCTACAGGTACATCATGCCAAACTCCAATACCGAATCCAGGCATTTCAGGAATCCACGAAGGCTGCCTGCAACTTCATGTACGACGCGTGCAAGTTGGTCACATACCAGGCCTCGGATGATTTGATTCGGCAGATTTCTGCTTTCATCAGTGAGAAAACGAACCGACACAAGCTGGACGAGAGTGGAAATGTTTCTTGGATTCAAGTTTCAATGTGAAAAAGCTGTCCTGCTTACAGCATCCCGACTATCACCCAGACTCAACAAGCAAATCCAAACAGGTTTGATGATGTACTACGATATTTTGAATCCATAACCTTATATCCTCCAAGAAAACTCAATCTATGAATGAGATAGCGTTGTGATATTCCTAAATTGATAAGCCAGTTAAAAGTCGCATGCCTTAATTCAGGCTTGCTTGCTCTACCTCAACTGGACTGCGCCTAGTACGCAGAAGAACAATGCACGGGCGGCCCAAGCTGGGGCTGCTGCCTTTGTGTTGGGGCAGTCTGCCAAAAACGTGGGCCTCCTGCTATGTCCTGAGTTCACGTACCGCAAGAATGAGTTGTGGCTCCTGGAACATTCCATCACCAAACAACTTTGCACTACTGGACTTTCTCTGGACAAGTCTTTTACCTTGCAGTTTCAGAACAAGGCATGCCCTGTGTCGACTTTTCCCAAAAGATCAAGCAATAAGTTTCAATCAACCACAGCCCTACGCGATGCCTTGAGCAATGGCTTGGATAATCACAATGACTTAGTAGGTACATTGAATCAGCTCAAGTTTCATCCTGTCAACCAAGTTTCTGACTATGGTTAAGACCTGTTGTCATGATAGGTAGCTAATATATAATCAGGTCACATTCTATGATGTCACGATGGATTGGTTGAGTCATTCTCCGTTTCTGTCTTTAGCGCGCCCATGCCCCTGAGGTGGATGCTCGAGATCAGGTCAGACCTCTCAACTATCGAGGCCGTTTCCTAGAAGGCCTGAGTGCAAAGATGAAGGAGAAGGAATTCCTTTGGAGAAATGCGCCCCTTTGGAAAGATGGTCGAACCGATTTTGCAGTTCAGATGCATACCAAGGACATGGTTTCCATTGAATCTGTGCTTGAAGATGCCAACGGTGCTGCTATGGGCACCCCCGATGCTGAAGAATTTGGGTTCTCCGGCGCTCGCAAGGTGGAGCAAATCGGCCAGAACGCCTGCGAGAAGCTGTTGCAGGGCATGATGAAAGACCTTTCCATCACTGGCAGGTCTGGGGTCTTTATCATTGACTTGCATGTGTCTGTCGGCAACATGTTCGAGGCTTTCGCAGCTTTGAGGTCCTCATGGAATCTACCCACCTTCTACATTGGGTGCACTGATGACACTGAAACTGCCGAATGGTTCAATCTACACAAAAAGGTGCCTCGTTGCAATTTTTCGAACACATCGTTGCGTTTTCAGCTGAAATCAAAGAACCACAACACCTTTTTGAGGTTTAGTCAGGTGTGGTATTTGAAAAAAAGGTCCCTTCAACTTAGATCTTGAACATGGGCATAAACTAAGTTTGTTCAGGCATGCACTTCACCCCACCCCACTCAGGACTGGATCGCACGATTGCATATGGAAGGAGTCATTACTGTGCCTGGGTTCGCAAAGCTTTCGGATGAGTGCCCTTCAGACCTCTTGGAGAAAGAACCAGAACCACCTCGGCTCAACCTCATCCCAGTACGCAAAGATCTTTATCCAGCCATCCCGGATGCTATCCTGAAGGTCTGGTCAACCCTGTTGGTCGTTCCAGTTTGAAACCATACTCATTTATGTTAACCTGCCAGTGAAGCACCATGTAACAGATATCCTTGATTGAAACATGAGGCTATCTCAGTCATATGATTAAAAGAAGTTGTGATTACATCATCATTAAATGCGATGGATCCAAATTATTCACCTTCACACGGAGACTGTTGATGGACAATTTCCTGCACAAGGTGATCTATTTAAAATTCATGATATATATATATAACATATATATATATATGTACATACATATAATCACACACATATATATATATGTATATATATATATATATACGTATATATATATATACATATATTATAGAGGTATACCTATATGTATGCTAGATACATGTATGCATATCTACATATATATATATATACATGTATGTGTAAATAAAATATATACATATGAACATGCACAAATATTCAAACCCCTGCATATGTATGCTTACATATGCATATAGGGTTGCCCGATCGATGTTAGTATACATATCAATATAAGATTGCGCAGAAATTTGCCCATCAACAATTTGATCAAGTATTGATAGACTTACACCTTAGGTCAACACTTAGAACATCTTCCCAATGCTTCCAGGAGTATGGCAGCCACCCGGAGTTCGCCGGGACCTTCAGCAAGCTCCTGGATGAGATCGTTGAGGAGTTTGGGCCTGTGCCGGATGCCAAGGAATCCAATCAGAATGGTGGGGAGACCGACAATGGCAATGGGGAAACCAACACCGGAAAGGATGGAAAGGATGCCAATCGACCTATTCCAACCCCAAATGGCCGCAAAAGAAAGGGGAACTCCACTGAAGATTCCAACAAGAAGATCAAAATTGCTGGGGCCAAAATCAAAACCATTGAGGCGGTGGGTTCAACAGGTGCTTTGGTGGAGGCATCTTTGGTGAATTCCAAAGTCCAAGGTGTCAACTTGCACATCAAGTCTCAGAACAAAGTGTACATCTTCAACCAAGGGAACCAAGTGGCAGTTCTCAAGAATGGACTGATCCTATGTGGTTTTGGAAAGGGGAAATGGCGTTTGCAAAACGATGGGGCCAATGATTCCGAGTTCAACTCTAGCAAGGAAGTCCTCTACACTCTGGACAGCCCTGACAATTTGGCCCCTGGGATTCCACAATTTCATACCATTTGGTGCACTATGTTGTTTCTTCTGGAAGTTCACCCAGTCTTGACTGAATCCCGAACCAGAATGTGATAGTCCAATTATTTCACACAGCAATGCAGGCTTATTTCCAAAACAGAAGCTGTAGCAAGGCTGTAATATATATAAATAAATATATTTATCCCACATGAAGATATCTATTGAATCGTGGGCTATTGGGTATACCATATTTGTATTTACTTTCAAGTTCATATGTGGTATAAAAAAACCATTGGGTACCCCCGTTAGTGATGAATGGATGTCAGAGTGACCTTTCTTCTGAAGCAACCAGGTTCTCTACAATGGCCAGCTCCAGACCATCTACCAGGTGGTGGAAAGCGTGCGTCAGAAAGTTCCCACTGTCAAGGTTGCTTACCATTCAATGACTGAATCCCCCAAAGAAGGAAAACCTGGGAACTTCAGCCTCAAACGTACGAACAGCATCTGGTACAGCCCCCAAAGTGGAACCAATGTCACGACAGAAGAGGGCAAGGAAGGGGAGTCTCAACCTTCTACGGGGCAGCAATCAGCAGCAAAGTTGGTACCCAATATGATTTGGACTGGACACTCCACCCAAATCATTTTTTCCGTGAAGTACAGCCCTTCCAATGGCATTACCCCCATCCGGCCTCAAGTCGTACTGACCAATGAGATTGAGCTGAAGCCTGGTGAGTGCGCTGAACTGTTTTGACAAGTTGAAGGAGCTTTTAAAACGCTCCTTGGGGTTTTCATTTCATGGGTTCACTGAAAAAATCAATGAGCTTCAATCTTGTAGGTGTGTTGGACACCAGTGCTGATATATGGGATCAACCTGGATATCAGTCTTAGCTTTTGCGGAAATCGGGTTGGGAATGACCTTGTGGACCATTTTGGGCCATAAACCAAATTCAAACAAACCAAAATACATATCATAGGGGTCACAGTTCTACCCTAGAAATGTCACATAGCTGCAAGGCCAATTGCTTGATTTTCCAATCATGCAATGCTGATTGCAAATTGTATTTTTGGATGCATTCATTCTGGTTTTGTGTGTTGAAAATTGGTGACCTCATCAATGAAGAAAGATTAGCAATTACTATCAAGAGACAAACAGTTGATATGAACCAGCTACTCAGCCCATCTCAGTCCCACATCTGTAGGCATTCCCTCCGCACCTCAACAAACCTTCGGTCATTGCCATGACCAGTTCGCGGCAGGAAAATGGAAATTGATGCGTCCTGTTGATAGGAACTTGGTTTTTCATTTCCATGATCTTAATATGGATCTTGATTGGATCTTGGTTAATAATAATAAATAAAAAACATTGTTTTAACTTAGACTGATGGATCTTGGTTTTGGAATTCAAAGACCGTGTGAACTGTGAATTTGATGTCAATTTGCAACCCCCGCGCACCGCCCAGGCCACAATTAATCCGGTGAGCGGCACGCAAGGCAGTGGACCTGTGTCGCCTGACCCACTATCGGTTGGTGGATATTCCAGAACAAATATTAGTAGCAAACAGTATTTCAGCAATTGCTGGATTTTCTCTTTCTAGACTTTGGATCATTTAAGCAACAGTGAGGAAAAATCACCATTGTATATGCATAAACTAAATTGATGGTGAAACCTCAGGCATTTGGGTCCGTCAGAGCACACGTCATCAATGCTTGAACCTTGGTTTGAACGTCTAATCTTAGCACCAAGATTTATTCATTTCATTGGGTCTGCTACTCAAGATCCTGTTGCGATCATAGCCATTTATCGAAAGCTGGGTCAACAGAAAGGATATATGTTTCTAACACGTACCGATGTTCAAACCAGCCAAGTAGCATCAAACGGTGCCAATTTCAAGTGTCGGCAGCTAGCTGGGGGTTGTCTAGCAGATGGTCAAAACCTTAGAAAACACTAAAATGTTGTTAAAACAAACTTCGAAAACTCAAGACCATTTTGTTAATTGGAACGTCCTCAGCTGGCACCGACTTTCAACGAACAAAAAGGGCAGTAGGCCCAGGATGGATCTATCTTTCCACTGCAGCCGTGGCAAAAAGACACAGCAGGCTTCACATCTTGTGCAGCCGTGTTCAACTGGTTCGCCGTGTTCAACTGGTTCATGATAGGCGCGAACACCTCTAAAACAGTTTGTCTCTGACGTTTTGGTTTGGGCACGTCGTAGACTGAATCTAACGTTCTAGTTGACGTTCCAGTTAATACTGAAACAACCGATGTACTAACACGTTGTTCCTTCATTAAGGTGACAGCTGTTTTTTTCCAAGTATGAGTACCGATTTTGGATAAGTCAACATCATCAAATTGATGACTTTGTGTCAACCTGTGCGCTGCAGCTCGCTGTTGCTGCAAGATTTGGGAAGCTCGGTGAATTTGTTTCAGAAAAGCGCGTTCAGAAACTGGTTTGTCCACAGTAGGCAAATTTTTTCCATTTCCAGACTTACCACAAAACAAGAACTGTTTTCCTTGCTTCATGATGGCATCAACTAAATTTTGCTCTTCAAAGGGCCACTGAGCTTTTTCAGAAGTCAATGGCTGTTTGGAAATCCATCCCCACAACATGTCAGCAAACATTGGGTGTAATGGAACAATTCGAGAACGTGTTTTACCATTAACATCATCGGGGATAACCACTTGAGCCAAACCTTGGGCATCCTGTCTTAAAGAAGAAAACCAATCAGTAGTGGCCTGCCTAGCACAATCACAGCGGTCCCCTAAGGACATTTGAAGTAGCATCAAAACTCCAGCCCATGGCGCGTGGCATTGCCACACTAGTGTGTTAAAAAATAAGCAAACTTGCTCTATGCTCAACGCTTCTCTACCGCCCCGGAGTGTCTTGCACTTCTTCGCGCATGATCTCAAATGGTTTTGGCAGCAAAAACGAATCATTTTGATGTGTTTTCGCATTGACCGGCAAACCTTCAGGTTGGCCTCTGCCACTTTCATCTGAAATGGTTTGTTTTTGCAATCTTTTCCTGTCTTGCATCTCAAGTACCCACATTTGAGTTTCACTTTGCTGTTCTTGGCCCTGGATGGCCCTCGTCGAGGAAATTCTAGGTCTTGACTCTTCTTCCCCATGGCCGGCAGCTGTCACAGCACTTGGCCACAAAAAACATTGATCCAACTTTGCTTTTGAGAAAAAATGGTTCAAAAATGATTTCTTGCATTCACCTTTCCCTCAGCAAATGGCTACAGCTGCTGCTCCCTGCTCCATGCATGCTGCTCACCCAACCCCATGCTGCAATCAATCCCAGACTTCTTGGTTTCAACATGCTGCCTGCAAACAAGACTTCTGCCGCGCAAAACACTGCAAAAACCGTGCAAAGAACGCCCCAAAAACCAGAAAACAGACTTTTGGTGGTTCCTCACCGCGCGAAACAAGACTTTTACCCGAAACCCCTGCAAAAATGGGGCCAAGACCGGTTCCGAAATGCGGTTCTGAAATAAGGGTGGAAACAGAACCGGTGGTCAAACAACCTTTGTGGAACGCAGAAAAGGGAAGAGAAAGGTGCCCACACCAAAAACAAAAACAAGACTTCCCTAACAACGCAAACCACCACCACCACCACCAGCACCACCACCGCCATGCAAAGATTCTGGATCTTTCACCAGTGCAACTAACAGTAGACAAATCAGTATCTACAGTCTGCAGTTCACTCAGACCTTTTCACAGTGTGGCGTCTTGAGCCAACAGTGAGTTGGCAGACACAGTCAGATCAATCAGTACGATCATGGAGTGCGCAGTGGGTCAGTGTATGCATCTTAACACACCACCACCAACAAACAAACAAACAAACAAACCAAGAAACCAACAAACCAAGAAACCAACAAACCCACCACCACCACAAACATAAAACCGCCACCAGCACCACCACAACGAACCCACCACCAGAAGCCCACCACCACGAACCCACCACCAGAAGCCCACCACCACAAACCCACCACCACAGACCCCAAACCCGCTGCCGCAAGCCCACCACCACAAACCAGCGACCCATCCCAAATTCAAACCCAAAGATGCAAACCCCAAACACCAAACCCGAAACCCAATGCCCCAACCAGAACCCCAACCAACCGACCAGCACGACCTCCACAACAACAAACCACAACAACAACCACAAGAACAACCACAACCACAACAGCAATCACAACAGCAAACACAAGCACAAAGACAACCACAACAACAACACACAAGAAACAAAGCAGGAGCCAGACCAGAGAAGAGCACAGCCCAACAAGTTCAAGCAAAAACAAGCACACACGGACATCAGGACAGCGAGGTCAAGCTCAAAAGCCACTGGCTCCACACAAAGCCGAAAGCAATCAAGGGAGCTATGTACATGCCACTGCCAATGAGGCAGCAGCGACCTCTGCATGTAAGCACACCTGCACCAACTTTGGGTGAAGATGCACCAAACACACAGAGCCCAAAACAAAAAAACAAACCCCATAAACAAAAAAAACTCTTTTCTGGGATAGTCTGGAGCACATGCGCGCAAAGCACGGGCGCGCAGCAGACTACAGGCATCTACCGGCGACATGCGCGCAGATGACGGGCGCGCATTCATGCGCGCAAGGGTACAGCGCGCATCTGCGGATAGATGCTTGACGCATCTTGACTTAGTCTGGGCTAGTCTAGGGCACTTGTGCGCGCAAATCAGGGGCGCGCAGCAGACTACAGGCATCTACTCGCCACATGCGCGCGCACGACGCCGCGCATACATGCGCGTAGATACATGACGCACAGGCAGTCTGGGATAGTCTGGAGCACATGCGCGCAAAGCACGGGCGCGCAGCAGACTGCAGGCATCTACCGGCGACATGCGCGCACATGACGGGCGCGCATTCAAGCGCGCAAGGGTACGCCGCGCATCTGTGCGTAGATATTTGACGCGCAGACAGGGTCTGGGATAGTCTAGTAGTAGTAGTAGTAGTAGTAGTAGTAGTAGTAGTAGTAGTAGGAGTAGTAGTAGTAGTAGTAGCAGTAGCAGTAGTAGCAGTAGTAGTAGTAGTAGTAGGAGCAGCAGCTGCCACTCACTCACCCACGCACTCGCTCACTCACTCAATCTCACTCACCCACTCGCTCACTTATTGACAAACCCAGTAACACATTCAACCATCTTGATTTGTGAACAAAGCAGCGGCTGCTCTATGCTGCTCTCGCTTCATCAACTTGGGGCGCCCAATATCAATTCCTGGAGCCTGAACATCCACTTTAAAGATCTTTAAAGTGACCGAAAGCCAAGGTTGAGTCAGAATTGGTCTTTCATAAAAACATTGAAAAAGTGGCCCTTTGAATTGTTTTGAAATGCATATGCGGAATCGTTTTCGATTGTTGCGCAAACTCTGTTGGAAAGGTGATGTATGGTAATGTGCTTCGTTATTCATCGTTGTTCGAACTTTGCAGTTCTAGAGAGACATCCACTTTTCTACCAGAAGCATGCACTTTTCATAGAAGAAACCTTCACTTTTTCCCAAGCATAACACCTGCTTTAAGGTGGTCGTTTAAGGTTCCAAGATGACATCTTGGGGAACATCTTGACAATGGATGGCGACGGGGAAAAAGAAATTGAAGCATCGCAGCGGGAGAGCGTGGGGCATTTTCAGTCAGCTGAAAGGTTGGTTTCACTTAATTTCTACTGTAAAGTTCATTACATAATGTGCATCAAAATATGCAGATGGAATATATTTGGTGGTGTGCCAGCCTTGTTGGCTACCATTGGTGTGCCAGCCTTGTTGGCTACCATTTACATGTATATATATATATATGCATATATATATATTATTATTATTATTATTATTATTATTATATATTTATATAATACTTCTACAAATGCAGAAATGTACGAGAGGGGGGGGGGTCCCCCCCCCCACAATCAGGAGGGATGTTTTGGTTTTTTAATTGCCCAAACCTTTTTGTTTTCCTTCAAAAACCCTGAGCCAATTTGCCAAGTTTTATAGCCATGTACCATATATGCAGGGTCCTCGGACATGGACTATCTGACTCGGTTGCCTTTTGGTCCTTGCAGCGCTACATGTGGCAAATGCATTTGTCAAATATGTAGGGGTTGTAGACTAAAACAACTTTCCAGTACCAAGTGAAGAGTATGGACAGAATTATCACCCCCTAAACGGATGGTTTATGAAAAAAAACATGCCTCAAGAACGGTCAATGATCAACCCCCAGAAATATCACCCCCTTTAAGTTGCAGTATTGTGGGCCCATAAAGGTACCTCACTTCCGACCCATAGGCTGATCGGCTGATACCTGAGCGAGAGGATGAAGTGGGGATCCCAACACATGCCAACATCAAGTGTAGGTATCAAGTTGGGGTGGTGGTAGTGGTGCTGCTGCTGATGATATCGTCATCGTCAGCATCAGCATCATCATCATCATCATCATCATCATGATCATGATCATCCTCCTCATCATCATGATCATCATCATCATCATCACCATCATCATCATCATCGTCATCATCGTCATCATCATCATTGCCACCATCAACATCACCATCAACATTACCATCAACATTACCACCACGATTAACCCTCACCATCATCACCATCATCACGCTCATGGCCATGATGATCATGATGATCATGCTGATCATGATGATCATGGTGAGGAGGACGAGAATGACCTCTGACAGGTCAAACTTTGGCCAAAAAAGGGTTTAGACTGGAGTATACGTGTGTTTCTCACGGCCCAGCTAAATTTGACCCATGTGAATTCCCCGGCCCAAAACAATACAAAAATTGGAGACCCTCAGAAATACGATGGAAAAGCGCGATACATAATTACTTGAGAGCAATGACCTACAAGGTTCAAGTTTCATGCAGAAACCTCTACATGAAAATGTGTCGCAAACAATGGAACACGATATGGTGAACTACTTAAAGCGATAGTAGCGTGATTTGATGGTGAAATTGAAGGTGAAGGGGTTGTTGTTTTTCGCAGCCATTTGGGATTGTATGATGTGAATCCAGGGGCTCCCAAAAGGCCTAGAGTATGTGCTTTTGACCACAGAATTTGCTGGCTCTGGAAAGCAGAGGCTGCGCATGAGAAATAATCTTTCACATGTTTCCTGATTCTACCAGATGAAATCAGCGATCACCAAATCGACAGCGTAGCGATTACCAAAAATTAATTACCAAAAGTGGCCGGGCAACCAGAGACCCAACCCATTCCCGGAGTGGCGCGCTTCAATATTGCGTCGCGTCTTGAAACATCTACTTTGTGTGGGCCAGCCTGGCCTTCAATCCTGCTGCTTTGATCTATATATATATATATATATAATGATCCAATGAGATGAGCAGAATCTCTAGAGGCAGAAGGTGCGCAACAGGCCGTTCTCAGGCAAAATCCTGCCGCCCTTTGAAGAAAAACAGTGGTCAACAGATTGCTGACCATGAAGTGCCCCTAGTGTTAATGTGGAGATGAATTGAAATGGGTCTCCCAATCAACAGAGGTTGTTCGACATGTTACAAAACCATGCATGTATACAATGTAAAGCGATGTAGCGAACGAACTACAGCAATAATTTTTGCTCATGACCGCCTTTGTAACCCTTAGTTTTGGTCTATATGTAAGATTTCATTGGATTTCCCAAACTTGTCTACAGGGAACGGTCACAGGAAAACAATGGAAAACAAACACATGTTTGGTGATGTAAACACAATGCTTTTCTCTCAAAGTTCTTTCAAGCCAATTATTTTTTACCAGTAGTACCGCGCACGGCGGTGGTGGAAGTTTCAGAAATAGGAAACCTATAGGAGAGGTTGGTTGTTTTGAATCACAGATGGTAGAGCGAACCCACTGATGGACCGAAATGGTTGGAGTTGTGTTTTTTGGAGTGATTGCGATGGTTGCAGTGGTCACCTCACCACAACTGCTGGATGTATCTATCTATGTATCTATCCATTTAACTATCTATCTATCTGCAAGCTTGTAAACGAAGCTGTTCTGCGAGACTGTCTCAGTTTTTGAACATGACAACATCAAAAACGATGCAATTCTGCGCCCTGACCTCCTAACATCTCTGACGAACATGTCTCTTGTACTGCACCTGCCACGCGGAATCCATCTTTGCAGATCCTATTCATATGTCCCACGCGTGCCATCGTTTTTGGACATACTACAAAATCCACATGTTTGCAGGGTGCAGAATCCCCTGCTCCTGCCACACAACGACGCTTCAACATTCAACATCCAAAAGTGGCACGATCATGTGGTGTTTGTAGCATTCTGACTTCGAAGCGTGCTTCGCGCCACAACAGCGTGCACTTTTTCGACATCTGAACTTCCAAAAGTGCTCCGAACTTTAACACTTTTGACTTCGAAATGTGCTTCGCGCCACAACGGCGTGCACTTTGGCATGCACTTTTTCGACATGTCAATTGTTAAAAGTGCTCCGAAGCTGACGCGTTTTTTTGTACATGTTGACTTGGAAATGTGCTTCGCGCCACAACGGCATGCAATTGTTCATTTCTCATGTGGCCAGATGGCTCCGCACCCGCCGCTTTAGCGAGCCTATTTTTCGACCATTGGAAAAACACAGTGAATCGCGACTTTCCTACCTTTTCACGCACCTGCGTCTTCTTTCTTCTGACTCTTTCTCTTCTCTGATCTTCTCTCTTATTCTCTTCTCTTCTTCTCTCTGACTCTTCCCACCTCTGTGTTTCCATCTGTCCATTGTCGGAAGTTTTTCTTCTAAACTTCCTTCGATGAATCAATTAATATTAAAAATCACCAATCACCTTTGTTGATAGGTGAAGATAATGTCCAAACCCCAGTTGATTTATATAAATATCTTACGGGTAAAAAAATCCTACGGTTGAAAACTCATTTTGGACCCACGGTCAAAGACGAACCATATAGCACGTCTTGGCAAAACATGGAGTTACGGCTCTATTATTAAAATTGGGAACCACATCCCCAAATTTTGAGGACAAACATCAACTGCTGAGTGTTCCACCGGCGAAGGCCACTAGCCTCGAAACTCGTGAGTTGACCCAAACGCGACCGACAAGTTCCGAAGCAACGTTGAGAGCTGAGATGGTCCTGGAAGTGAAGCGGAGATGTTGGGTAATCCCACAATTCACACGGATGGAAAAACCTTAAGCACTGGCACATTTCCTATTTAATGTTGTATTAATAATTTCATTTATAGTTTTTAGATTTGCGCATATATATATATAATATATATATATATATTTGTTTATATATATATATAACTATATATATAATTACAATGTATTAATGTTCAAACATATGTAAAACATAGATAGATAGATAGATAGATCGATAGATAGATAGATAGACAGACAGATAGATAGATAGATAGATATATACACACAAATTGATCAATGTGTACAATTATATATATATACACATATTTGAAATACTTGTCATTGCACAATACTGCATACATTGGCCAAAAAAACGGTACACCTAAAAAATGACAAACGTATATAGAACATGATGAGCAACCATGAAATTTTTGGATACCAGAATTTGAGACAAACCCATGGGAAATTGATTAATTAAAAGCCAGGACTACGGCTACGTGGGAATTTCATGTTCAACGCATGAGGTTGCTTCCACACGTTTGAAATCAAAGTTCTAATATACTGTACTTTCAACATCTTTCAACTACACAAGGAAAATATGAAAACCAAGCCGCACATGCCTGCATGTTTTTTATTGGAGACTCGGAACAGTAAGTCACAAAGTTCATGGAAACAGTGAAGATGCGAAGTGCAACTTGCAAACAGTGGGGCGTCGCCAAGGGTGGTACAAACAATGATAGGCCTCTGCCAAAGTGATACCCATTTGTATTCTAATATTCCAAAATTAGTGGAATGGAACTAGGTTCAAGATGGCTTAAGTAGGGTTCACTACTTTACTTGGTCCTGGTATATTCAACGTGCCATTTACCCCAGACATGGCCCAGTCGTAGAGATACCAACACCGTGGTGCAGATACCCCGCAGAGACCATGGTGGATGTAGGGCATGAAATCACAATGAAATGGCCCACAATAGATTAAAGGGGTGATTGATATGAATGAAGGACGGAATTATATAATCATTATAAATTATTATAATATATTATCATTATTATCATGATTAATCCAATAGTACGGACATTTTCCTACCATTCTAAGGATTCGGTGAGCATCAGGTGTTGGTTTCATGGGCCGTGGGTCGGACCTGGATCAGGATAGCCAGGGAGCCTGCGTCACAGCGTGGTTCTGAGGTGTGGGGGTTGCATTTCGACCCATTGGTGGTTGCAGTCACAAGAATGTATGCGGATTTGCAGTAATCTCCCCAAAAATTATAGAACATAATATGGCTATGGATCAATACCTATACATACCATTTTTAGGGGGATGAACATCCATTTACCAGTTACTTTGATGTTCACCAGGGGGATAGGGTTTTGACACACTGCCATATATGAACATATTCTATCCAGATTGTGTTTGCTTTTCTTCCAGCATGTTGTTCTTCAGTTCATCCCACTGTAAAGAAAAACCTCCAAGATGGGAAAGAATGGGTCAACGACGTTCTGGGAGGTACCATCCCCTCAGACTCCGGAGTCCGATTCTGAAGATGGACACGACTCGATGAGGACAGTTTTCCATCTTCGATCATGTTTAATGTGGGTAAAACGATGCCATTTGCACCATCCCCCAGTCATCACCATTTTTATAGGTGGGATTCAAACCATTCCCAAAAATGGGTTTAATATAATGAGTTTAATATATTGTTTTACCCTCATTAACAAGTTTTTGGGCTTTCAACGGTTTCTATAAAAGCGAGAACTAGAAAGTGCCTGTGTCTGCAGCGCACACAGACAGGGTTTCAAGAGTTGTTCACTTCATGCTTTCTCTTTTTTGTTGTACTCGTATTTTCTGTTTGTTTGCCTCGTGTCTAAGTTTTTTTTTTTTTCGACATGAAAAACACATCAGCTGCAGAACTGTTTGTGCTAATCTACAACAACAACAACAACAACAACCTGTGTTGACGCACACTTGGCCGCGGGCATTTGGGCATGTCAGCCGTTCGAACACGATTTTAATACTCAGGGGAAACCATAATTAGGGTCTTTCCAATAAAGTAGCCATGGACAATGGGGATTAACCAATAACAGTGGGGATTTGCAATAAGAAATGGTACTGACTGAATGGGACTTAAATTGGGACTGACAGCAAACATTATGTTGGAAACATCAAAGATGGAAAACATGTTTCAACATGTTTCAACATGTTACAGTAGAATACAATATAGATGTATGTAAGAAAACCAGTAAATCATTTGCCCAAGATGGCCCCAAAATTGGATGAGTACAAGAAATGACAAACGCATGTGGGTGCCATTTTTTTTTTTGCGACGGATATCCAGATTATTCCAGATGCAAAAACCTTGACCAACAGCCTGGGTCGGTCCCAGGAAAAGACTTCCCAACATATCTCAACAGTGGATGTTTTGCTAGTATCAAATTTCTTTTGAAATCCACTAACAACATTTCTCAAAGATAACCCATCACATCAGGACCATCCCATCACAATAGAACTTACTTTGTTCAAACATTGACATTAAACATCGGCACGATAAATGCTGGGCCGGTACCCGGCACTTCTCTCAGGCCTGGTCAGATTGTACCTTTACGGAGTTCCAGCAGAGAGCCAGACAGGAATCCAAGTTGTGGCCAGTGATGAGAGAATTCACCCAGCCCAAATTCCATGGAAATTAGAGTGTTGGTAGAGAATTGCCATTCAAAGTGGGGATTTACCATATATATATATAGATAATTATATACATGTCCTGAAACCTTAGGAACCTTGAAAACTATGAGCAAAAAGCGTTCACGACTCGGAAAGTGTTTTTTTATGCTGGGTGATGATAGGTCGCACTACCCCAATTGTTTTTGCTGCTGCAAAAAGGTCAAGTGAAGGTTTGGCAGATCATTTGCTATTTTCAAGACTTGGACTGGATCGATGACATCTATGACATCTCGCCAGTAAACTGCTAAACTATGCTGAAATGAAAAGAAATCGAAGACCCAAAGGCCCTGGGGTATTTCACATGGGCCACGATTGGGAGCCCAACTTTGAGGATGACCCTGGACCCTGGACCCTGGGAAGTGACGGATCCGGCGTCCATTCCAAGCTCCGGTGGACAATTTCTCAGGTATCCCAAGTGGAAGCCTTACGTCGACGAGGTGCCGAAAGGATCCGAAAGGATCCTGTAGTGGGATGATGGACAGTAATCTGAAAACACGTATTTTTCAATGTATTAAAAACATGAATGACCCTGGGATGATGATCCCAAATGTCGATCAATTTTTTGTTTAGACTTTTCAGGGTCATTGGAAGCACAGTCGTCACCAGTAGTCATGTGATGGACCTGACAGAGCCAGTTTCCGAAGGGACGACTTCAGCCTTGGTTGAAGGGACAATTTACGGGGAATCCCCTGTGTATTCGATCATTTACTGGGAAACAAGAAAACACGGTTGAAAAACTTTTACCCTCTGGTAATTTGTTACATAGCCATGGAAAATTGCTCATTTATAGATGATTTACAATATTTACCTATTAACATGGTGATTTCCCATAGCTATGTTAAATTAGTTTCCAGAAGGTAGTTCAATGATGTTTCCGGAAGAAAACGCTTGATATTTTTGACCAGCTTTGCAGGCGATGTTTTACCAGTAGCTGGTGCTGCCAACGTTGTGCCTGGCCGTTGAGTGATTAATATGGGATAATATTATATAGTTTCTGTGAAAATAGACATGGGGCCCAGATTGAATTGCACTTCATTGCTTTTTTGGCTGGCGGTTTCAAGTATTTGTTTCTTGTTTCTCGTATAGACATGATGATCCCCAGGAATTGATATGCCTCGGGTTGAAAGCACTGCACCAGCTAGCCTCCACCATGGCAAGCGGGGAAATCCAACGAATCCAGTGATGGGCGATTTTCCAGCCATGGCAGCCATGGCAGTGATGACACCGGAGATTTTGATGAGACCAAGGTGTTGATCCATCGCTTTATGAAGCATGTCTTAATCAATCTTAATCATAGCCAGGAGTTTGTTTCCTATGCATTGGACCAAACATGGGAAGCTTATGGCAATCCCAGTTGAGCAACCGCTTTGACATGCTGGGTACATGTCCGTATCCTGGCTCCCCATTGTTGAGGCTTCCTTAGGTATCTCCCGGATTAAACTCTATAAATACCATTGGCTCCCAATATGTATATATATATATGTATATATATATATGTATATATATATGTATGTATGTATATATATATATATATGTATGTATATATATATATATGTATATATATATACACATACTGTACATATAATTATATATATATATAATATTATATGTGTATCTATCCTTTATTATACTTTGCAAATATCTACGAACATCTATTGTCTAGCGCATCTACAAAGATCTATCAAGATCTATATATTGATCACATATCTACAGTATACACATCGAAGAACGAACATACCAGCTGCATCATTTCGGGACCCGTCACCATGTCTTAGGCGGCCAGATCAGTGTCATCCACGGATCCCCAGAGGTGCAGGGCGTTGCAAAACGGTTCAACGGTGACCGGTGACCTCCCAGTCCCCAGCTCGCTCAGGAGTTCCGCTCCACGTCGGCTCCGTGAAGGCGCAGGGAGGAACCAGGCCAGCTATATCCCGTCTACCGTTCTGATGAACCCCCCCTGAAACATGAAATGGGACCATGAAAACTAGGCCAAACATACTTGAGTCAGCTAAAGCTTTCTTGCTAATTGAGACATGTATTCATGGAAAGCTGTCTGGGAATGGAGATAGATAGTGTCTTAACATTTGAATTTGCCCCTTTTTATACAACACAGAGGCATGGGCCATGGGTCAAAATTGATTTAGCTTGGGGGATCACATAATTTTGTTTTAAGTTGGCTTTGTCCTCCAAAATGGGAGATACCCGAAACTGCAAGTTGAATGGGACACACATGGAAAGATGATTCGAGATGTTGAGAGAATCCAGTTTCAAGTCGATTCGAGTTTTTGTCCTGAGATACATTTGCATAGGTATGGCAAATCATGGTTTCTCCAACAAATTATCAAAAATCCGTTGGTTTCCTCATATATATAATAAAACATATATTACAATGTTATTCCATGTTATTTCAATTGATACACGCATATCACATGTTTCTTCCGCACCGACTCACCTCGCCAGGCTCAACCCTGAGGCAGCGTGGGTCCCATGAAATCCCAGGAAGTCACGTTTTCTCCCATGAAGATATCCCATAGGATCCATGGTGCTGGTATATATGCGAACAAAAAGGGGGTATATTGAGGATATTGATGGGATCCATGTTACCATATATAGCAGCACCATGGATCCATGAAGATATGGTGTTAACGAGGGTGTTTTTGTTGCTTCGTCAGCAAGGAAAAATGACGGCACTGCCATAAGAAAGTTGAGACGAGGGTCAAGACTCCATGGAGTCATCACCTGCCGTACCCTCTGGTGACCTGGTAAAGGACATCGCCCGTCATACTTTGTCTATCTGGCTTTGGAACATTGAGCCTCCCTAAATCCACTGGCTAATCATCATGTTCCCTATATATATATATACATGTATATACATATTTATACACACATAGACATACATCCGGTTATCAGAGACAGACAAATACACATACATAAGGTATGTATGTATGTATATATATATATATATGTAATCATACATGTGTACATATTGTTGGTTTGTTATATCCCCAGTCAGTTGCTGATTATTGTTGATGACATATATCACTTAAATTCGCACAATGACTAAGGTTCTTGCGATATTTTTATGATGGCCATTTTCTAGCCATGATGAAACCAGATGGTATTCCCCCCCGGTGTGACATGGCAAAGCCATTTGCCCCATTGGGGTCTGGATGTTTCTCGGTTTGCCACTGCGGAAAAAAGACGATTGCCTCGAGGCTGGAGCGAAAAGGAGCCACAGTTACTACTTAGGTCATTGGTTAATAACCTACCCCATAGGATCCATGTATGGTATATATGCTAACATTGGGGGTATATATATTGATGGTAAATGTTACCATTTATAGCATACATGGATCCTATGGGTACTAGAACTGGGTAGCCTAATGAACAAACTAACTGGACGAAAACGCCATCCAACATCAACCAACATCAACCAACATCAAGCGACTAATTAATAAACTAACTCACGAGCTAACTAGACCAACAGTGGGTGGTTGGAGTTATATAGTGACCACTGATTACATTATAGTGGATTAATGGGATTTTGACATATTTCACGGCTACAGCCCACTTCATGGCCCATCTAAGCTCAGTGAAGTAACCCAGATTGGAAATTTCGCGTAATCAGCCCAATCGGATACAAATCAACCCACACAGTTGCTTCTCATGTAGTAAATTTAGTATGCAACCATGCCACAGCAATTGTTAATTGTTTTGAAACAGACAGCAAATCCTAAGAATCTCCAATTGGTTTTTGGAAGAACCCCTAAAAAGCAGTGATGAATAACTGGTACCCTCCAGTAATTGAACATGGCTGGGAAGTTTGATTTTTTTTCTCAGCTATAAATAGCATGTTTACTTCCGAAATGTCATGGGTATCTAAATCGTAGTCTATACAGTTATGGCCCTGAACAGTTTTATAAATGGGCATACAAGTCCTGTAACTCAGGTTACGTATCATTTAAATTTTAAATGAAGTTCTTTTCAGCCAGAAACTGTTAAGGGGCTACAACTTTTCTCTTAGATGAACATCTGGACATATTCAGTTCGTTGTTGGCCCGTTCAGAGCACCAAGGTTAAAGTTGAGCCCCGCCGTGGTCGCTGGTCGCAGCTTTTCCATTGGCTCAAGTGGTGAACAATCTGTGACTGGAAGGCGCAGCATCCGTTGTTCCAAGGGGCTCTTTTTTTGGAAGACGTGGTGGATCAATATGATATGTTGAAAGCACACAAAACTCCAAAAACATCCAAAAACCATATAGGTCTTGCATATATTGCTGTTGCTATTGCTTCAATAAATATCACCTGCACATTGGCAAAATCTCCATAGATCATGTCACATATTATAACAATTATATATACGTAGTTATATAATTATTATATAATATTATATATATAATTATACGTATATATTGATGATTTCATTTCTTTTCTGTTACCAAAACTGATTTCATCTTGTGTCTAAGAACCATGCCGTGGCAGGCGCGACCATGGCCAGTACGGACACCACGCCTGCGAGTTTGAAGCGCAAGGGAAAGTCTCACAAGGTGCCCTATGGTCCGACCATGGTGAGGAACCGCTGTCATTGGGGGATCCCCAGCTGGATGGTTTATGATGGGAAAAAAATCTATGGAAAATCACATGGATGATTTGTTGTGCTTTAATTTTTTTATATTTTTTTTGGTATTTTTTTTTGAAACCTCTATAAACCTCTATATGTTGGGTATATCCATGTGTAGTTTTATCTTTGAAGAGTGGAATTTAAGTAGACAAGATGGGGACACTGTTTGGGTTTGTGGCTTATTACTATGTGTAGGGTTAGGAAGTCGTATCCAATGTGCAAATCGGGGGCCCCACATGGTATGTGGATGTATGTGGTAAACAAGTCCGGGCCGATGCGTCGTGGAATTTGTTAGACCTTTTTTTTGGGGGAGAGTCTTTGGAGATATGCGAATCACAGATTATATAATATTCATTTATTGCGTGTCCTTTGTTAGTGTGTACTCTCAAAGTTGTCTGGATCATTGGCAGCAAGACAGTTGTTTCAGTTTTAGCTCCATGATTTATCTTCAATGTCCGAAGTCCGAAGCGTTGCGGAGTTTAAGGGGTGATGGCCTGACGTTGCTGCTAAGAAACCTCGTTTGGGGGTTAGTCATGGGGGATCAGCAGTCGAAAAACCATAGGTGTCAATACTCAGTCATGGTCGTTCACTTTCCTTGGAGAATGCCGCAACGGGGGTACCACCATGCCTTAGGAACGTCCCATTTTGATGACAGGAGTTGTCACACCATTCGTACCCTCTGGTAATTTAACATAGCTTTAACATAGCTATTGAACATGGCCATAGAAATAGTTGATTTACCCACTAAAAATGGTGATTTTCTACAGCTATGTTAGTTTACCAGAGGGTAAATGTTAAGGGCAGCAGGAACTGTTGTTCCAGCCAAAACTTACTCGCTACCGCTAAGACCGGAATGGCTCATGATCCCAGCAAAAAGGAAGTATCAATGGGATGGAACCCAACTGGATATCAATGATAAGCGGCAAAACTCCAAAACACAGAGATATGACACCACTTGGTACATGCAATCTATGCAACTTATGGCTATGAGAGTCAAGATTTGGTCATGCCCCTTAGCCCCAACCTGAGTTTTCCTCTACTTCCATGGATCAGACAGCTGAAATATGATAATCCTGATTTGTGGAGTAGATCGCAGCAGGTATCCCAGTATATTATTATATTTTTGTATTCCAAACCAGGCTGGGTCAAGGAGATATGTATACATATATATATATATATATTGTACCATGTAATGTTAGCTACTATACCGTTCACCTTTCTATTTTGTATTGTATGTATTCATATGTTATTGTTTATATTACATTGTATTCTCCAATATGCTCATGATATTAGAACTTATATAGCGAGAGATAAACATATGTGTTTTTGATATTTATTATACGATACAATATCCAATTTCTTCAAAGTGACCTTTAAACAACACCAATTCGAGGTCAAAAAAAAAAATTAGGGTCACGGCCAGCCACCTCAAACGGGTCACTCTTAAGCAGGATTAACATGTATTTATTGTATACTATTTATAAAGTATATTATTGCGGTTTGTCCTATCAGGTTGTACATGGTTATTATATAACATTATATTGGATTATACGATGTCTATATGATATTACATGAATAATACTGTGTACACATGTACACACAGTCTTCCTGGAGTAGATAAAATATGGATATGTCAAACAATCCTCAATTAAGTGGACATGGCAAATTATGGTGACCTCACTGTGACCTCACAGCAATCATGCTTAGTAAGGGATAATCATCCCAGATGGGCTTGTTGGCCTTATTTCAGGTTTGTGAATTGTTATTTAACTTACCGATATATATATATATATATAATCATATATATATATATAAAATCATATATATATATATAAATGTGTATATATATATGTATATATATAATATAATGATGTGGCTACTAGTGGCTACTTGTCCAGATCCCAAAAGCCGGGGCACCAGGCACCAGAGGCCCGGTTCCCCAGAGCCGATGAGAATTTCGCCCTGGGAAACTCTCAGTTTGCAATGGGCCATTTTCCATAGTTGCAGAGTAATGCAGAGTATCTCAGAAAAGATACAGCAGTAAAATCCTACAAGAGAATAATGTAAGTTAGGTGTCTTTATTTTTGAGGGTTATTATATATACAGTATATATATAGTATACTTTAATGTTTATTGATGGCATAGATTCTGTTAAAACCTGTAACTGGTCCAAGTAATTGGAGAAATTGGCGACCCCTTGAATGAATGCCCCGTATACATTGTCCTGACAGTGAAACTGAGGTTCTCTCGAAGTCTTTAAGTCCAAAATCACATGAGGTATCCGGTATCCGGTATGCGAGAAAATGAGATCAATACATCCAAACACATCCAAATTTGTCATTGGCCACAATGTCGGGACCCTAGATAGCTAATTTGGTGCAAATAACTTCAATAACTATGGTAACTATGATACCTATAGCATCCTCTAACTATGGTATTCATAGGGTTTATAAACCAACGTTCACATTGTTGGGGGGGGCCCACATTGCTATCAAACCAGCCATGTTTTCAGGCCGCCGATGACATCCCGGTGGGGAAAGGTGGACGCCAAAAGCGCGTGCTGAAGGAGAGTATTCAGGCCATGCAGGATTATCAGGAGTATCATAATCGGTGATAAAAACTTCCATGATTTTTGAGATGATTTTTGAGATGATTTTAAGCGTTTTATGAGTTCATCAAGCTCCATCTACACCAAGCTGGTGCTGTAATTCATGGATATTCGATCTAAATCCTTGCTGAGATGGTGCTGGATCCGCAAAAAAATGTCCCTCCGTTATTTCGCCTATTATAACAGAAGAGTAGTAGATACAGTAATTCAATGTAATTTAGTAATTCATATAAATCAACTGTACCAATCCCTCTGATTTTGGTGGTTGAAATCCTGATTTGATCGGTCTCCACATGCAGGGAATCACCAAGCCAGCGATCCGACGTCTGGCGCGGCGCGGTGGAGTGAAACGCATCAGCGGCTTAATCTATGAGGCGGCACGGTGAGTCCGAACTGCGATGCCACACGACATTTTACCAAGCAAAATGACTGATGTTGATGAATTCGCCAACAAATATTGGGATATGATGGGATTTAATGGGATTACATTGGATTAAATGAGTTTTTAATTATCAACTACAAAGATCTACAAAGGATTTGATAGCAACCGATTTAGTACTCGTAGTTTGCTTATAGTGGTTTAATGATGATTTCATGATGATTTCACCAACCAGATAATGATTTTGTATGGGATGCCAAACGGGACTTTACCAAGCAACATGAGTAGTGTCATGTTGATTAATCCACCATAATCCACCAACAAATATTGGGATGATATAATGGGACTGAATGAGATTTAGTGGGATTTAAGTGGATTTATTGAGTTTTATTGTTATGAATATTTAATGTTATTGTTTCTTGATATAATATGTTTTATATGTTTGCTATCCCAGATCAGTGCTTGTTATTGTCCCAGATCATTCGTACTTGTTTTCATGACATTTTATGGGATTCAACCTTAAATAGCATCAGCAATCCGTCGGTAATTTCGGATCATATTCGAATTCATAACACGCTTAAGGCAACTTCTGAGATAAGGAGTTGGGGATACCCTCTGGTAAACTAACATAGCTATTGAACATGGCCATTTATAGTGAGTTTTCCCATTAAAAATTGTGATTGTCCATAGTTATGTTAGTTTACCAGAGGGTAATTTCTATGGGATACAACACACATTTCTAAGGCAAGTTCCGTATCTGGTGAGCATAGTTAGCGTGCTCGCTGACCCATTTACGGGATAACCATGGATAACCCGTACGATGTTCGAGTTGTCACAGTAAAAACGGTGAGAACTGTAAAGTCTCTGGCTTTTCACCACTAGATACCACTAGAACCGGGAATACCATTAACATAATTGATGAATCGTGATGAATGGTGTTTGATTTTATACGGATATACCATGATATAACATGATCTAACATGATATAACATGATATATATATATATATAATTATATATAAACATAGCAATTTGTATAATGATCTTATGCATGAAAACAAATCATGATCCGTATCGGCTAAATCCCATTATATCCTTAATGGATATTAACCACGCATGATGGGATTCAATGGAACATCCATAAAGTAATGCTAGATCCTAAGGCATCCCATGGCGATGCCAGATTTTTAAGGTGGATTCAATGGCCATTTTTATCAGGGCTACAGAACTGTCAGGTCCGCACCGATCATATTCAGTTGCTTATATCATTACTCCCATATATATATACACATATATATATATATTATATATTATATATTATATATATATTATATATATATATATTCGAATATCACCATATTCCCAATATTGTTGGTTTCTACCAAATTCCTATTACAGTTTTTTTTTCGCTGTGAGAGTTGGACAGTGACTTTTTCGCCAGGAGACCCGCGGTGTTTTGAAGACCTTTCTGGAGAATGTGCTGCGTGATTCGCAGGGTCCTTGGACGACTTTTTGCTTGTCAGAGTCAGAGACTTCCCAGACCCTGAGTCTAACCATAAACGTGATCTAAAAACATTAGTAGACGTACCTAGACCCTCCAAGTACCCAGAAAGATTATGTTTTAGTCCATTGTTTTAGTATGTTTACCATGTTTTTGGGTATTTGGAGGGTCGAGGTACAGTGCAAGTAGCAGAATGGGTCATGTTGGCGTAAAAGTACGCCATTCTGACGTACCGGTTGACCCTCCAAGTGCCTAGGAAAATGGGATAGCTTGCCCATGATTTTGGGACTTTACACAAAATTGTATGGCAACTTGGGGAGCCTAAGTCTTTGTTGCATATACTATCTTGGAGAAATACATGCAGATGCACATAGAATAGAGGGTCTTGTTCGAAATCTGTTCATATCGGAACGTCTTTCTGGGCTCGACGTGCTGAGGATTACTTACACAGAGCACGCTCGCCGCAAAACCGTCACAGTCTCCGAGCTCAGCTGTACTGGTGTTTTCAGAAGTCAGCTGACAAGTGGCTGACAAGCATCAAACGTAAGCAATTTTGAAAATCCTCATTGATCGATGATTCTGGGGGGTCATACCCAACAAAAAATGGCAACATGTCCGAATCCACGATGAGAATCTCTGTTCACCAACCATGTTTTTGAGTGCTGTCTCAACAAGACTTTGTCAATGTTGAGTTGTGACTTCTCCTCCTGTCAATTGAAATAGCTATGGAAAATGGTCAAATGGTCCATATATGGATGATTTGCCTATAGCTACCTATAAAAAATGTGTTTTTTTTTCCATAGCTATGTTAACCACCATAGGGCCATATAAGGTGCTTTTTTTCTTCGGGATGAGTTCGAACCTATTTGGATTTATGGTCCCACCAACACAAGATACTTTCTTTATTGATTTATTGGGTAAACATGGGAGCCATTTAATATAAGTAACATTAAGTAACCATATATATATATATATTATATATATATATATATAACATCCATAAATTATGGTTGTTTAATGGAACATATCTATCATGTATCATCATATATCCCGTATCTTAGATGTAAGAATACTACACTGGGAATTTGCTGAGATATGATTGGGTTTTCCATGGCACCCACTGTATGAGTAGCAGGGCCCATCATTGTACCAACGGCGAGGACACCAGGAAGCCGAAGAAATCCAACATGTCATCGAGTCATAGTCAGATGGCTAGAGCAGCAGCACCCATGAGGAGCCATATATAAACCATACTCAACCATCTTCAACCATGTATTCTCCATGCAATCTCCATATATATATATATATATAATTATATATATAATCTCCATGTAGAAACATGGCCAGATATTTCCAGGTGCCTCCAGTATTTACTCCCAAAGGCCATGGACATCGTCTATGCGCTGAAACGTCAGGGCCGCACCATCTACGGCTTTGGTAGCTGAGGGGCGGACGGACGGCAACGGTTGGCCCCGGCTGGTACTCACTGCTACTTGGCGCAGGGTCAGCCGCACTGCACCTATTCCATCAAAAATTGGTTCAAGCGTCAGAAAAACATACCACAACATAAAGATGGGATTTGACTGATTTCATCCACAAAAATGTGGCTTCAAGCCACAAAATTCATGTGGCTTGAACCAACGAATAGTAATGGTGTGTCTGATCATGCGGGGATTTTCACGATCGACTTGGAACAACGGAAGCCCGGCCGAACGCATGAAATATAATGGTGAAATATGGTAACTAATTCCAAACATGTGCTTATTTTGGATTTAAGTTTGGCTATTGTATTTATTCGGGAAAATAAGTTGTACATTGTACACATCATTTGATTTTGATCTATAAAGGGTATATAATTACATCAGATAGCTGGCTGTAGGCAAACATGTTTTATTTTCTATCCACCTAAAATGATGATCCAACTTGACTAATATACTTCCAGGGGACTTAAAACCACCAGCCATAAAATGAGCATTCACATGACTACTGTGGATTGAAGACGCCCTGCACCAGTTGGTACATGGTATATATCCCATTATAATCTGTGTATTTACGGTGTTTCATCCAGTTACCACTAGTTGCCAACTGGTGCAGGATGGCTTGTCCATCCACAGTACCACGCCATGTGTGACGGATGATATGATTGGCAGCGTTAAAATCACTGACTAGCAATATCAACTGTGGATAGATAAACTCTCGTTGATTTTCGAGTAAGGGGATCAGCTGATCAGAAGTGATAGGTAAACAATGGTAAACACCACAATCGAAGGGTAAACGGGCAAACAGATTGCCAAAGGCTTGGGTTCTGATGATTTCTGTGTTGAACATGTTTTGCTCTGTTTTGGAACTTTGTCCATCCCAAGCAGAACGGTTTTCCTTGTCGCTGAGGCATGATCGGGGAGCGCCTTATGGGTTGCAGTGAGAGAATCGGGCCACCCCCCTGCGACCTGTGGCTGGGAGTTCCAGTTCCGTTGCCGCAGTTCGTAGAAAAATCCAGCAGTGATGCAGCAAATAAGCTGATTTATGGTACATATAATATTACATATTAATGATTATTAACGTATATATTTTATATGGTTAGTTGTATATTCTTTCTTTCTCCAGAAAATCATCCCAGAAATGTCTTCTTCGAGATTGGTGACATACTACGGTCCTGGACCACATGACTCCTTTCATGAGGACATGAACTACAGCCTAGCCACAGGTCAGCCAGTCAGAGTTCGAAAAGAAGCTTATCAAGTTCCCGCGCTTCAGCCACATGATTAGATCATGGAATTGGTGCCAGCAAGAAGGTTCCTCCCCCTCGGGGGTCCAAACTTCAGCATGCTCACCATTGAAGCCCAGTCAGCCAGTTTAGCAAGCCTAGCAACCGCTAGCGCAACATAGCGCTTGCCATAGGGCACAAAGATTGGTGCACGAAGAAACTCAAAAAAGCCAGAAAATGGCGAGTCATTCCCTCTATGGTGCTTGCTGGCGCTCAACAGATGGCAAGTCGGCCAGGTTGTACCAAAAAGTGGGTACGGCCACTGCAGTGCCACCAGATCCATCTTACGGCTGTGCGCCGATGTGCAGTCCTGGGGAAAAAGGTGACAGCTGGATGTAGGGGCCCTCAGTTGGATGTGGATTTAAACATATTTAAACTACATATTACATATTACTATACTCTCCAAGTATAATATTGGAACCCCAAAACCGCCAGACTTAATATTACTTAATCAACTTAATCATTTCTAGTAATCCCACAGTTTGCGGGTCCCTCATTTTTTTCTTCAAGCTATCAACTTCTGATGGTTACAGCTCAAATTATATAGTCTAGATTTGCCTACAAGTACATCATCATAGTATACATCTATGTTCCATCCCAACCAATATTGTTGAATAACTCCTTCACTTTGATGGTGAAATTCCAATGTTGGATCATTTTCGACTGTTCGGCGAAGAACGGACGAGCCAACAAGCGGCAATAAGTGGTTTATCACTCAGGTCCGATGGCTTCATATCAGTCCTATCCACCACAAGCGGAAAATTGGAAAGCTACTGTACCAATGAGGTTTCCTAAGTCATGGAGGTAGCCAAAATCATCCAAGTAATTGGAACATTGTACTATTGCAACAACCATGGTGACTTGGGAATTCCCTGTTTTGCAAACCTCTGTTTGCAACAATTCTACGGTTTGAAGGTACATTTAATCATCAATTTGCACTCCAAAAATTGTGACTATTGATGCAAATTCATCAACCGCAGCTGCAACAACCATTGCTGGTCATAGTTCACTGTTGCGTGAAGGACTGTGTCCTGACCAGTGCAACACCCGGTACACCCAATGTGGCAAAAGTAGCTGTCCGTTTGGGAGAAAACTCCTGTACCACCTTTTGCGAAGTCGAGGGTCAAGACGCTAAGACGGAGTCCGACATCGGATTCACAACTCTTAGCACAAAATGTGCTCCACCGGGGGTTTTTATCTGCCACTTCATTTCGGAGCCTTTGGCTTCAGGGGGGGGTCAACTGGTATCACTGCTCGCATTAAACCGCCGCTGGGTCGCAGTGGTCAACACTTGGGTCCCAGTGGTCCCTTGGGGCCAACACCGGAGATGTGCCACGAAACGGTGATCTACCTTAAAAGTCATGCCGGGCCACAGGGAAGTTGAGGGGTGAAACCATTGTGAAACCATGGTGTGTATATATAGTATTATGTAATATATATGTATGATATTATATAATAATATAATATATATATATATGTTTGATTATGTCTGTCTACCTATATGATATTGTGCTGATCCTATACCTGAAAGATCCTGAAAGAACGAAGTAGAATATAACTCCATGAATGCCATGGAAGATGCATTGCCTGTTCAATGTTTCAACGTTAGTTTCAGAACGTGTTTCCCCCCGTTGTATGATGGATTCGCTGCTGCGCTTACCCCTTACACCTCACATCCGATGCTTGTTATGGCCATGCCACAGCATAAGTGCGATATGTTCCGTACACTTTTATTTTCCCTACAATTTTAGCAGGGTGGTAGATAAAACTATAGGTTTTTGTTCACTCAGTTTTTCCCCACCTGCCAGGTGAGGGTTGTTAGATTTTATGTCAGTTGCCTCCTCCTCGTCCTCCTTGTCGTCCTTGTCGTCCTCGTCGTCCTCGTCGTCCTCGTCGTCCTCGTCGTCCTCGTCCAACTGCGACCCGCGATCCACAGTGTTCGCTGCCGGACCTCAACCACGACCATCCACGACCAGTGTTCCCTGCCGGACCTCAACCACGACCATCCACGCCCAGTGTTCCCTGCCGGACCTCAACCACGACCATCCACGCCCAGTGTTCCCTGCCGGACCTCAACCGCGAGTATCCACGCCAAGTGTTCCCTGCCGGACCTCATGTAGGAAGATATGGGACAAAGAATGTGCAGAAGAAAGTTAGAAAGAATGTCAGAAAGAATGTCAGAAGATATGCCAGAAGATATGCCAGAGAGAATGCCAAGATAGAATGCCAGATAGAATGCCAGAAGATATGTCAGAATATATGCCAGAAGATATGCCAGATAGAATGCCAGATAATATAGATATGCCAGATAGAATGCCAGAAGATTTGCCAGATAGAATGCCAGAAAATATGCCAGAAGATATGCCAGATAGATATGCCAGAAGATATGCCAGAAGATATGCCAGAAGATATGCCAGAAGATATGCCCGAAGATATGTCAGAATATATGCCAGAAGATATGTCAGATAGAATGCCAGAAGATATGTCAGAATATATGCCAGAAGATATGCCAGATAGAATGCCAGAAGATATGTCAGATAGAGTGCCAGAAGATATGCCAGATAGAATGCCAGAAGATTTGCCAGATAGAATGCCAGAAGATATGCCAGATCATATGCCAGAAGATATGCCAGATAGAATGCCAAATAGAATGTCAGAAGATATGTCAGATAGAATGCCAGAAGATTTGCCAGTAAGAAAATGTATAAATGTCATGGTGGGGATCACACGAAGTAAAGTATTTTTTTTTGTGGGGCCCATGTGAGTTGTCCGAATATATATATATATATTTATACATATATATATGTACATGTATAATTGTATAACTCATCATTGCAATTACAGCTAACTTGCCATTTTTCTGGGGGTATCCTCCAATTCGATACATCTCCATACTATGACTCCATACTGTTGGTTTTTCAGTTATATCAAGTTATATCCAATTAACCTCCCTCCATATCCCATTCTATCCCTTCAAATTGTTGGTTTATCCCCGTAACTTTCTTACATTTAATACCAGTACTGGAGAAACTATAAAGGATATCCATGAGATATTTCATGATAGTTCCATATATTTCCCCAATGGAGGGTTTAAGGTCTCTCATTTGTCTCCATTTCTATCACCACTGCTGCTCAAACGGCTGAGGTGATCACATGGCTGGCACCAGCACTACTAGCTCGCGTAAGTCGAAGGCTCATAAGGCGCCGGAGACGGACTTGGCCCATGAGTTTGTGTGACCATGTGTGACCCAATATGGAGGTTTCCAAAGCCATGGGAGTATCTCCCCAAATCATCCAAATCAATCCACCTTCAAATTTCAGCTACGAAATGGGGAGGACTTGGGCTACAGTACAGATTGCCAGCCAGCATTTTTTTGTACAAACAGGAGGGGTTGTGCCCCCCATTTTGTATTTGGAATCATTTTGTAGTTGATTCCTTTCAAATCATGCATTTTCATTTTGTAGTTGTATATGTTGAGTTAGTTGAAGCATCCAACATAAAATTCATTAGCATTTTGTAGTTGTACAAGTTGAATAGTTGAAGCATCCAACATAAAATCTCATTTGCATTTTGTAGCTGTACAGGTTGAATAGTTGAAGCATCCAACTAAATCCAATCATTGACAACTACAAAATGTTCTCCGAATTTATGTTGGTCGGAACTTTGGATGGCAAAGACCCAACTACAAAATGTCATTGGGAAAAATCATGTTAGAAATTCCGACGTTCAGCTATTTTTTTGACTTCAGATGCATTGGATTTTGTAGTACTGGTTTTGAATTATTTTCCGAGCCAGAAAGAGTTATGTTCTTCATTTTGTAGCTGAAAAAAAAGTACATGGACTTGGATTTTGTAGCTGTGCACCCTATGCATTCCGCTCTGTATCTACCAAAACCATCTGCACAACTCCTCCCCCCTTATCTGAACCCCGATCCAAATCATTAGACTACTTAAAAATTGTATTGAAAGAGGATTTTGGGGATAACCATTTTAAGAAACCCCTATATGATTACATGAGATCTAGCCTGATCTAGCCACTCCAAGTATCCCATAATAAAGTGTAAAAGTACTCATGAGGTACGATGCCCATTTGGGTACTTGGAGGGTCTAGGTACATATCACAAAATATTTAGTTTGCTATAGAACAAAGCACTATAGGGTCCTGATTTTGGCTTGGTGCCATGCAATGAAGCGATTTTGGAGGAGCAAGGGGAGCCAAACGGGAAAGACCATGTCAAAGCTCCACAGCCACACTGGAAGCAGCAAAAAGTCCGCGTCAGACGTCAGCATCACCCAACAAAAAAGACGCTTGGCGCTTCGGTGCATTTCTTTCACACATGATGACATTTGTTTTTTTTAATCTCCAAAATCAGCAGTTTGACCTGCTACCGCATTTCTGTAGTGGTCTAGTGATCGACTCCCCCAATTTCGATAGAGGGATGAAAGGGCATGCCTTTTTTGTTTGGCTCGTGGTTTCCAGCAGCTGATCTTGTTTACATTTGTTTACCAAAAAATCCAGATATGTAAATTTCTGAAGATCACCATATGATTCTGATTTGATTCTGGGATTTCTGGGCAAATTTCCCCACATTTTCCCCATGTTTTTAAGGGGATTCCGACAGCTCGGGCAGGCTCCCGACACTGTCCTGGTCCTCAGATTCGTGGCGATTTCACCCAAAATATTGGATCGAATGAGAAGCGAAAAAAAAACACCAGAAATATACCCCGAATGGTTGTTGAAAATGTTGTTTCATGTTGTTTCTAAGGATCTAAGGGATGTCATCCCAAATCCTTTTTTGTTTCATGTTGGTTGGATCATAGTTTGGATGAGCTTCTGCTTAAAGGGCGTGCGCTGATTGATACGGAGAAACATCCTATTTTAGTTGTGTGAATTTCCATGATACACTATTTTTAATTTCTACTTCCCATCACTTTTTAAAAATCACTAGGTCTAGTCACTAGGTATCAAATTTTGTGTGAACATATTAATGTTGATATAATTTAATATATATATATATACGTATATAGATATTCATAATTAAAATTAACAGCTTATATTATATTATATTGCTATTTCACCGTATGTTATTAACAGATCGAAAACACACACACACACAAACAAAAACAAAAACGAACATCGAGCCTTCGAGCCATCGCCACGGAGCGCAGCCGTATATAGCAGCTAAGCGACCTCAAAATAGGTAATGGGAAAACATATTATACATATATGTGGATCTATATATATATATATGATGAATTAATATATATATTATATTATATATATAATATATATTTAGCAACAACAAAATAGGTCATAGAAAAGTGGGACACCTGGAAGTGGTACATCTATGATCTATGCCATCCAGTTTGCACACTTTCCCCAGCTTTTTACGGCATCGCCGTTTTGCCCAGGTGGACGATGATGTTCCCGTTGGTAAAGGCGGTCGCCAGCGCAAAGTTCTGAAAGAGAGTATCCAGGCCGCGGGTTGCACGGGTTGATGCGGGTTGCGGGGAAAACTGAGGTGAAACTCTAAGATGGGTATAACACCACGGTTAGGAATTAAAACATATTAAAACACATACTGTAAGTTGGGGATAACTTGATACAACTTGATATTTTTCTATGCTGAAGTATATCCACTGAGTTCACTGGAACTGCACACACCCATAGGGAGCACCCAGTGGATATGCTGTCGTCGAAAGGCCTGATCAAATACCAATGATGGGCTACTGGTATTCCTGAATGTGTTTGCTGATTCTTCACCTGCCATACACTGTTTGATATTACCCACATGGATTACCAGATTACCACAATCCTTCAATGATGGACCCTACCAGTGGTAACTCAGTTATTTCACTCCACGAAACTGGTACAGGTATTCAACCTGACTGGAGGGTAGCTAGACTCCTATGTTTCCTGCACAAATCGGATGAAAGCACGAACACGTTGGATAGTTTTTCTTGCATAAAGTACCAATTGATATTCTTTATGCTTACAACTTGTGAGTCTAGATATTTGACAACTCCGTCAATCGGTCAACACCAATTATGATATACAACCCCATTTGGGTTTGTCTGAAAGTACGGAACCCCAGAATTCAGTTCAGTAATCACCATTTTACCATATTTTCCCATTAAGATCGCAATTTCGTATACCAACCACAATTATCAGACACACTCAAAGTTTCATATATTGTTGGTCAGTAGTTACATCACCATTGTATGCTCAATTGCCCACATAATGGCTGATCATTGTTTGCTAAATCCCATAATTCCAAATAGTGAGTGATCCCTGGCTCATAAATCCATATAAATCCCCATTTCCTGGGTTATTTTATTTATAAGTGGGTAAGTGTCATATTACAAATATATATATATATAGACATAAGCCATTTGACGAGGCCCCTAGGGACCCAGTCGCGTTTTCAGGGAATCACCAAGCCAGCCATTCGACGTCTGGCACGCCGCGGTGGTGTGAAACGTATCAGCGGCTTGATCTACGAGGATAGGATCCGGAGTTGGAGTGACTCGCCCGTGTCGCAAACCTTGCAACGGGATCCGATGAAAACATCGTGAGATGTGATCAAAGCTATGTCATGTTGCAACACTTGCAATGTCCAACCCATCATTTTCCCTACTAAATTTCGACCTAAAACAAGGGTGGAGTGGGATGGAGCAGTTCCCAGGATTGGAACCCAAAAAATATGTTGGTTCCCTAATGGCCCCCTACTATCTTGTTACAGTATTGGGGCTCAAAAATCCCAAACAACTCCAGTTTTGGGTATTACCCATACTTGGCTTATCTTGGCTTTGTCCAGGAGACAAGGGGTGTTCTGAAGACGTTCTTGGAGAATGTTTTGCGTGATTCGTCCGATCCTGAGCAAAGTAATTTAAGCAGTGAAAGGATGCAGACATGACTTTACCAAATCAAACATGGGGTCAAGTCATTAGGTTAGCAACGGATTCAATAAGGATTCAGTGTGAGTCAAAGGACCCAGGCAATTCATGGCAATTCATGATTCTCAGTATTTAAGCATCCATTTTGGAGGGACTTCAATGAGGGATCCTCCAACTTGCCTATTTGCCTATCATTTGTGGCTCCCTCCTATGAAAATTCTCACCACTGCTGAATGTATACTAACCCCCAAAAAGATAGGACAATAAATGAACATAATCTATCACTATCTATCACAGTTCTTCATTTTTGTTTGCAGGATGTTGTTATGTTCCATCCATTTTGGTTACCCTCTGGTAAACTAACATAGCTATTGAAAATAACCATTTATAGTGGATTTTCCCATTAAAAATGGCCATTTTCCATAGTTATGTTAGTTTACTAGAGGGTACCGAAAAAAAAAAAGTGAAAAACAACGGGTGTCACCAGGATTACCTACACCGAGCACGCCCGACGCAAGACCGTCACGGTTACTCGAATGGCTGGGAGTTGAGAAGCTGTTTGTGAATACGAACCGGTTACAGTTACAGCCCTTAAGACTTTAAAACTGGTTTATAATGATTAAGTAACTAATATATATATATGTATATTATATAATTATATATATATTATATAATTATATATATATAATTATATATATATATATGTATATACACAACATGATATAACCTCATTTAAGTGAGATATATATATATGTAACTTCAGTTACATGAGTTATAATCCCATTTTGATAATTGTAGGGGCCAATGACTGTAACAGGTTAGTACTTGTGGGGTTTGTTCATCCAGTTGCACATTACAAATAGAAAGTAATATATTATGGCTACCTTTGTATACTTTTGTTATAATTGTGGATTGTTACTCTACTCTTATTATAATTGTGGATTGTTACCTGGTAAGCTTTAACCCAGTTATAAATGGGTTAACACACTGCACGGGGACAAAACCTAACCTGGTCTCCTGGTCTAACCAGTTACGATTCGTTTTTTTATGATCCTCGAAATAAGCCATTGATATTATCACTGTTTAGGGGGGGAACCCCCCTAATGTGGTAAACCCAATAATAAACCATATAAACCATCCCCATCCCCGGGCCCCTTTTGGGATGTAAGATAACCATCCAGTCACGGTTGATGGCATGGTGGCGTTGGGGGTAAACCTCGATCGACCAAGGCTTCAAGGTCTATTGATGTGGTGTTGACACTACACTTTAGTGCACGTTATATTTACCCTCTGGTAAACTAACTATGGAAAATCACCAGTTTTAATGGGTAAATCAACTATAACTGGCCATGTTCAATAGCTTTGCTAAATTACCAGAGGGTATCGTTATGTATCGTTTTTGGGATAAGATGGCTAAGCACCACATAGCTCGCGAAAAGCTGTTCACCCACGTAACGCAAAGAAAATCAACATACCACGATGCAAAGTGATCACCCGAGGCTATGGACATTGTCTACGCTCTCAAGCGCCAGGGACGCACCATCTATGGATTCGGTTCATAGGCGGCGCCATGGGATCACGAGGGAGGGTCATTGGATCACTGGAGATTTTTTGACTTTAACTGGAGTTTCCCTCGACCGCACAAAAAACCGTCAGATCCCAAGCAGGCAAGGAGGCGTGCAAGAAGCAGTGAGGTTGGCACCGAGTTTTTCATGTCATCTTTCTGTTTTCTGGAGCACTTGGCATCTGTCCAATCTGTCCAAGATGTATCAACATATTGAGGTGGGTTTTGCGAAGCGTTTTGAGAATTGGTGCCAACCGCAGTTTCATCATGCCATTTTCAAGGCATTCAAAGTACCATTAGAGTTTCTTGAACTCCTACTGAACAAGTCGGGTTCAAAGTTGGGGCTGCAAGCCACCCCCCACTGAGCCGCGGCTCACAGTCACTCCGTTCAGTGGGGCCGCGGGGGCCGCCGGGGCCGCTGGGTGCTTGCAAAAAATCACCAGGACCAGGTGTGGCTTGCCGTGAGGTTCAGGAGCAAGCTGACTGGCAGGAAAAGACTGGCTGAGAACGCTTAGATCGGTGCATTTCTGGTTGTTTTTATGGAGCAAATGGTGAGATTCTCAGAGCTAAAATCTGGGCACCAAGTCCAATCCGGCAGGCTTTTGGATTAGCTTGGCATGTGGTCAATCTGGTCAGCAGAACACCAGCTGAAAAGCAGTGAAAAGCTGATTATTTTGACACCTTCAATTCATGAGTCAACTGTGTCCATACTCAACTGATCTCAACTGCATCATACATATACAATCACATACATAGCATACACATATTGTCATATTGTTATATTAAGATAATTGATTTCCTACAGCTGCAGCATTGACGGGTCCTACAAGTTCGAAAGGCACAATTGCTGGTCGACGCACGGGTCGAAATCGTTTGGATCAGTTGGTCATTTGATACCTGAAATGCATATGTTTTGGAGTTTTTTGACGGGGTTCTGAAACTTAGAGACATCCTTAGACTCTCCAAGTACCATGAAAAAATGTTTCATATATGCATGTATTATGTATATATATAATTATTATTAATAAATATTATATTAGATATGCCCATTATTTTGGGAGCTTTACGAATTGTTATGGCTACTTGGAGGGTCTCATGTCCGCCAAATGTTCTCTGCGAAAATCTCGCAGATGTTTCGGTCGAGAATCGCCAGGTCATGTGCGGCATCTTGGCACTCTTCGGCTTGCAGGTCACGGGTTCAGCAACAATGAACTGGGCACATGAAAACAAGAACGGGGATTCAAGGATTTGTTTCTTCGGGTAGTTCTTCTGTAGACGGAGATTTAGTTTCTTGGATTATTGATAGAGTCTCCGACATGGAAGACGTTGTTTGAGGATTTTCCACTCCAAGAGCTGGCCGCAACAATTTGTTGTCTCTAAACCAAAATGCACAATCATGCAAAAATCTCACCACTTCGCGTTGCCTACTGGTTGGTGCTTTCTCTAGGGTTGATTCATAGTCCATTCAGTTCTTGAAAAAACTGCTGTAAAGCAAGGTCAGTGTATGTTATATAGATTTATAAAGAATGTATGTATGTACATTCTGTCTAGATCTACATATTCTAGGGGTCGCGGGTCGGGTGGTTGGTGGTTTTGAGCTTTCAACGTTTTTGATCAATGGAGGCTGACCTCTAACCAGGGTTGATGGGGATTTTATGACAGCTGGTTGGTGGTTTGGAACCATGGAATTTTATGACTTTCCATATATTGGGAATAGTAACCGCAACTGACGAACTCATATTTTTCAGAGGGGTAGGTAAACCACCAAGCAGTTATAGTATATAGATGTATATAGGAACTTAGTCACCTTTAAGGATTTCGGTGGCGTCAGGACGCAGGACCTCTGCGGAAGCAGGTGGTTGAGGCTGCGAAGCTCCTGCGCATGGAAGCTCAGTTGCTGGCTGCTGGCCCAAATAAATCCATATCCAGATTGGTGGCTAAAGATGCCATCCATAGAACACATGGGTTGGTGAAAAACCACCAATTTTAGTCAAGCAATTTTTTTCGATAGGTTCGCAATGGTTTATCTTTGCTTGTATAAGTCAGATGCTGGGACGACCTTGGAATATGTTTGTTTGATTTGGAATAGCCAAATGCTGGATAATGATGTTAAATGGCTGCACCGAGCAGACCAAGAATGGGGATTTCACTTCCAAGTCCCGTGGCCCGAAACCTGCGGGAAGCAGGGCCTAAGTTCAAGAGTACGCAACTTTGTTAAATTGACACATGATTTCAATGACTTGTAGCGTCAAAGATATTGTCAGATCCACAGGCCCCAAATGGTTTGAATTGAATTGACAATTGCTTTGAGCAGAGTTCTCATTCAGCATCAAGATTTACCATTTTTACACACATACTGTACTTGTAGTACGCACGTCATTCTCTCTCTCTCTCTATCTTATATACATACACATACACGTACATACTAAGCTATGAATTACATCAATATACATATATATATATAGATATTATATATATATATTATATATATATATATTATATATATATTATATTATATATAATGTGTGTCATCACTAACAACACCATCATTATCTGTTCTCATCATGGTCCCCCTTTACGTCTTCCCTGGACTTCCTTAACAGGACACCGAGGGCCGGATTGGAGCGGAGTCTACTGTGAGGCAACTGCCATGGCCCTTGGATGAATGAGATATTCATGGGATAGTCATGGAATATATAGTACTGGTGCTTGTAATGGATTAATGGGATGTTTATGGAATATGAATGGGATAGTTTTCTGGGATATTTATATATACTTATGGGATAGATATTCATGGGCTAGAATGGGGTATAGTAGGTTTTAACTAGCCAATTAACCAGCTATTGGATAACCAACATTACAGTCAGCAGAGGATCAGCTGAAACTTCTATAGTTGATCGATCGTTGACCCAGTGCACATCCATGTATGGCCTTAATTCAGCATGGTAATTGTCCTATTTGGGAGGTATGACGTCCCATGACTCCGAGAGAAATCACTTCTATCCCATACCAAATACGTCATACGTAGCGGAAATCATCCGATTCGTTATGGCCTTAGTTTCAGTTTTGAGAGGTTCTGTCTTCCGTCAGCTGGGGCCAGATGTATGAAATGGAAATGGAGTCTGTATCTATACTACGGAGCATATGGGATATATTTACCGGTCCATCTCTTAGATCTCTTAGGTTTGTCTGAAAATATGGTACCCTCCCATTCCATCCAATGGTCACTGATCATGTTCCCTAAAGCTGCCATAAACTCGGGAAGACTAAGCATTTTCAGACCACACCCAAATCAATTTTTTGTTGGTAACACATGGACATGTTTGTTGGTGAAACGCTTCACCGTGAATGTCAGGTTTCTTCGTGAAATCCCCATGCCATGGCTGCCAGGGTAGCAGCATCATTGCGCACGAGTGCTTAGCCATTGTGGACCCTGACAGTGGCGATCAGCCCTTGTTCAACGAGGCCCTAGAAGTTGGGATGGAACAACGTGGGATGTTGGATTTTCCGCGAGACTTGTCAGCTCAAATCCCGTACAAATGCTTCGCATGCATCAAATTTTGGGCCTGGTTTCTCTAGTATTTCACTTCAGTATTTAAGTGTTTCAATGGTGTTTCAGTGTTTCACTATGTTTCACTAGTGTTTTACCATGTTTCATTTCTGTGTTTCTTTTCATTTCCACAAGGCCAAGGATATCGTGCTGGGTGTCAATGGAGAAATCTACAACTACACCACTCTGCAGGATTCCTTGGAGGCGCGCCTAGGCTCTGCATCCCGCAAGTAGTGACTAGAACCTATAGTGATTTAACATAATGGAAATCACCATTTATTATAGCTAAATCATTATCAATCATCTAGAAGTGGGCCATTTCCCATGGCTGTGTAAAATATCGTAAAATAAGAGGGTATATATAATATAAACATATAATATATATATATATATATTACATTATATTATATTATATTATATTGTGTTATATTATATTATGCTATTTTATATTATATTATATTGTATTGTATTTTATTATATTATATTATATATATATTCTATTATATATATATGTATATATATTTATTATATATACGGTATATTATATATACGGTATATATACACAAGACTATAATGTGGTAATCCCGGTAATCCCACTAGTAATGCGATATTTCGTAGGGTTTCAATGAATAGTTATGGGATATGTTTGGCTGAAGCATCCCCGATTGGGTTTATTGGCTATACCCTTATGAATCTTATGACTGACCTGTAAAATGACCTCCAGTAATGGTTGGTTTGTGGGATGGTTTATTTTATTAGGTTTACCACTAGTTTACCCGTATATTGATGGGGATGTTGCATTTACAACTAATGTGATTAAGATTGTTATTACCCATGCACTTACTAGCTGGGGTGCAAATCCATGTAGGAAAGCGTTTCTGATGACGAATCCGTTACTTGTTGGACATCAAGGTCCCTTTAAGTGCCAAGAATTAGGTCTGGAGCGCGACAGGGATGACTTTCCCTGAAGTCAAGCTGACCTTCTTTGTGGTTGATAGTGGGTCATGTATGTTTTATATGGCTTGAATAATCTTGAAAACAACCAAGTTACATCAAGTTATCATCTCATTATATCTCTATCTATATATATATATACATATATATATATATATATAATAGAAGTGTGTGTGTGTGTGCGTCGTCCATTCTAAGGGCACCGGGATTTCGACGCGTCCCCGAGGGCATGGCTTTTGTTGCCATGTATTGTAGGGCGTTCAGTCCAGACTTCACCATGCAGTGGAAGCAGAGAACTCCAGGGACTCCAGGGGGTACAGTCAAGGGTCAAAGTCGTAGCGATTCTTTGCTTTTGAGTCCATACCATTGGGCGAAGCTTCTCAGGGGGGTCGTAGCGATTGTGGCTGTGCCTATGAGATTTGCAGTGATTTGTTGAATCGTTTTAGAGGCTTTTGTGGGTCAAATCCATGTATTTCCGTTGGGTTCTTGGATTTGGCTGCGGAAAACAAGGGGCCTCCATATCCTTATATCATGCTAGATCATAGCCCTGCCAATAAGATTTGCTACAGCTAACCCATTTGCACTGCAAGAAATTTGAGGCTGTACCAATAGGGGTTTGATGTGGTCGCGCGACGCAGGACATCAATATAATATTTTCAAATCCAAGTTAGGAATAGCTGCCGAGAATTTGTTTGTATTAACTTGCGCCCTTCAAAATCATCGCTGTGCGCAATGCTTCGGCTACTTTCAACTAAATCTCTATAATTATAGATGAAAGAGGCTGTGCCATGGTGATTCTTCTTCCCTGATGTGACTTTCCACTACCTGATGTGACTTTCTGTATCGCCGCCGTGCCATGGGGATGATGTGACTTTTCCCGCATGATGTGACTTGGGCCCGGCGCTCGTATTATGTATTATTTGCTGAGGTTGTTCCCACATATTTTTCATTTAGCTTACATGGGGGAAACGTCCCTTTGGTCATTCCTCTTACATACCTCTTTTGGATGGGAGGGACGTTCGTTTTCTTTATTTGATGGTTTGGGGTGAAGAAGGGGTGCGGTGGCGCAGGGAGTTCCGCACTTCATGTTGTGGTCAATGCGCTTGACAACTCATGAATCAGGGGTCGTTCGGGGGGTCGTTCGGGGGTCGTTCGGGGGGTCGTTCGGTTGTATGTTCAGCACTTGTTTTCATTTGTGTTCTTTGTTTGTTCCTTTTTTTTATCTTCTTCCCTTTCTTTCTCACAGACTGTTACTTCTTCTCTTTTCATTGTTTCCTTCGTTCACTCAGTCTTACTCCCTCTCAATTCAAACCATTGTGGCAGAATGATTGTTTGTAATGCAAAGCAGTGCTGGCAGAAGAGTAGTCTGCAGTGCGAGGGGTGGGCTCTCTCGTGTTTGTTATAATGGTACTTTGTATCCTTCAAATGAAGGCAATCCCCTTGTGTTTTGATGGATTGCTGTGACCCTGCTGTGACCCGGTCGTGGCGACTTTTCCGCAAGCGGTTTGTCCACATTCAAAAAAATTGCTTTGACTTCAGCCCTCGACTGTACCAAACTGAAATGGCCAGGAGAAAGTTCCTGGCAAACACAAGTTCCTCACAAAGAGTGATTGCGAGGCCCAGCTGGCCCAGCTACAAGCTGCAACTTCGTAGTGTTTCCAGTATTTTCCAGTTAGGTGGTTTGTAACCCCCATGATCCATGAACTATAGCTACAAAATGCCTCTATTACACTCTGGTATACTGTTACAGTTTGCTATGGAAAATCACCAGCCATTTAAAAGGCAAATCAACGAACAAGCCATGGCCATGGCTTCCAGTTCGGGAACTGTAACCAATTACAGTTCGCCCCACGGGGCTCCACCGTTGCGAAGGTTCTCCTTCACCTTTATGCGGAGGCGATCCGTGCATTTTGGGGGATCAATCTCATAGGGGGAAAAGATGGGAAAAGGATTTGTAATCCTCTCTCCCTATTACTAAAGCAGGGAAAAAAACCCTTCCCAAATGGCAAACACGGTGGTCTATTTTTATTAGGGGGTATTTTGTATTAGGGCACCTCTAATATTCCAATGAACACCTTAATAATAAAAGATAAAAAACTTGATTTCAATTTTGATTAAATCCCTGATTAAAATCTATATAAAATATTGCCAAAAACTGGATTTCGAAGCTTTCCCGGAATATTCCGATGAAAAGCTTAATAATAAACATAAACACATAAAACTTGGGATATGGGACCCTTAAAAAAAAAACAAAAACAACTCCAGGTGTCAATCTATTTTGTCAATAGGGGGTTGAACCCTTTGTTTCACCATCTGATTCTCCTATTGATTCTCAATTACCACAATTAACAATCCAATTGTGCCCAACCAAACAAAAAACGGAAGTGCCCAACCAATGCTATTTTTTTTATTTGGGGGAGTTTAGTAATAGGAAGAAGGGGATATATATATATATACACACTATTATAGTATACGGTATGACTTATACAGGAAGAAACCCCCGAAGGTTTACAGTTCATGATTTATAAGTTATAAGGTGTTTTTACTAGGCTACCGATTGGATTCATAGTTGATATACATAAATAGTATATATATACACACTTTGATGGTAGCAGAAAACAACAATCCAAAACATAACAGGGAGCTCATTTGTCTTTGTTTATCACTTTCTGTGACGCTATATCGGTGTATATATGGTCCCGTCCTCCGTCTCTCCACCCCCCCCCCCATGGGTTGGGTCCCCAGGTAGTAGCCCCAATTCCCTTCTATTTGCAAGCTATTGGCAGCATTTCTGAGGTCCAGCGTCGTATTTGCTAGGTCTTTGCAGCATTTCTGACTACCAGCCTCGCATTTACTAGGTACATGCTACCTTTTAGGCGACCTACGTAGCACACATACTCCTTCAAAGTACCTACGTGCTACCTATAGTCATACATACATGTGCTATGTATCTACTGTATCTACTTCCTGTTTACTACCTGTGTACTCTGACAACACTACCTCTGTTGAACATATACCGTACCTACCATACATGTCAATGATGCCATGCATACCATACCTATCATATCTATCATACATACCATACATACCATACATATGAAATGTAATAACCACACCTACCATACATACAATAGCATACATACAATAGCAAGCATACATGCCATACATACCATACCTACCTTAGATAGGACATATTCCATACCCATCATAGTAACCATACATACCATACAGACCATACATACTGTCATATCAAACATACCATATCCAACAGACTTACATACCATACCTACCATCCATACAATACCAACCACTCATGCCATACATACCATACCTACCATACATACCAAACATACCATACTTTCCAAACATGCCATACCAGACCGACCATACACACCATACATACCCACCATACCATACCACACCCCCACCACACCACAGGGGGGGGAGGGGGACAGTGCCACACCCCCACCACACCACAGGGGGGGGAGGGGGAAGATCTCATATGGGACCAGTATATGGGACCCATCCACCACACCACAGGGGGGGGAGGGGGACAGTGCCACACCCCCACCACACCACAGGGGGGGGAGGGGGAAGATCTCATATGGGACCAGTATATGGGACCCATCCACCACACCACAGGGGGGGGAGGGGGACAGTGCCACACCCCCACCACACCACAGGGGGGGAGGGGGAAGATCTCATATGGGACCAGTATATGGGACCCATCCCATATGGGGGGGGGGAGGGGGGGGGTGGCAGGGCCTGGTGCATATATATATATATATATATAATTGTATATAATACACATCTATGAATATGCATAAGATTGCATAAGACATTACAAAACCAATATGATTCTGATTCCTGATAATATATAGATATACATATATACATATGCACATATACATACAATCATGCTTCCCCCACAAAAAATCCCTGGGATGCCTCCTGCTGCGACATCTTTTTCTCGTAGTCCATGGATGCAAACATCACCTGATGCGCTGAGGGGGTTCTCCGGGTCCACTCGTCCGACGTGAATCTTAGACCCCCTGCCATCTTTAAGCTGGTGACTGACGGTAAAGCAACAATAATCCACCCATATGTTGATAATTTTCTAGTGTATACTATCCATTTATGGTATTTTATGGTAAGTTTGGGGATGGGTTACTATTGCTTTACCAACATTGTATATATTATATATAATTATATATATAATTATATATGTTGCTCTCTCCATCGCCCTCTTGAATATACTATATAAAGTATATTTTAGTTATATGTATATATATACGGATATATATATATAATACGTGTGTGTGTGTGTCCCATTTGATCCCATGTCTAGCTTCTAGCACAGGTCAAATTGGTTTCACAAACTACCTAAAACCCGTCAGTTTACTCAGGGTATCGCTGGGATTGCATCAATTCATGGAAAACGGTCAAACGCTAAACATGATTAAATCATCCCAGTCACTAATCATCCTGCAGGGTGTCATGATAACATCATCCTGCCTCATGACCCTCACGCTTTTCTGTACATCAATCAAATATGTTCGAACTACATAACCAGAGGCTGGAATTCTACCATGTGGTAATTCAAAGGATTTCAAAGGATTTCAAAGGGATCATGGTTCTCAAAGCAATCGAAACAGCTGAAGAGAGCTGAAACTGAACCATCTTCCGCAGTACACTGTTTTTTTTGGGAATGGTAGGAACAACATTGAACAACTGCTTGCATCCAGGTTGCATGAGGAAAGTCCACGCAGAAATTGTAGTCAATCCTTGGCTTTCCCAAGGCCCTGGGTCTGACAACCACCAACTCAACTATATGCACCCTCCCGTAATCACGCATGGCTTGCTTAAAAAATCATCGAATTTATATAGTTACATTGTATGATTTTTCCAGCTACAGACCTTCATTTTTCAGAGGTAAATGTCCCAATTTTTCACATCCTCCAACGGATGTAAAATCTCCAACAGATACTTCAACTCAAGTGATGTTCAAACTCGGTCGAGCCACGGGAGGAAACAGTGGATTCGACCGCGGACCCTGCAAGCACTCAGGGTGTTGCTGGTATCCGGTGAAGCCCCGGCTCCTCCAAAAAGTTCTTGGAAAACTTGGCTGAGCCAAAAGTTGGATCCAAAAAGGATCAAAAAGGGACAAATGGATACAAATGTATGAAAACGGAAACGCCGTATTCGTCTGGTGATGTTACACCTCTAGAGTAATATCAATTGTGTAGATCGTATTGACAAGTTGGTGCTTCCAAGCTGGCCGAAAAATTATATTTGTCACTGTCATCGTCCCTTCTCTCTCTCTCTCTCTCTACATTGCCATCTCCAAACAGTTCAAGAGAAACTGAAGGCTTAGCAAGCGGGGGATGGGTTTTAGTCTTTGCACGGCAAGAAAATCAAAACGACCAACATACTTAAAATTACTGAAAATCCATGAGGATCGGATATACATATATATATATATATACATATAGATAGATAGATATTATTGTATACCAATGTATTTATATACTGTATGTATATACACATTCATGTATATATATATATACATAGATGCATACAAAACTATTTAAGCACACACATACACACACATATATATATATAATTACATGTGTGTGTGCTATATATATATATATATTATATATATATATATGTGTGTGTATAACTATGTACATATATATAAACAAGATCATCCAAAGACCATATCCCAACGTCCACCACAGCTTCTCCTGAAAGAGCACAGCCTTCGAAGCTCCCCTGAGAGTCCCAGAGGACAGCTCCCAGGCGCCAGAAGTTCTCGGTGGTGAGATAGGCATCCATCAAAGACTGGAAAGTGGCCTTGACCCAGCTGTAGCTGTTGGATGTTTTTTGTTGCGACTACAGCTGGGAATTAACATGAGAAATATGAAAAAATGAGACTGGGTAAATTGTTGATTGGCTTTGAAGTAATTAAGAAGAAACGAATTCACGAAACAGGCACGAGTTTCACAGGGCGCCCGGGTGCATGGGGGTGGCAACAAGGCTGGCAAGTCTTCCCCAGCCAAATCGTCCCCGGTGCGGTGAGTTATAACTTACACATCATGAAGATGTCATCAACATCCATGGCCTCAGCGAAAGCATCACGAACTCATTACAACCTCACCCGACACCGCGTAGGTTCATGGTGTGTCTGAACATGAAGTATACCACCAGTTATGGCCATACCATATCTATACAGCAAATAACATATATATATATATACGTACATATGGACAAACCAGGGTATTTTGGAGCACCCAATTTTCGACAGCATGCATCAGCAGTGCTCCCGCCATGTTGGGCCCCGCCTGTCCCAGAACTCCTATCTTGTCGGCAAGGGAGCGGAAGGCAGGTTGCTGCACTGCTTCCTTTATGCGTTCAAAGGTGAATAAATTGGGCCTCACAACCATCACCTGGGCGCAACACACAGCCCCGGGTTCTTAGCCTTACAAGGTGTATGAATAAGGTGCATCCTCTAGGCCCACGGTGTTCGCAAGGCAGCTATAGAAACAGCACATTGATCTAGACTCAAAACTGTTAAACCGGACATCACCTACCCAAACATTGAACATCTGGGTAAATTATGATAATTCACCAACCTGAAAAAAGATGATTATTGGGATAATTTCCTTCACTAACCATTTACCCAGAAACCATGGGAGCTTCGTGCAAGTGACAGCCGCATTCAGCAGGTAGGTCCGCCCATGGCCAAATATCTCTTCCTGGTCACCTCAAGATGTATCAAGCCACGATGCTTTCAGGGGCTGAGTTTCGATCTATTCATTTTTGTGTTGCAGAAAAAAGGGCGGAATGGTTTACCCTCTGGTAAACTAACGTAGCTATGGAAAATCCCCATGTTTGATAGGTAAATCAACTATAAATGGCCATGTTCATAGCTATGTTATGAGCAGAAGGAGGAGATGGGATAACCTCGAACCTCAATTTACCTATCCAAAATTGGTCGTTTGGCCGGGACGACCTTGTGACCAAACAATATCCCAACTGGTAATCGAAAAATACTATCAAGCAATACTCTATATATATAATATATATATATGTGTGTGTGTGTTTTAATATATAATGTTAAAACATTAAATTGATTATACATTTATATACAGTTATTAGAAGTGTATATCCATTTCCAAGGATGGACCCCTCGACTCATGGCCCCATCGTCTCCCATGGTCCCTTGCAAGCTACGATGGGTCTCAGGGGCTGCAGCAAGGATCAGCGGCAGCCGAAAGAGTTCATGACACGGCTGGAGCATGAGGACGTCCTCATCAGGAGCTCTGAGAAGATTCTGACGTCATGGAGCGAAACCGCTGAGGTCCTGAATCCCAGGTGGTTGATTGTGATTAATTTTCGCATATTTACAAACATAATTATATACACATTTAGTATCATACAGTATGGGATTCAGGGCTGATGCCAATAGGCTAATAGTCGTTTTTTTTACGATTATACATGGTTTAGTTTTGAAACATATGCGAATTGTTTATTCTTGCGTAGGAAGTGGATGTGATAGATCATCGACATGATTTGTGGCGTAGTAGTAACGATCTATCTATCCATTTGGAACCCACACACCCTAATAAGGGGTTCCAATGGTTTGCGGGAAAATCCCCTGGAAAATCCTCCAAAAGTGGATGTCAATGGAGAATATCCACCATTTCTAATCTGCTATGGCAATGGTCGATGATTAATTACCCAGGACTAGATGATGCAAAATTTCAAATCGAAGTGATGTGCTACGCCATGCAAAGCCCAAGCCACATTACACCATCCTCAAATTTTACCAGAAATCGATGGTACAAACCAAGTTATCATTGGGTTTACCATGTTTCATCACATTGAAGATATTGTATCACGCCAAGCTGCAGCATCCAAAACTACAACTCGTGTGTACTCCTCAGCTGGGCAGTTGAAACCGCTGCTTCATAGGATCACACAAATGAATGATGATCATCCCCAAAATATATTCAATACACGGATGTTTTCCTAAATGGGGATACCCCCAAATCATCAAGTTTATTCAATGTTAATTACAGTAATCAGATTTTCCATTCTCAACCATCCAGCTATATCCCGATTTCTGGAAACCCCATGCAACCCCCATGTATTGGGTAGTATAACATAGTATAACATAGTATATATAACCCCATTTCTCGAATGACCGACCATCTTTCAGCTGGGCAGCCGTTAGGGTGAAGGCTGCCAGCTGAGCAAAGCTGGGTTGGAGCCCGCGGTCTTTGAACCAGTTGCCCAACTGCAGCGGGGTGGAGTTTCCAAGGATCCCGGAGAAAGATGATGAAACCACCAAGGATCCAGTCAGATTTGCTGTTGGGAATGTCTGATATGTCTGGGAACCCTTTTTTGTTGTGAATTTCACATGAGAAGTCGTTGAAATCGTGTAATGTTGTTCCTTGAAAACGAGTCACTGAATTTTCAAGAACTGTGCCTTGGGAGCATGTTGGCATGTAGGCACCGTCCCTGACTTTCCTAAACCATCCTACACCTGTGAAAATTCTGGGACTGATCAATCCTGACTATTAATTACAGTGCTTCTCGGTACTAAAATTGGTACAGTACCCCCTACTATATAACTGGCACTCAATTCAAAAATTGTCTATTTAATAGTCATAGGACCTATATAACTGGTTTTTGGATGTTAATGGTTTATTGAAACATCTAATTCCCTGCGGGGATCCTGGGAAAAATGAACTCGCTACAGCGCACAGAGGATCCCAGGCCGCCTGCCGTGTTTGCATGTCGAAGGAGGAGTTCCAAATCTAAGGGCGACGCTCTTTTCGTCATCGTTTTCGTCAAGTTGCTGGGATCTCCGGGAGAGATTCTCATGAGATTTTCTGTAGTTTAAGATGGCATTGGTTTATGGATGTTTATCTACAGAAACTTATGGATGTTTATCCAGATGGCATTTTCTGTAGTTTAAGATGGCATTGGTTTATGGATGTTTATAGGATTTATAGGCACATGAGTGTTCCGAACACTTCGTCGACGATTTGCAGCCGAGATGCTGGGATCGTTTCATTGTCACCTCGGGTGAGTCAGTCACCCTGGGAAAAAGTCATGCAAGAAACGGTGAAGCAAAGGATGCACCATGGGCACCATGCACTGTGCACTTTCCAGAGGGTTGGGGATATAATTCAGGTATAAGAGGCATGGTTCCATCGTCTTGGAATTTGTTCGCATGTCTTCTCACATGATGTCAACCTCTCACGAAATTGAAGCACAGAATGCACATGCCAAAGATCAGTTCGATCTGGCAAATGGTAGCTGATTCAATGTCTTGGCTGCAAAATTACCCATATATCTGCAACAGATCTGATTTGGCTGGTGCTACAACTTCAGCATGTGCCTATGGGTCGCACTCGTAGCCCATCTGAGCGTAGCCTCAGACAGGTGAGGCTGGGACTGAATCCATCAAATGGAAGCAAAATGAAGAAAGAACCAATTACCCCTGGATCCGGGTTCTTCAAAATTCAGTTATATATATATAGAGTCATATATAGTCTCATATAGTTATATATAATAGTTATAGTTATATAGATATAGAAAGTCTGGAAAAAAAACGGATGGCAGTTGATTTTCCTCAAGCTCCTAGCAACCCTTGTCCCCTTCCACTGCTGGGTACTATTTCATACGAACGTGACCCACATCAGGCCCAGTAGCATGGCTAGCCTTGGCTACCACACCCGTAGCTAGCGCGCGCACACACTAGATAAGAATGGATCATTGTAGTGATCCGGCAGGAACTGAATCCTGTAACATGCAAATTAGATATATATATGTATATATATATGCGTGTGTGTGTCTAACCGACTATGAGACATTCCTCCATACAAAATACCGATGAACCGATGACCCTGCGCTTGTCAAACATGCATTTTTGGGTGGAAAAATGAACGGTTCATGGTTTATCTTGACCACAAATGGTGAAGATCAACGAATGAACTATCAACCGGCAATTAGTCACATTAGTCTAAACGCATCTTTAAGCCAATTTAACAAATTTATCTATACTCATATTATACTCCAAGAAAGATCTAAAGGATGGGTCAACATGGCTGGGAAATCCCCGAACCAAATTCCCTAATTACGAATATTTACATGGAGCTTTAGAGCTGGGAGAATCATAGATTCATCCTATGGTATGTCCATGTTCATAGAGTACCATGGATTTTCCATTACTTTTTCTAGGAATGGTATATCTATGGTATATCCATATTCATCATATCTATACATGAAGGATTTCCTACTGCCAAGCAGCTCCGAGGCGACCATGTCGGGCACGTCCCCCACGGTCAAAACCAGGAAGGCGCGCAAGGTGCCCGCTCCCGTTGCCTGTTTCGAACGGCGCTGAGTTTTTGCCATGGAACACATTGTGCAAGATTATGTGTAATTATCCTAAAAACGTATGTGTTAAGACTGTCAAGATGATATGTATGTATGTATATATATATATGTGTGTGTGAGTGTGTGTATGTGTGCGTATAATCATGTATATATGATATCCATCTATTCAATGATCTATCATCTTTTGCTACTGATTGCATGCACTTAGACATATGACATATGCAAAACTGCAAAAAAAAGTTGTGTCATCACTATATCTGGCCATGTTTCCACAAGAGATTGCCAGCGTTAAGGAGACATGCTGACAGGTCCAGTACAGCCGTACAGCTCAGCTACCTCCCACTTCCGCACGGAGTGCGCCATGGTTCGAATGACCTCCACACCCAATGCGGGCCCAAAAACGGACCACAGATTCGCCGCACATCACCACAAATGAACATACACGAGAATTACACAACAAGAATCGCAAGACTACAGAAAACAGATCTGAACTGACTGTATAATCATCATATTAATTTTATAAACTGCCGAAAAGTATCCACGCAGGTTGGTAGTTCGATGATGTTTCCCAATCATTTCCAAGGTGTCCAACTTTTCTATCCAAAACTTGGGGTTGCCAATGGGTTGCTATGGTTGCTATGGTTACATATAGTTGCTATAGGTTGATGTGAACCCGTGGAGGCCCATGAGCCTCTGAGTTCAAAATGGCCGCCTTTACCGCGCGGTCACTCTCGCCACCCCAAAGAAAGGTCACCCAGGCCTCACATGGTCGAACCAAGATCCCCAAGGTCTGGTTGAAAAACATCAACAAGAACCGGTTGGTTGAAACTGATGCAATTCTGGGCTTCTTGGGAATCATCATCATCATCATCATCATCATCATCAATCCCATTCGGCCTCCTTTGAGGTGCTGTTCGCCTCTCGGATGCTGTTGAGAGTGCCTGTGCAGAGCTTGAGGCCGGACATGGTGCAGAAGTCCAATGGAAACTAGATAGGGAATCCGCATTTTGTGGGGATCAATGGGATACGCTCAAGGCACAAGAATATACAAAATTGTAAAACGAACAATTATGACGAAAATGATGGGTGTCTGACAATGCGGGATACCACCCAATTTGTGTCAATTTTCACAGGGAATGAACCATTGGATTTTCTCTCACCTTCTCTCACCTTCTCTCACCTTCTCTCACCGTCTCTCACCCGATTTTCAAGCAAACCCAAACCCCAGTAGTGCAGGAGTTTTTGACCTGGTTGTCTCGAAATAGGCTTGAACATGTGGAAGCCTAAAATCTATAGCACGCCAGGCGGGGTAGGACTTGGTGGTTAAGCATGGTTCATAATGATTAATTTTAATAAATGTCAATTTTTATATAGTAATGCTTAATGATGGCTAATAATGGTTTATGATCGCCAATCATGATTAAGAATGGTTCATGATGGTTAATGACTGTTAATAATGGTTCATGATGGCTGACCACGGTCAAGAATGGTCAATGATGGTTCAAAATCTATTTCGGTGTTTTTTCATCATCTTCCGGAGTTAAAAAACATTGCCACGTTGGGCAACTATGGACACCTCTTGCAGCTGAAGATAGCCGGGAAATCCCCAAACTCAATGGAGCTTGTAGCTGGGAAAACCATCGAATCGAATCATAATTGTCCATTGCCATGTTGGATTACCTGATTGTAATGGCAATGTTAATCATTTATATTCAAAATGTTGGATTACCTGATTGGATATCATTTATGGGATTTATGGGAATCATACCTGATTGTTAGATGGATTACCTGATTGTTAGATACCTGATGTTAATCATTTATATTCAAAACAAATGCCGAGGAACTTGTCCATCTTGCTGGGTGTAGCTATGCGACAAATGTATACAAATGTTATGCGTGCCAATTTCACGCGGAAAAAAGGTACTTGCTTTGCACCCACTTCTGGAGCAGCCCATCAACCGCCATCAGCTAGTCCTGCTGCCCAGGGGCTTGGTGATTGCCTCGGTGTCCTTTCCCGCAGCGTCTCGTGGAAGTGCTGGATGTACTTCGCTTCGGCCGACAGCAGACCCTGCCCGGAGGATACCGGCAGTCTTATCGGGATTTCACCAACCCCCAGTTCGGGGACCACCCAAAATGAGAGCTGGGTAAAACATGTTAATAAAGCCCTTAGTAGTGGTTGTTGGTTGTTAATCACGTTAATTAAGCCCTTAATAGACCCCTTTTTTAAAAAGGGGGCACCTTTGAGTGCTTGACTCCCAATGATCTTCGGCTCAACACGGGCGCACACAAAAGCAGATGGCTTTTGTAAAGAGCCTAAAACCAGCCAAAAATAAGAATTGAAATACCCCCAACCATTCATGTTTCCAAAGTCCGAAGAAAACAACATTGATCACATGAATCGTGGAAAAAACCTTGAAAAAAACACCAAAACATGGTGTTTTGGTTCGAAGAAGCTGCGGAGACATCCCCAGGCGACGGCCCTCCGGCACCTGCTCTGGAAGATCCTTGGCAGGGCAGAAGTCTTCCGCCTGGGACGTCTGAGTCAATGGAACCGAAGGGATGAAGCATCCCTTCGTATTATCCAAATAAATCCAAATAAGGAATATCATGTAACATCGATCATTATAAGAATTATATTATTTATATATCATTATATTTATAATAATAATATTTATTATCATTATTATTGTTATTATTATTATTATTGTATACTTATATATACGACTTGTACAACTAATACCAGTGTGGAATGTCAAATGGAATGCATGCCCAGGTGCGGTCCGCAGCAGCAACATGCGGTCCAGGCGTTTCTGAAGCCGTGAGAGGATGGGCAACAAAGAGTCAGAGGCGATGAGCCTTGGTGATCTCTCTGGGGGCCGATGCCCTGATTTTTCGTCCAGAAATCACCCATCAAAATGGAGATTTCCACCAAGAAACATGGAGAGTTAAGCAGTTAAGCCAGAAAAAACAGGAGTTGGCCAGACTTCTGGGATATCGTTTCCATGGTATTCCATAGCTATATTTCTTTACTCTTTACTGGAGGGTATATAGCCCATATATAGCCCATATTATGGCACCCCTTGGGGCTGGCCCCTGGTCCTCCGAAACGCGGGACCAGGTCGCATCAAAGTAGCGATGCGGGCAGCTGGGGTCTTCCAGCCATCATTGGGGCCTTGCCTCGGAAGGAAAAATACCGTGATGAATGATGGTTAATGATGGTTAATGATGGTTAATGATGGTTAGTGATGCTTAATGACGGTTAATATTTATTGGTTAGTAATGGCTTTAATAGTGGTTAAGTATGGTTAAGTAATGGCTATAGTAATAGTCAATTTACGGTAATACAGGCCAATAATGATTCAAGAACGGTCAATAGTGGTCAATGATGTGGGCATAATGGCATAACCAACAACAATGAATGAGTGATGCATAATTGGAATAATGTGGTAAGCCTAATGAGCCTGAGGTTCAAGCGCATCTCCGATATGTCCATAAATGAGTGGTATAAACCATCGCCAAATGGTAGCTTTATCATTGGGTTTAGCCACATTATTGGTTTCACCCCACATTATTGGTTTCACCCCAATATTGGTTTCACCCTTATCATTGGGTTTATCATTGGATTTAGCCACATTGAGAAACTTCTTTGTACCTCCAGCGATAATGTTGCTTTTTCCCCAGTCGTATAGGGGCTGACACAGAATCCTTGGGACCAATTCTGGGATCACCCGCGGCAATCCAACTCGAGATCCACCAGTGGTTGGCTGTCCGTGGGTAGGTTGGGATCCGATTCTCTAATCAGCAGGATCAACTCATATATAAATAAAGTGGATTTGTTATCGCATGTGTGTCTTTTTCGATCCTTTTCGTATATCATTTTATGTTTTGGGACACCCACAGCATTCCAAATATGTCCAAATCACACTTAGCGAAAGATTGGACCACAGAAACTGGGGGAAGACATTGAACCCGAGCAACATCCACCACATGAGTTCTTGCAGGTGCAGCTGGGCAGTCCTTGGCTGCGGGGCAACATGGGTCTCAAAATGCCTAAACAATCTATGGCAATGTTGATCATTTTGAAGTGGCAAAATGATGATGATGATGATGATGACGATGATGATGATGGCGATGATACGCTAGTGGATTAATTGCTATTTAGAGGGATACTTACTGAAATTGTTCGATTTTCAGGCACACCTTGTCAACCACAAAAGTGTCTTTTACGTTGAAACATGTTGAAACGCAAAAGTTCCCTGCAGCCGTTCCCATGCCCTGCAGCCGTGAAGCTCAACGTGTCGTTCCATCACCTTGGCAAATATGTATCCAGTGCCATGACTGGCCTGGGATGTCATAGCTTTGGAACCGTGAAGGATTCAAGTTTGAAGTGGGTTGTCCATACCATTTTTTGATCTTTGCCAGTTGACCCACAATGCTTATGGGTGAATCATGGTGAATCCATGGTATTTGTGATTGCTGTCCTCATTTTGCGAATCAACTGCACCACCATGTGAAATGTTGTCAAATCGCAATTCATTGATCAAGTTTAAACAACCAAAACATCAATGATGTCCTTTTCAGACAAAATGGGGCCCGTTTGGCATACGTTTATCATCATTTACCTCTATCTTGTTCATTGGATGCGAGCCCTTTTTACATCACCCTGCTAGTGGGACAATGCCATGTACCCTCCAGTAAATCAACATTGATATGGAAAACCTACCATGCAAGTAGATCATTTGCCGGGGCTGTCCTTTCCCCATTGGTTTCCCGTGTGTTCTGTTCATTTCCCAGAGTCTGCAGGGTAAATTTCCATATCCCAAACACTAACATAGCAAAAAAAATAAAAATAAAAAAACTTTCAACAGGTAAGATTTCACGAGAGTATATCCCCAGTTTGTTGGTGAATTTTATCAGCTTTTCATGGTTCATCCACCCGAACGGCGGCGCGTGATATTTCGCCCAGTCTCTCCGAGCTCTTCCCGGCGGAGGGTGCTGCCAGCATCAGCGGCCGCAAGCTCTGCAGCTTCTAAGGCCTTGGGCGACTGCGGGATTCGTGGCCGGTAGGTGCTATAATTCCCTATAACGAGGGATGCATTGGGATATCCCGGATATACCTCAGTTACTAATCATTTGGCCAATTCTGGCATGGCAACATCCTAGCGGGGACTGAACCAAGAAACATGATTAAACATGTGGATTTGACTTAAGCTACAAAACAAAACTGTTGGGCTCCAGCTCGCAAATTGTTAGATTACCAGATGGTATTAAAATAGATTGTAGTTCCAGTTATACCGAAGTTATACACCATAAAATGGATATCCCCATGATATCCCCATGGAAGGTACCCTCCTGCAAACTTAGATGTGGAAGGCCCACCATTTGCAGATCATATTCGGGAAACCAAGGATTTTTCCACATCTATGGTAGTTTATCCCTTTCTCTATGTTAGTTTCCCCATGAAAATCACAAGTCTTCCATGATTGTCCCATAAAAATCACATTTTTCCCGTGAAAATCATGTGTTTCCCATGTGTTTCCGCAACTTCCATGAAGCCACCATGGATTTCGCCATATTTCGCCATATTTCGACTCCCTGGCCTGGTGTGCTTGCGTTAAAGGACATCCCGTGCGCGCTAACCTTGCAGCTGGCCAAAGATCTGAAAATGCTGCTATAATCAATGGGAATTTCAGGATCCTAAAATGGACTGTACCATATAAGGCCATATTTTCTGGGGATATTCCCTTACATAGGCCTTACATAGGCCTTATATATGGTAGGTACCTCCAATTTAGGATCCTGAAATGGCCATTGATATAAGATTAGTGTTATTTGGCTGTATATAATATCTGAAAACAATATTGGCTGTATATAATATCTTACTTAACTTAGTGTTCTTAATCTATTAACACCAAGCCCGGCTATGGTTATTATAACTTTTTTTTTTTAATGCTAAATGGTGGGAAAATTATAGTGATTGATATCTATATGGATAATTGATAATGGTTATTATACTTACTGGTGCTCGGTCGGGAATGGGGGAATGGGATGATTATTTAAGGTTATGGATTGAATCATTCCTCCCTTCCCTACTGAGCACCAGCAAGAATATGAATTACTATAATCAATTTAATGAATAATTCGTATCGTATATTTACTATATATAGTATTTATTGACGCTACTATAGGATATGAAGTATCAATGAATATAATGGATGAACATGAGGATATGATATTAATTAATATATAAATAAAATAACTAATTAATTGGTATACATTGATATTCATTGAAAATCATTACTATTCTTAAGATCCATTAATATATTTTAATGCCCACTCATATGCATCAAAACAACTATATAATATTCATTAATACTCATGAATAGGGGATATTAGTGGATATTGATGAATATAGACATGAATACTGTATGAATGGATATCAATGGACATTAATGGATATAAAATATAAATAAATAGATATTAAGGATAGTAACTCATAGTGGTGAATATAAATGAATACGAATGTAGTATATTCATGATATTCATGAATATTGCATAGTGTAGTTGATGCATATTAATGGATACGAATGAGTATTATGCAATGGTTTTGAACTGGGTATGGATGGAGGCCAGCAAAAAGTGGTCGATATGCATATCAATCGATGTTAATTAATAGCAACGGGTACAATTAGATAGTAACGAGCATCAATTAACGGATACAAATGGACAACACTATAGATAGTAATGGGATATGTCCATTACAATGGGATACAGGACAGGAAGGGCTCTCGAAATGGGGGCAAATCCCAAAATCATTTAAATTAATTATCACTTCATGATGTCATTTCCAACAGGGAAACCAATCGAAGACACTTCTCCCATCTCTCCCATTTGTAGATGATGTACATATTTTTCAAATGGGGATTGATAAGTAGCTTACTATAAATGGAGGTTTTGTCATGTGGTTGGGAAACTCTTAGTGGCTCCGGAGTCGCTGGGGAAAATCATCGAAACGGCAAGCAACATTCCGTGCGACTCCAAGATCCCACACAGGGATACACCGGAGAGATATTCAACGTCTATCCTGGCGCAACCAAGGGCTACCCTGGAGCCTAGCCTTAAGCAATATAGAATGAATTGAATTAATATAATGTGTATGTGTATATATATATATAATATATATATTATATAAATGGAAAACCAGTGAGTTAATAACGAAAATGATCTAAATCCATCTAATTTCATGATTCATGGTGGGTTGTTCATTTCAGCGTTAGCCTGCCGGGGGTTACACCCCGTTACATCTGTGCAATGGAAGAATTTATATAAAGTAGGGCAAACTACCAGAAACCCGGGTTTTGACCACCCAACAAAAGGGATGTGCCCTTTGTTTAAACCAAAAGTGGGAGTTACAGTATACGTAGTCCAAACTTGTCCAGTAACAAGTTGGTCAAGCTCCTGCTATGATACATAGTTGATACGTAAGGATATCGTCACGATAAGCTGATATAGTAGCACCCTATGGCGTTTAATTGCTGACAAAACGGATTAACAAAGCCCTGGTTCACAAATAGTGGGGGCATTGGTTATAAGTCTGTTGGGCCCTTCATTGACCATGATCTGCGAGGATCAACTGAACTATATAAATGAACAGTTGCTCCAACAATTGCCAAAGAACTTGGTGCCCACACATTCACCAATGATGTTCGCCAGGGATGCCAGGGTTTTGACGCGCACCCAGATTGTTTTTTTTGGTTTTTGCCATCCCGCTATAGCAATCCAAGTCATAGATAGAAACGTTGGAAACCTGGAAGTTATGAGGTAAAAACTAAAAACATCGGGGAAAAAAACATTCAAAACAAACACCCTGCAGCAACTTCTCGTGTGGTTTCACGTGGTATCCACGTATTTGGGTCTTCCACCGCTCTTCCGTCCGTCGAACCCTGAGGAATGATGATCTACGGAGCCTGGATAGGGAGCCTGTCCGATCTGCCCTGTCTCGAGTCTCCTGTCTCGGCGGTGCGCAACAGCCCACAGATGTTGGTTTCGTGGCAAATCATCCGTTTTTGTTGGGTTGATAATCGTGATTCGTGATCTTGACCCATACCCGTTGGTTCAGGTTCGAACATGTTCGAACCTAGATATGCTTGAATCTCGGCTTAAAATGGTTCCTGAAGGCTGTGTAACACCGTGCCACCGCGAAGTTGTGAAATCTTCGTTTCCACTGACGATCTCCAAGATCATACAGGATGGGCACTGTGGGACTCTCTCTCTCTCTCTCTCTCCATCAAATGTGGGGCTATCTCCCTATTGTTATAATTACTCATAATTCTTAATATAATATATTCCCGGTTGTATCCTCATGATCCCATGATCATCTCCATCATTATCCCCAGAATGGTCCCTAAATGTTGCTTACATCCCCCATCACTAAGTTTTCCCAGCACTCCCCAGAATTTCTGCCTAAATCCTCCAATGTGGCTCCAGTATTTCCCAACTGTTCTTTAAATTTGCGATCCAGAGGGCCCCTAAAATGAACAAATATTCCCAACATTCAATAGATTCCCCAAATACATCCAAATACTGGATTAAAAATTAAAACCTAGGAAAGCATACTTCATAATATCATATCTCAGATCATTTGGTTGGGAAACTCTTTGGTAGCTCCTTGGCCGCCCATTGAAGATGAAATATGGATACTCTAATCGTTCCTTAGCTTCCCCGCAACCATTGAATAGTGTTTCTTAAAATTGGTGATCCCCAAGACCAGGGCTTCCAAAAATGGTTTAATCATTAGATGATTTGGGGGTACAGCCCAATTTTTCGGAAACCACATCATCACCAGGGCTCCACAGTCCCCCGGCGGCCCCGACCTGCGCCTTCCGCAGCCTCAGTGCGAAATCCTCCGCCACGGCACCACCTTGCCCGCGCCGCAGGCGTCGCAGCTGCGGACGCAGGGCGCGGAGCAGGGCGAAGAGGGGCCAGCCGCTGTACCTGAGTTGCCAAGGGAAAATCCAAAAAGTAGGAATAGTTGATGAGTTTTCATCGTTTTTTGCCCAAGGAATCCACAAAAAATGGGTGACGCCTTTAATTTTCCGACTTTTTGATCAAGGGCAGATGGCCCATGAAGACAAATCTACCCACTCAAGTGTGGCAGCTGGTATGTTCGACTTGGAGTTGATGAAGAAAACATATGTAGTATAATTAATGTATATTTTGTGAGGTTGGGGATGGTGGATGTGTGGCAAAGACATGGGATCACTGATGGTTCACCATCAAGAGATATTCAGAGTCTGATTTGAAGCAAGAAACATTGGCTAGCAAGCCAAATTGAGGTGTCCATCCGTGAAAAGTGGGACTTTCCGGAAGCAACTTGGAACCCACCAAGTCTGCTTGGAAAAAGACTCAAAGACTTGACGGCATGGGGACAGCTATGGACATGGTCAAGGTATGTCAAGGTCCAAGGCACAGAATGTCCAGAAGCCGAAATCCAGGCCTAAGGTGCTCGACGAAGTCAAGCTGTTGGCAACAGCCTTTGGAAGACCCTGTTAGATTCGATACTCTCAGTGTCATCAGTTTATCACTGGTGAGTTTTCCCGGAATCTAAGCATCCGACATTTCAGGTATGGTGACTAGCGCTAAACTGTCGCAAACCCAGGAGCCATCAATGTGCAGTCCCACGGTGCTCTCAAAAGCCGTTACTTCGGCAATCTCAGTGAAATTCGCCGAGATTAGCTACTTCCAATGTAAATCCAAGAAACAACGTGCAATTGAGGATGGCGTCGCAGTTCTGATCAAAATTGGTGGTGGTCTATTTGTCCGACGTGCTCCGTGCACGGCATATTCAAACACCCTTAGCCCAGCATACCCTCTGGTAAATTTACATATATAACTATGGAAACTGGCCCATTTATAGTGGATTTACCCATTAAAAGTTTTGATTTTCCATAGCTATGTTAGTTTACCAGTGGGTAACACACATGCAACATGCCATCTTGAATCAGCCAAGGCGCAGGTTCCATAGAAAATATCCCAAAGATGAACCCAGGAGTTCCCATCTGTGCACCTGACAAGACATCTAAACCGAGAACAAATGGTTAAAGCTGCCCTGGTGAACATCAGAATACCTTGTATTTCGATGTATTTCGCAATAGTAAATGATTGCAAATAGGAAATGATACACAATACGTAGATAAGAAAAAAATCAAACATGGCATCCAAGGTTTTGACCCATCGACACGGGTTAAGATGAATTGAGGGATATCTGGAGGTACATCTCTCTCTAGCAGTGATTACAAATGGGTTGCCGCAGCACTTTGGAGGACTAGGCAGCGATGAACAGCGACATTCGGCCGTTCATATCTTTCATCATCTGCGTTTGCCTGAAAATGGGGACCCCCCTAATGTGATGCTTGATCACTATCCTCCCCTTTAACATATTTTAAAATCACAATTTAGCCGGTAGACCTCATTTTCAGACACACCCAAATCTATCGTTAAGTTCGCTCGCTCCCGAGCCCACGACTCTCCAGCCCCTTTTTCAACACCGTGCGCCTCTTCGTGCGAATCTAAGAGCCGGATGTCAAAGGCATAGCTCTCGGGATGGCTTAGGAGCATCAGAATGTGGCCCACCACCACGCCTGGGATGCTCGGTGTTGGAACTTCCAAAAAAGGGCTGCAAAGTTGGCGAGTTATGATATGCACGAAATCAAGAGCTCAAGAATTCGATTTTGGGAAATTCGATCTTGGGCGTTTCCAAAAACAGTGGTATAAATTGGTATAATAGGTACACCTGTTCACCATGGGTTTTCCCTTTGAAACATGACCAATGTTGGGATGATCATTATGATCATCCCACCAGCTTGGGCTCAGTCGCCCAAAGGACAGCTCTCCGAATTGTGCACGCACTCCTCCAGCGCCGTGAATCGCCTGGGACCCCCCTCTGTGTTAGTTGGGGGTATGATAGTAGTTCCTGTGTGATGGTTGATTTTCAGTGAGTTTGAAATGAACACTGGAAACAACGACCAAATGAAGAGATTTGGTGGTGCATGAGCTACATCATCTTATCATCTCTAGACCTTAAGCTGTAGTGTATGGAGTAACCTGGTGCTTTGCGATCTGTGTAGTCTATCTGAAGCACTTTCAGCCTGCAAGCATCTCACCTTGCATTTGAATACCCTATGATTCCAGCCACAAAAACAACAGCTGGATGAGCAGTGCTGGCTACCGTTATATGAGAATATATACTCACTAACCAAACTAAAATAACACCTTCAATCCAATGAATAAACCAGGCCTAATTTATACACTTTAATTAATTTGAAAAGGTATCAAAGCCCATACAGTACAAGTACCAAAGAAAAGCGGTAGTATATTAAAATGTTCATCGGTAAATTGAGGGTCAACGCGATCCGAAACAATTCCACTGTAAACCAGAGGTTCTTGGGGGAGTACTGGCTGCAGTAAAATTAAAGTAGCACAAGACCATCCCGAATTTTGCGATTTCGGGTATGATAAAACATCTTGAATTGAACATTGGGGTTACCATATTGCTTAACATCAGGGTAAAGGATTACTTGGATTTGTTTAAGGGCCCCCCTAAACTATTTCCGCAGCACATTCCCCAAACGGTGGATTAATCAAAGAGAAATAGGGAAATACATTTTTAACAAAAAAAACATTCAGAAATATTTTTGTGGTTTACAACATAATCAAAATCTGTATGATATTTTAGAACGTGAAACCCGTACCTTGCTTTCTTCTGGCTTAGTTAGACCAAGATCCAGCCATGTTCAATCATCATCCATAAGGAGAATTCTTGTTCACATCTTTGAACCCACCAGGTGAATACAAATCCCATCCCGAAAATCATGATTTCTAGCCCCGTGGGCTCCGAAACAAATAGAATGGTGCTTTCTAGGTGGGGATCTAAGTGGGTTTCTCTGAACATAGGCTACCCCAAATCCCATCACATTCTCGACGGGGGAAAGGATTTAGTTTCCACCAGATGCCTCTGACAGGTGTGGTGCTGCAGCGCCAGACCACCAAAACGACGCCAGCCGTAGCGGGTGCCCAAGCCACCGCCTGAACCATCGATTTCTTGAAAATTGTAGCAACACCCACACAGATAGAACAGTAAAATCCTACCAAAAAGTGATGCTGTACATGAGTTTTCCTGTCTTTTTGAGGGGTTGTTAAATAGCAGTTGCGCCTCTTGATTTTGGGCCGTTGCTGTTTGTCGGCAAAAGACGGAAGAAGAACATCTTCGCATCATGATCATTCATGCACTTGATAAAGGATGTGGGAAATCGTAGAGAATCATGACAAGCCGCCGATGGACAGTATATAGATTATTTTCTCCATTGCCCCCTTTTAGCATAGACACCCCCAGAATCCCGAGTGAATCGGTTCATGTTATTGGCCTCATCTACTGAGTGGTGTATTTACGTTAGAGTGGGTGGCAGTATCCATTGAAGTGTGGATGATTATCCGATTATCCTATCAATCTCCATGTGGAGATGATTATTCCATCAAAATCCTAAAAATAATTGCAGCGGATGGTTGCGAAATCCTGCACCAGTTGATAGATGTTGATAGGTGGTATATTCCATTATTTATATTTATTTATAGGGTTTCAACATGTTTCAACCATCCAAGGCCACCAAGGCCACCAAGAGCACCAAGGCCAAGCCTCGAAGTTTCGCTTCCAGCGTGCCGGCTAAGGCACGCCAGCGAACAGGGGACCTGGATGATCAAGGATGGTGAAGGCTTAGGGGAAAACGAACAACTGATGATGATGACTTGCCCAAGATCTGCCCAAGACTTGCCCATTGCAACTTGAAATGTCCAGGCTGAAGAGTCCCACCGCCACCGAGCGGCCCTGCACCAACCTTCACCCTTCGGAGACACTGTGACCTCGTGGGGCCATGGGGCCATGGGGCCCGGAGCTGGGGGTGCAGTTGGGGTGATGTTTATGGCCATAGGGCCATAACCATGGTGATATAACTTCCATAACTTGGGAGTTAAGGGGCCCCTATAACTAAACTGCACCCTGAAGTATTGCTGAGGACAATTCATGATGATGAGGATAATGAAATACGAGGCAGCGAGGCATATTGAAAAGTATGGACAATCCCCAAATTCCGTCACAAAGGCTATACATATGGCATGTGACATATGCAGGTCACACTTGAAGACCCTAAAGCACCCAAATCGGACTAGCGTTTGAAACCATTTGAAACCCTTCACCAAAACGGGCTTCACCATTAGCAACATCGATATCAACCCCCAGTCCTTCTATGTGAATCTGACTTAGTAACGGATAAGCATGCTCAAATGCCCCACTATCCTCCTGTGATATATTAGATGTAGGACCCAAAAAATATCAAAAATGCATTTGTAAATTAGAAACCTTTAACACTGGGATGCACCTCCAAAAATAGCGAATGGGTTACAATCATCCTCCAAATTTCCCCAATCCAAAAATGAGAAAATGGCAACCCCAAGGTTTTGTTCCTAGAATCGCCCCTCATCGTGACCAATCGTTGATACCCTGCATCTTTCTAGCTGACCCCTCCCAGCTTGATCCAGTAAAATGGATTAAACTGGTTGATTTCCCCCAGAGATATCCCCATGAAATCCTGCTGAATTCCCCATGAAACCTCCATTTCACCAAGCAATGACTCCCCAGGTGTGGTGACCGCACCTGGCCAGGGTCTTTAGGTGCCACAGCCGTGCGTCAGCACCGAAGTGATCAGAGTGACGGCCTGGAACCGCCTGGACCCGACCCAACAAAATGGGCGTTCAACCCACAAGAATGTGAAAATGTGGATTTGATCCAACATGTGAATACATTTGGGATATGAACCCATTTGGATACAATCAAACATCATCAAACCATGGAATTTGCACCACAAAGACATGTTCGGTGTTCAGATTGGTTTCAGGGAAAATCCACAGGAAACCTCCACGGCAAGGCCATAGACGGCCAGCACAAGGCAGCGCCACATGATTCGCATGGGAGGCCATGGCGCCCTTTTGGGGGGGGCAAAGGATCTGACCCGATGGGTCCTACAAGTCCTACAAGTGGTCACTTCTGTCTATTGTGGGTAGAACTGATGTTACAAACGTATAAAACCAAATAAATGTATAACAGTATAACAGTTGTATAATATATATATATACGTATGTGTGTGTGTGTTTTGTTTCTACCCATCCACTTTTTTGTTGGTCTAAAATGGTGAGCCATACCCATAGCCTCAATAACTTTAAATAACTCAGCCTAGCAAGGGCCAAGACTTGAAACAAACCTGGCCGATTGTCCCCATCGCAACCACTTTGTTTCATAAATCCTTGGAGGTACTGGAATCTCAGCACGCGATTGGAATCTGCCTTTTTTATTCCTGGGAAGGTTGTCCTGAAAGTTTTACTATATGTACAGTAACTATATATGCCAAAGCAACAATCAATATCATTTTTTTTGCATGGTCTTGGATTTCCTTAAGTGGAGGTAGTTATCAGTCGGGGATCTCTTGCAAGCGCGTGGATTGTGCAAGCTAGCTCATCTGGAGCGATCCACGAGAATCTGCATGTGCAATTTTCCGAAAACAAAGGGCTTTTGGATGCTTTTGGCATCTTTGAGGGCCCCTTGCACCTTCATATCTGCCCGCAACCTCTCATAAACATTCATAAACAACTTTTGCAATGGAAGGTCCCAATCTTCAACAGGAAAATTCTCCATAAGAGTGGGAATCCCTTTCCCTGTTCAGTTCGCAAAATGACTCTACATGTCTATATGATATGATACTGCATATGAATGTAAATGTGCTTTGTCTTTGTTTTTGTTTATCCTTGTGTGTGTGTGTTCGTGTGTTTGTGCGTGGGTGCTCTGAATGCATTACATAATTGCACCATGAATCATGAAACGTCAACCACATCATATCATGTCATTCCACTCCTCAACATACATCCGTGGCCAAGGATAACAGGAGGGGAACTCATTCTTGCTGCAAATATTCCCCAAGTTAGTTACTGTTTGGGAGTGCGTATACTTCTAACCTTCAAAAATCAAAAGAATCGAGGTTTACAGAGATTGTTGTATGATAACACCGGGTTTACATGGGTTTACATCATAATCATCATCATCATCATCATCATTGATAATTAATTATTAATAATCATTAATAGCCATTAATAACCATTATATATATAATAACCATTGATAACCATCATCATCATCACCCCTGTATCATGCGGCACGGGGGACCATCCGCTCTTTTGAGCGGAAACCCATCAGGCCCCGCTGCAAGTACATCGTGGTGAAGCTCTGGGCCGCTGAGGGGATCGTGCCAAAGATGCCTTGCAAGATGATGACCTTGGCTCCCAAATGGATGAGACCTGGATGACCACCGATGACCTGCAAGATGATTGATGACAGATTGATGACATTGATGACCTTGGCTCACTGGACAATTGGAGGAATCCCCTGCATGTGATGAAAACATATGAAAACCATGGTTTCACTGGGGTTTTCCTTAGATCAAGAGAGAGTCCAAGTTTGAAAGAAGCTGAAAACTTCCAAAGCCCGCAGATAGACGTAGCATGGGCTCATTAAAGTCAAACACCTTTCCCCTCCACAGCTGTCCTCTAGTCCAACTTGGCAATTGAAAACCCCTCATGCAATGCATGCAAGGATGACGTTATTATTTGGACTTTCCACTAGTTAGGAAAGTGTACCTACGGTAACATAAGCAGTCATAATTGCGGCCACTGGTCGGGCCGTCGTCCCTGATAGATTCATGCTGAACGTTTTCACCAGGAGCGGCCAATTCATGCCAATTTTTGGGATTGATGATATTCTCGAGTGTGAATCGGAATGGTAGGAATTGTGTCCCAGCTGGGCCTTTTCTTGAAAGAACAATATAACATCATATAACGATATCTCAAGCGTTACACTATCTTACACTGTTTTGACATCTTTGAGCATTGAATAGCTGCATCTTCCCAGTTTCACCCCCATTCGTCGATCCAAGTCGTGAATCCGCCACAGTTTTGCAAAACGTCAAGATCCGCAGATCGATTTGCCCTAGACGGGCGCAGCGACAAAGCAACGCGCTGTACGCTGAAGACTCTTCCGCCCACGTCTTGACCCAGCCGTGGAGAAGTGATCAAAGCCATGGGTTTTGGACTCAAAGATATCCACGGAAAACCACGGGTTACCATGTTTATTATTGTTTATTAACCCTAAATCCAGGAAATGGACATGTTTATTAAACCTAAATCCAGGAAATGGATGGGAATGGGTGATTGAACCATCAAGAATGGTGGAAAACCTTGGCAACCTACATGTCACTCAATATTTGGGGACCTTTGACCGATTCTGGGAGACTAGCTTTGAAAGTGGATACAGGATGGAAACACCATTTGAACACCATTTGGAAATTCAAGGGGGGAACACAAGGCTGATATCTTCAGGGGGTTTAAGGGGAAATCTACAGGGAACCTTTAACATTTGGAGCGGTAAGGACAATCATTTCCTGTAGATTTCAATTCAAGCATTCCATTGATAGCTTCATATTCTTTTTGAAATCAGTATCCCACCTGCTTTCCTGGAAAGGTAGGATCACAAACAGCAGGTCGACGAGGCAATTTCTTCGGGGCAGATTGGAAGCTCATGACCATTCGAAGACCGTATTTCGATGATCTAAAAAATGAGTTTAATTGATTTTAAATGTATTCAGATGGGTTTGTTTGTGTGACAAAGGGTGCCCAAGAATAATTGATTGTTGATCATGCTTGATCATCAATTTTCTGCATGAAAATGCAATTTTGGATATCCCCCCAATTTCAACAAACCCAGATGGTTTCCTTGGCCATGTTGGTTCGATGGAATTCTGTTGCTTCTCAATCTGCAGGTGCCTGATGGCTAGTCACACTGGCTTGCTGGTGGTTCCAACATGTTCCAAAGACCCCCAAGGAATTCGTCTGCGTGGAGTCAATATATTCAGTAGGAATATATTCAATGTAGGATCACAAAACATTCAATACCAGAAACCACCAGCCAGGTCTATGTGTGTCGAATCTACAGTATGTTCATGTCCATGTCCAAAGATCTTTTGCAAGTTCCATGTGTCAGCGGTTCCTGTGTCATACATATCTCTACAGTTCTCAGTGCAAGATAGCTGCAAACATCTGCAAAGCATTCGTTCGTGGGCCTTCTCTGCTTGTGAGCTATGGAGCTGGTCCGCCAAGCTGTTGACGACTTGACGATGGTTGAAAGTACCGTAAAGTAGAGTTCTGCGTTGTCTGCTTTCATGTAACGGCCACAAGCCGTTCTTTGTGAACATCTGCATCAGTCAGAACACTTCAGTGACATGTTTTTTCTGCTTTCAGAAGCCCTGCTGCCAGCGGGAGCAGCGATAGTCACCACAGCCCTGCATGACCTTGGACCCAACTGGGTTTCTCAGAGAATGGTGCCCCAAAATATCCAGTGGTTGATCATCATTTTCCCCAAAAAAGATATCCGTAACTTAGGGTACATCCCATTTCAGACACACCCACATATCACAAATATCATGGTATTGCACCACAAGGATCCTTCGAGCCTTGTCGTCGCGACTGGCCACGCACAATGATTGATTTGCCACCATCTATGGTGTCGTAGTGTTTGACGAAGCGCTCCTGTACCTGGACCCGTTCTTTTGAGAAGTTCCAATCGAATCCTGAATGGCTCACACACAACCAAATAGTTTTGTGTATATATAATATATATATAATATCAAGGTGTGTGTGTGCGTGTGCAACTATGCGCAAGGCCCCCAACTTTTCCCAGGCATTGCGATTGAGAATCTTTCGCACGGTCAACATGGCCCCGAGAAGTTGCAAAAACCACGGTCTTTTTGCAGTGATTGGGGCTTGAGCTTTCGGGTTTATGGTTTTAGGGACTAAGGTTTTAGGGATTCCGGGTTTAAGGTTTAGAGTTTACTGTCAGGAGCCAGAAAACAAAAGATGGCGCAGGAATTTGGGCATTGGGGGAAGGAGGAACAATTGCATAGACCCCGGGTAAACTCAGGCATCTGCCATGTACTGTAATTCTACATGATATACATATATATGTGTGTGTGTGTTTGTGTGACTATATATGCGCATACTAATAACATAAAATATAATATAACACAAACATATGCAAACTATGTGGCGATGAGTGTACAAGCCGATTGTTGATGCTTAGAGCCAGATTCGATTGATTCTTGCAATTCAACATCCGTTCCGGGTTCACCATGTTTCACCACAACACCATGCCGAGACACAATGTCATACTTGTGCTCACGGATCTTGATCCAAACCTTGGATCCGACCAGTCGGCCGGCCATTTTCTGATGTGGCTTGAAACAATGGCCGAGAGTCGCGTTCTCGTCATGGGACCTTTGGGATACCGAATTTCTAGCGTACTCTCGCAATGGAAAACGAAGGAAGGTAGCCTATGTAGCCTTGTCATGATCTGATGATCTGAAGATACGAGAGATTTCTCAAACAGGGATCCAGCATAATCCACCAACGGCATCATCCACTGACCCGCTTTCCGGCGGGCCACAACGGCATCGCTTTGGTGGTAGCGTTGCAGTCTTCGTTGAGCTTCGCGGAAGCAGTAGAGCCGCCGGTTGTCCACAGATTGCAACGCCAAGCCTCCAAAAATATTTGTCAGTTGGGACGGGATGATTATTCACCAACCAGATCTCCAATGAATCTGTTCAGTGAAATGAAAATGAATGGAATCTGGGTGCTGAATTTGTCTTGGTTAGTGAACAGAATTTGGCATGATTCAGCGAAAGGAAGTTCACCAAAATGGGTGTATACACATCCATTACACACCAAGCAAAATACTGGTAGGTCGAACAAAATCGAACAAAACAAAGATTGAGAAAGATTCAGATATTGTGATGGGACATTTATAGCATGTTGACCAAAGACCAGCCTGATGTCTTCGAATCCTACCTGAAACTTGAAATTCATCACGACCAACAAATGCCCACCCATCTGGCCAAATCGTGATGACTGATGATTGCTCAAATTGACTGATAAGTGATGCAAGTCCATGCCTTTCTTCACCACATCAATGATCAACCTCTCATCCTTCAGCGGGTATTCTGGATTTGCAACAATCGCCTTGGTGTAATCGCAAGACTGCAAGGCCCAAGTGTCATATGAATGAGCCCAACCCGGAACACATCATGGCAATTGGATCAACACCAGGATCACCTGTCTTCTGAGAAGATTACTGTATGCTATTGACCAGGTTATCAGGATCCCTGAAATGCCCTGAAAAGAAAGCGACATGAATCTCAACCGTCTTTTTGTTAATTACTAGTCATATTGTTATCCCTTTGTCTGGCCGGGTGCAACACGGAATCAGACCTAGGGTGGTCTCAAAATAAAGGGAATACCCCCCAAAAAAAACATTGGCAACCTCACAACAGAAAAAGGAAACAAAAAATGATCAACAATGGGATTTTGACTTGGTTTACACATAGCTGTGACAAACCACAAATTCCCAGCTTAAGTTGCTGAGCCCAGTGACCTCAATCAGAGTCTCTAGGGGTTGACCCTGGTGAGGTCCTCCCGAGAAGGTCTCGCTGCATTTCGCCTCAAGTGGTAGACTACTTACTCTAGCATCCAAGGTGGTGCAGGATTTCTTCCATCCACAGTATTCCACAGTATCATGTGGTGGGGAAAGTCAATTCGTAGCCTTGGCTCCCGGATTTTTGTTGGAAATGTAGATGCCCCATGATGCCCCTAGCCCCTTAGCCCCTCCTAACCACTGGATAGTGAGAATCATACCCTTGGGTAACACCATTGGTTGGACCCCCATGACCCCATCTCCAATATCATGGGGACACCCACGGCGACCCACGAATGTGTTAAACAGTGTTAAACTGCTAAAGCCAATCATGGTTTACCACATTAGTACTGCTGTGAATGCGCTCATATTGGATCCAAAATATAAAATATATAAATAAATCCAGGGTTTCGTTGTTCATGTTGACAGATCCATGAGTGCCTTGCAGTCATCCCAGGTGAGGGATGGAAAACCTGAACGATGAAAAAAAATATGGAAACCAATTACTTACAGGTCTGAAGCAACAGCCAATGCCTCTTCAAGTTGCACAGTGGATGAAGTATGATAGAGGTTACAACCGTTATAACATGTTATAACCACTCACAAAATCTACGGAAACATCCCTGAAAAAAGCCCACGTTGGTTCAGCAATGGATCCAAAATGGCCCCCAAGGCCACCACGGCAGCGCCTGAGTGAACAACACCTCATCCGCACGGACGAGATGTTGATAGCCATCTGTTCCGCTCAAGATCTCACTCCACCATGCCTCGGAGAAGCTCAACATAAAAGGTGGCATGTGAAGGTGGCATGTGGGGTGGTTATGGCGTTGGTTGGAGGGAAAAATCTACGGGAAACCATGGGTTTTACCCTCCAAAATCCGGGATGTCAAGTCTAGGAGACGGGGAGTTGGGCATGGATCTACTTCTTTACTTCAGACCAGCCTCAAGGTCGGCGCGGCTGGAGTGGTTTGACATGTTGCACATGTTGCAATAATCAACCCGAAGCAAAAGCACTCAAGCAATCTTCCTCAGACTTTGAGGGCCAAATGAGGGGTGTTCTTTCACCAAACAAGGACCGCAGCTCAGGCATTGCCCTGGATGAAAATCTCGGGAACCCAGTGCTCACATCGAAACAATGTGGTAAACTCAATAGAAAACCTTCCATTTTGGAGAGCCTATACCACCCGTTTCTCTTATATAAAATGCGCGATTGACTTTATACCACAGCTGGTGAGCTGGTTTTGGTGGACCTTCATCGCAGTATTCATATGATATGTTCAGTCTCGACCATGTATCTCATAGCGTTTTGCGGTTGCACATATCCAAAACAGATAGTAGCCCGTTTGGGACCAGAAGGCTCAGTTTGGTATCCAGTTGCTATATCAATGTTTTTTTGGGGTACAGGGTTACTGTACCCCTCTATTATCCTCTATTAATATCTCCATTTAACATGATTTAACATATCTATACTATCAACCAACCTGTTTTTTTTGCGACGTCAGCTGAGCGGCTTCCGCCGCAGCTGGCGCAGTGATCCGCTGCGATGGCTCGTTGCACACCATCTTGTCCACCTGGAAAATTCATATGAGGTCCACATCAAAGATCCAACGATAAAGCTCCCCACCTTTACTGAAGATCAGACTATAGGGATCTATAGGGGTTAAATGAGGCATTCAAAAAAAGGACATCTCATCATAAGGGGGGCGGCTAGTGTGGTTGAAAAAAAACAAAGCTACAATGGGATGGCTAATCGGCTAATGTTTTCGGCTCAGGGGGTTGTCCTTTGATGATGGGGTGCTTTGATCCGCAGCCAACTCACTCAATCGGGGTTTCATTTGGGGATTACCATAATACCTATATAATCCTACATACATATATATATATATACAGTACACCGACATAAATAGGTATCACAAGGTATTCCATAAACAGTACCATATGTGCCATGGTCAAAGGTCACGATAGGTCACGTTATAAGGGTTCCCATTCTGGGATGGATGACCAAATGTTGTAAACTGGATGCCATGTTTATTGACCCTAAAGAAAGCATGCGTTTCCATTCAAACCCCTTTCATAATAGAGGTTTATGAAATTCACTATGCCCCTAAAAATGAGAAGATGTTACCATGACTGCAATGCTTGGTGAATGGCATTTCATGGGATTTTTTTGACCAAAAAAAAAAATATATATATATAGCTGGCTTTACCAATGTCTCCAAATATATATAGTTATTATAGCTGGGTTTACCAATGTCTACATATGTCTACCACCAGCCATCCACAAGATTCCACGTATGTCCGAAAAATGGGATGGCTGGGTCGCCATCGGTCATCTGGGCCCCCGCACGAAGCCCTTCAGATTGTCTCGTTCCGAGCTTCTGGACTGGTGCACGGTGGAGAGCACCGTCTCAATGGAACGGCCCAACCTGGGGACCCTGGGGACCCGTGACGGATGTGATCGAAAAAAAACCATGGGCTCAGGGACAACTTGCAGGGAAACTATATGATAACTATGATAACTATATGATAATTATGATTCTTTGAACTCTCCATCTAGAAGATTCCTGTGAATTCTCCCTTCAACCAAGTCTGGGTTGGTGCTTTCAACCCTGACATGCCTGATAACCAATTAGTCATATATAATAGACATGAATGAAAGTAAATAATGTTAGCTCCTGATTAGTAGCTAGAGTCGCTATTGTGGCAATTTTTTCCAAATTATTCTGAAACTCATGTATTGTTTGGAGGGTTCGCTTTTGTGGCAAAACAAAATTGGGAGAGCCCTTTTTTTTGAAAAAAAACTGTAATTGCTGATGAGAGGCTTTTTTTTTCTCAAAAACGCTGTAGCTCAGTCAAGTTTTTGCTCATCTCTCTATCTGAGCCTGTAAATGCATCTCTATCTGAGTAAGTTTGTTTGCTGGGTTCACTATTGCAGCAAGCTGTGCCAGAGCAGCCCCTGGAAGCCCAGAAGGGAAGCAAGCCTTTTCCAAAATTGCCAAATTCAAACTGCAAGCCTTTCCCAAAAGAACCAATCCCTTATTAAACCCTTATTAAAGAACAGCTTTTCCACAATTTTCCAAGGCCCTGGGCCAGGAGAGGCTCCATTTCACTTTAGTAGGTTTGTTTGCTGGGTTCACTATTGCAGCAAGCTGTGCCAGAGCAGCCCCTGGAAGCCCAGAAGGGAAGCAAGCCTTTTCCAAAGGCAATTGCCAAATTCAAACTCCAAGCCTTTCCCAAAGGAGCCAATCCCTTATTAAACCCTTATTAAAGAACAGCTTTTCCACAATTTCCCAAGGCCCTGGACCAGGAGAGGCTCCATTTCACTTTAGTAGGTTTGTTTGCTGGGTTCACTATTGCAGCAAGCTGTGCCAGAGCAGCCCCTGGAAGCCCAGAAGAGAAGCAAGCCTTTTCCAAAGGCAATTGCCAAATTCAAACTCCAAGCCTTTCCCAAAGGAACCAATCCCTTATTAAACCCTTATTAAAGAACAGCTTTTCCACAATTTTCCAAGGCCCTGGACCAGGAGAGGCTCCATTTCACTTTAGTAGGTTTGCTTGCTGGGTTCACTATTGCAGCAAGCTGTGCCAGAGCAGCCCCTGGAAGCCCAGAAGAGAAGCAAGCCTTTTCCAAAATTGCCAAATTCAAACTCCAAGCCTTTCCCGAAGGAGCCAATCCCTTATTAAACCCTTATTAAAGAACAGCTTTTCCACAATTTTCCAAGGCCCTGGACCAGGAGAGGCTCCATTTCACTTTAGTAGGTTTGTTTGCTGGGTTCACTATTGCAGCAAGCTGTGCCAGAGCAGCCCCTGGAAGCCCAGAAGAGAAGCAAGCCTTTTCCAAAGGCAATTGCCAAATTCAAACTCCAAGCCTTTCCCAAAGGAGCCAATCCCTTATTAAACCATTATTAAAGAACAGCTTTTCCACAATTTTCCAAGGCCCTGGACCAGGAGAGGCTCCATTTCACTTTAGTAGGTTTGTTTGCTGGGTTCACTATTGCAGCAAGCTGTGCCAGAGCTACAAGTACTACAAGTACTACAAGTATCCCCATGGACAACTCTACTTTTAGAGGGGGGGGTGGTAATACATTAAAATTTTCTAAGTAGGGCTAAGTATGGTTAAATGATAGGGTTTCGCGCTTCATCCCAGAGCAGCAAAAGGGGGCAAACATGGGTTTCAATCCAGCGTGTCCTTATTCCATACCGATGCCACAAGAGTCGGGCCCCGAACTTCGGGCCCCGAACAGATTGCCCCCAGGCAACTTTGTAGCAAAGGCATGTACGTAGAAGCACATGTATGTGAATTCTGATGATGTAATCAAATGTTTTTTGGCATACCTGTGCCACAAGAGTCGGGCCCCGACCTTCGGGCCCCGAACAGATTGCCCCCAGGCAACTTTGTAGCAAAGGCATGTAGAAGCACATGTATGTGAACTCTGATGATGTAATCAAATGTTTTTTGGCATACCTGTGCCACAAGAGTCGGGCCCCGAACAGAATGCCCCCAGGCAACTTTGTAGCAAAGGCATATAGAAGCACATGTATGTGAACGATGATGTAATCAAATGCTTTTTGGCATACCTATGCCACAAGAGTCGGGCCCCGAACTTCGGGCCCCGAATGGGGTGCCCCCCAGGCAACTTTGTAGCAAAGGCATGTAGAAGCACATGTATGTGAACTCTGATGATGTAATCAAATGTTTTTTGGCACACCTGTGCCACAAGAGTCAGGCCCCAGGCAACTTGTAGCAAAGACATGTGGAAGACTACGTATGTGAGCTTTGATGTGCTGACTCTCATTTCAGATGCCTTTGAGCACATCACTCAGGCATGAAGATGCCCGAGCAAACAAACGTTATCGTTTGAGCGAAGATCAATTCAAGAAGATTGCTTTGTATGATGGCCTGGTCCAGGACGATGATATATGTCCAATGTTTCGGCGGGTGCGACAATGTCCTTCTATGGTGTCTCCCACAAGGACCATCCTTGAATGCTAGATGACATTACATGACTGCCTTTAGTTATGGACTAGCTTTGCCTTGGCTAAATCCTGAGGATTTAAACGAGGCAGAGGGAAATATGGCGAGGCAACCTGTGTTGACTTGCTGAAAAGAGTCCTGCCTTGCTTAAATCCTCAGGATTTAAACGAGGCAAACTGGAATTTGAGGCGAAAAGTTTGCCTCGTTTAAATCCTGAGGATTTAAGCAAGGCAGGACTCTTTTCAGCAAGTCAACACAGGTTGCCTCGCCATATTTCCCTCTGCCTCGTTTAAATCCTCAGGATTTAGCCAAGGCAAAGCTAGTCCATAACTAAAGGCAGTCATGTAATGTCATCTAGCATTCAAGGATGGTCCTTGTGGGAGACACCATAGAAGGACTAACAGCATTCAAGGATAGTCTCTGTGGGATTCAGATAGAAGGACATTGGCAATTGATTTAGGATTCTATCATCATCCCTGTCGGAGAAAGCCATTGTCAATTGATTCAATTCAAGGATAATCCTGGTAGGAGAAAACCATTGTCATTCCTACAGGTACTGACGTCCCGGGCGCCTTGTAGCTCACCTTTCAGAAGGGACACCAAAGGGGGCTGTGCCTTGCACGCCCTTCACTACTTTCTGACATGGCAATCAGGATCCGGGCCAAGTACCAAACCCGAGGGAAGGCGGAAGCAATGTGGCTAGGGTTGAAAGAAGCTGCATCACCATGCATCTCTGAATTCGGATCACTTCCCCGCTTTCTTGATGACTTGGATCTTCTTTCTTCTCTGACTCTCTCTTCTCTGACACTCTCTCTTCTGACTGCAGGATGAGACTTTGAATGGTGAAGAGCTGATTCCCATTTCCGTCTGGGAGATTGACAGTAGATTCTTGTTGCTTCCAGAGCACAGAGCCCGAGACGGAGCGGAAGGCTTGAGGGAAGAGGAGCAGTGGTACCCGGCAACCCGGCGACCCGGCAACCCGGCGACCCGGCAACCCGGCAACCTATAATAGAAAACGAGGAGAGTAGAGGAGAGAGAGAAAGAGAGCCGAGAGGATAGAGTAACGTAGAGAAACAAAAAAGGCTGAGAGGAAAGAAATGGAATGAAATGGAAAGAGAAAAGGGGTTAAAAAGACATACAGTAAAAAGACTACAGGGAACAAAAAGAGAAAACAGGAAACAAAAGATAATGAAAGAAGAGGAAAAGATAGAGAATGCAAGAGTAAAGCGGAGGAACCCGGCAACAGAGGAAAAGATCATGTTAAATATATTTAAATATACGATACCAAAAGAAACCTTACATTTCCTCAGGTTTTCCAAATTTATGTATTATCAAATGGGGGTACACCCCCCCTCCAATACAAAAGTTAAGTCATGGGGATCTACAAGTACTACAAGTACTACAAGTACTACAAGTACTACAAGTACTACAAGTACTACAAGTACTACAAGTACTACAAGTACTACAAGTACTACAAGTACTACAAGTACTACAAGCACTACAAGCACTACAAGCACTACAAGCACTACAAGCACTACAAGTACTACAAGCACTACAAGTACTACAAGTACTACAAGTACTACAAGTACTACAAGTACTACAAGTACTACAACTACAAGTACTACAAGTACTACAAGTACTACAAGTACTACAGTACTACAAGTACTACAAGTACTACAAGTACTACAAGTACTACAAGTACTACAAGTACTACAAGTACTACAAGTACTACAAGTACTACTACCACAACTTCATCGGCAAAAAAAACAATAGTAATTAGATTTCAATTGTAGCCAATTGAAATCCTTACTTAATTGAGGATATGTTTTTCTTTTGGGAAGAAAATTTTTGATTTTCTACTTTAAAGAGAGTCCAGATATAGTTAAGGGAGGGGGGGGGGGGGGGGGGGGGCCACACACTAATCAGGAACCAACATTATACGCAATCAACATATCCAGAAGCTGGATCTCATCTGACCAACCAAAAAGCCGAGTATGGGCCCATTATCACTATGCCTTGTTGGCTAACGCCCAACGCCAAGCCGCGCGAAGACATCTGATGCCAAGGTCGGACGTTCTTTGTTGTCCTGTGCCAGGGCTGCGCCTCACTGACTTGACCGACCCATTTTGCCGATCCAACGGGAGCCTGCAATTCCGGGGCCGTATAGCCCTCGCTTCGCCAAGTGGACGTGGTGGTCCGGGTGATGTTGATGCCATGGTCTTTCGCCGTCTCCTGAGAATCCAGAGAATACCCTCCAGCTGAAATGAATCAAGGACCACCCCAATATGGCCCAACAACCTCTTCATATGTTTAGGAAGGTCATCCGTGTTACCCCTATTTTGGGGGTTGATGGAAGAGTCATCTTGCTAAGGAACCTAGGACCTGATTGCTGCTTCAACTACCTCCTCATTGGGATTGTCACCATCCTTAGAAGCCAACAGCTCCAAATATGATCAATTTGATATAATAAACCTGTCTGACTTAGATATATATTCACCATAAATCACCATAAACCCTAGTTGAATGTGTAATATTTATTTATTTATCTAATTTACAATTAGTATATATATATATATACATAATTATATATATATATATAGCAGTTAAAAATAGTTAAAACTGCTTTTTCACCTTGGCCCATGAACCGAGGATCAAAGTCACAGAGGATTGGAACTTCCCTCTGTGCGTCCCACAACCAGTTCGAAGGCTTCAAGTCTCCATGGACCACCCGATGGCTGTGCACCTTGGAGACGACGCGGGAACTGGTGGAACTGGTGGAACTGGGAGGCTCCCCATGGTTCAAAATGGAAATTTAAGGAGCACCCACTGAGTTTTATTTAGCTTCAAATTAAAGCATATTAATGCTATTTCTCAGTAAAACGTGGTAAAACATGGTAAAACATGGTAGAACAATAATAGACCATCCCCCCAAATCACCATTTTCATGGGTGGTATAAACCATCAACATATGAGTGGTTTCTTAGTGTTTTACCCACATTATTTCTGGGAGGCAATGGGAAAATGTCCCTATAGAATTGGCGATGATCGACCTACTGGAAATGGCATTGTTCCGTTTCCGGGTGAACATTGCAAGACGGTAGGGCCCTACCCGGTAGGGCGCTGGATCTTTGATGCTCAAAATATCTCACATGTTTCCACGCCCGGCCCCCCAAAAAAAAGGTTGAGAAATAAAATTCCACAACAGCCGAGTGCAGGTAAGCTATTTTCCCCCTACCAATCCCAGCCACATGTGCAACAGAAAGGATCATCATCTGCGTGATTTTGCTCGGCATCTTATCCACCATGCCAGCCTCTGCTGGCTCCTTGAATTGGTGCGGCACACGCTCCAATTTTCTCATCCTGGTCACAAGGGCCAGTGCCAACACTCTGGGAATGAGCAAACAAATCAGCAAAGTCACATGCTGCAAATTTCGTGTCCCAAATAATTACATTATCCGGAAAACCAAATGGTTTGGGGGCCCACAAACTCAAGTCACTTTCCGATCAAGGTCAGCAGTGCATTGCTAAACTTCCTGGTCGCATTTGAAACTGGTATTGTGGAACTCTCCCGTCTTATTTTCAAAGTAGATGGTTGCTGCATTGTGCAACTGGCAGTTTCAAACTTACATTTTGTGATTGTGAACCTCTGCAGCTGTCTTTTGAAACTGACGGGCGCTGTTCGTCAAATCTTCTCCCTTGCATAAGCAAGCCCTCTTTCCCAGGGGGCTGGGATTCTTGGTATTGTATTGTTGCATGGAGAGATTGCCCGAGTAATGGGATTGTTCTACGGGGGCAGGAGATCCATGCAATCCCTGATGTAAAGCCCAACAGCGGTATTGTTTCTAAAAAGCAACTAGTTACGGGAAAGTAGTTTTGCACAACGCGCGACAAACCTCGTTGCGCAAAAGAACGAAACTAGTTGCAATCTGCAAATCCCTGGTTTCAACATCTCACGAAATTTCCAAATCCTCCGAATGCAGTCGCGCTAGCGCGCAGTTGCACAAGCCTTGTTTGGCAAAACATCGAAACAGTTGCGCAGTTCGGCCTGGTCAGATGATCTTGCAGATTGCACTCGTAGCGATCGAACTGAAGGAAACCGCGGTGCTCCTGCAGCGCTCAACAGATTCAGTGACTCTATGAAGATCTGAACCCCGTACGACATGGACCGACATGGAGATGTGGGGTTTGGGCCAATCAAAGAGTTTGCTGTTTTTTTGCACCAGGGCCTTGTGGTCAATGAATGCTCTCCGCAGGGGCACCACCAAGGGATGTTGCAACCTGCCAGGAGGTTTCGGACCCCGGAAGCCTTGGCCAAGCCTTGCGATCTGTAAAGTTTCTATGTGGACGGTCAAGCAAGGGGGTATTTCAACAATATTCCTTCTATCCATCCTATCCAGTGGCTTCACCACCTCCAAATTTGACCCAAAATTGGTCGATTTGGATCGATTTCAAGAAAAGATAGAAAGCAAATTCCTGCCGGGATTTTTGGGTGAAGTAAATTTCTATCTTGTTGGGCCTTACATGGCCTTACAATTAAACGCTACTAGACTCTTACGAATGGAGCATCAATCATGGCACCAGACCTGCCAGGATCCGCTAGGACCCCACCTCACATGCAGGACCACCTCCTGTATGAAGGTTGGAATGCTGTGATGCGTCGCGTGAAAGTCGAAAACTTTCACCACACAGGGGTTGCCCTCATACCTTGCCGCCGGGATGGTGAAGAGCCTAAGAACCATACATCACACATAAATACATAATAATACATAGTGATATATATATATATATATATAACCGGACCGCTCAATGGTTAGTAAATGTTGGTTATAGTTCTAAGTTATATTCATCACCTCAATGTAAAAATTTGGTGTTTATGCTGCTGATAGGCCTGGCGAAGTCGATCCGATTTCACCATGGGATTTCCCTGTTGTATTTTTCTGGGTCAATTATAACGACCCAACCCAGTTCTCCCGAACCCTGGAAATCTTTAGGGAAATCATCCCCAAATGGCCGAACGTGACATATTTTAATTTACAGTATATACCCAGATTCTTCTACTTGTTCAATCTGCGTCAATATATAATATATACTATATAGGGGTTTCCGAATATGGCTTTCCTGAAAAGTGTATCAAATAGATTCCAATAGATTCAAATCATCCAATTCTGGGATTCTTACTGTACGGCCACATGTCAATGTGCAATATGGTTCTTTAGTTCTTCGAAGCTGGATGAACATTCATCCATAGGGAGCAGCTGCTTAGTGGATCTTGTGCTCTGGACATTGCGGTCGACCGCCCGGGGCCGAGTGGCCGCATCTCATAGACTGCATGTCGAGCTCCTGATTGGCTAAGCCGCTTCCCTTTATTCAATGAATCTGGGTCCTGAGCCGCACGGGAGACTTGGGAAGGCGCCATCAATGGTGGAGTTGGATGATGGATGTTTCTTTGCATGTTGATGGACAATTACATTAGGTTTTTGGGGGCGATTCATGATGTTCAATTATGGCCAAGTTGGACTCCCAATTTCAGCCTGATGTTGTCAAATGAGCCTTGTAGGTTTCGTTCTAGCTGAACTGGACACTACTCCTGCTTCTGCGAAGTCTTCCGCGGAGCTTCCGCGAATCACACCTTCGCGCAACCGCGACGCTGGTACAGAGTACACACCCTTGCTTCCGCAGCCTTCCGCGGATAATAATGTCCTCGAAAAGACTTGGGCAATCTGGGTCCAACAAAACATAACAAAACTCAAACAACTAGCTCAGAACCTGGGTCAAACTTTGGGATGCAAGTCACCATGCAGGAATTTCAGCTTTTTTTCATTTGGTGGCAAGGTGGAGGTAATTAAGAATATCAGTGGACCAAAATCTTTGCACAGATTGGCCTGGTGTCTGGTGACTTGCCCAGTTCCTGCTTCATTACCATGCCAGAAGCCCGACCCAAGGGGGCCGAAGAACCCCTGGTTCAATCCAGGCACATAGTGCGAAATGCTGATGTTGTGATCGAAGATTTGCATTACTTGCGCCTGTTCATGCGGCGGCCTCAGTGACAACCGCTTGAGAATGGAAAGGCAATGCTTGGATGTTGCCAACACTTGGCTAAGTAGTGAACAAGTCAACAAGTGGGTTACACTATAACATATTCTGACATGTTATAACTCATAACCATTCATAACCCCTCAGCAAAAAGCTGGGATGTACTGGGAGAGATACCCGCGTTAATGACCATGAATCGCCAATTCTGGCAAGATCTGAGGACCCATAGCCAGGTGGGCTATATGGAAAGGGCCGACCAGGTGGTCGGGCTTTAAAGCCAGGATGGCTGGTTTAGATGGACAGTGACCCATGAAACAAATGCCACACATCATCAGCACCTCCCTGATTATATAATCATCCGGCGTTCATGAATCCATTCATCTTGCAACACTGGCTGCAAGACAGGGGCAACTTCGACAGCGTATAGGAGATCTGCTTATCCTGAGCTGTTTGGTGCCGAAAGATTGACCGAAGCCAGTCTGAGTGGGAGTTCCACCATATTCCACCATCAAAAATGAGCATCGGTCAGTTCAGCTCCTTTCCTCATTCCTCAATGGGTTAGCTACATTTAGCTACCAGATTAAAAGTTCTGCCTCCCAGTTTTCCCCCAATGTCCCACAAGGTCAAAGCGGATAGCTTTGAAGGAGCAGAACGACGTGTGCAGTGAGGATGTTCCCCTGGAACTCCAAAACTTGGGATGTTTCTTATGATGTTCCATGAATCCCCATATCAATACATATAATCTCCAAAAGGACACGGATCTCCAAAAGTACGCCTATGGAATCTCTAAATACATATATACATATACATATATATACATATAATTATACATATGTAGAGTCGAGTCTATATATAATTCTTACGCACCCTACATAGATACAATATATACAGAATACATGTGCATATTATATATAGACTGCCATCCCCAAAATTAACATAGACTCTGCCATTTATTGGGGGTAGGAAGAGTTGTTCCTACTAAAAAATCGTTATTGTCAGGGTCTATGTTCATTTACTGGAGGATAAATATATCAACCGGATACACCTGAATCTATCCATTGGTGAATTATCATATGTTCCCTGTTAGTTGACAATATCTTGGGGCTAGATACATCATTTCCAGACACCCAAATGAGCTATAGATTCTATAGATTCCATGACATATCCATGACAACGATGGTCCCCATTGAAAAACCTGCTGGTTTATAACCACCATGATCAATGGGAAAACCACTGGTAATCCGCCATATACCAACCCTCAAATATCAAATTATTGATTACATATGATTACAAAAATTACATATCCCATTAAATCATATTGAATCCTCATCTCTTAGTTTTTGGCTGATACTCCTCTGGTAAACTAACATAGCTATGGAAAATCACCATGTTTAATGGGAAAATCCACTATAAATGGTCATTTTCAATAGCTATGTGACAAATTACCAGAGGGTAACCATTAATCACCACCATTCCCAGTGGTGTCCTGCTATCATCGTCCCAGAGGCCGTGTGTTGCCGCAGCGCCGGCAGCATCTCGGGCGCCAAACGGTTGGCCTTGCGGCAGAGCTCCGCCATCTTGCGGAAGTAGAAGCTCGTCCTGAGTCCAGGACAAATCGGAGGAGCCACAAACATGAAGACTTTAATGGGAGTTATTTATATTTTTTTAATGGTATATATATATATATGTGTGTGTGTGTGACTATATGATGTGTGTGTGTGCATTTATTTATTTATTTATTTGTTTGTTTGTTTGTTTATTTATTTATATGTGTGATTTATGTGATTCTTTTGTAGGGTTTGCCACATGGTGTGATTCATAAGAGCAAAGTTGGTCTATGAGTCTATAAGTAGGTTGACTTGTAGGTTTATGGTGATTCAAAGTATGATTATATCATATTATAATGTTATATAGATGGGTAAGAAACCAACTCATGAATAGGGAAATGGTTTTAATTTTCAATATGGATGGAGCGAGTTTGAAACCCTGGCCTGGCACACAAAGCGGCCGGGAGAAAACTACAAGAATGGGGACTTGAGTGACTAAATATATATATATATATGTGTGTATATATATAATATAATATATATATATATATACATATACATGGACTTGACATGACTTGACTGTGGCAACTATCACGATGACTACAAACACAGCGAGGATTGAAATGATGGAAAATGGGGTGTGAAGTGAAATAAATTTATAGAAATCGTTTTTTGCTGGCAATAATGTTGGTCTGCCCACAATCTGAGGTTTGCTTGGTCCTTTAAAAAAAATGACTTAACACAACCAACAAAAAATTGGCATGCTTGGACCCGCAAGAAATCATGGTTACATGAGGCCAAGGAGCGCTTCTTTCTCATCCTTTCGGTACTTGTCCCGCTCTTTTTGGAGAAACTCCAGTTTGCTTTCACCAACCGTCCTGCTTTGACCCTGTTTCTCGAGGTCCCGTTCGTTATGTAGTTCCTAGGTTGGAGCGATCGTCTGTTGGAAAACTTCATCCAAACTACTGGAGGGTCCATGCCACTGCAGGGAAGCAAACGGGTGTCCACTGCACCTGACCTACTTCTTGAGAGAGTATGGGAAAGTCACCTTGAATAATGTTGAAAACACGTGTGACCACGTGTGGCTGCTGAGGCAGGGACGACATCAGAACTTCTCATCTTGTTTCTACTGAGAACCACCTGCTAAGCAACAGTCATGCAGCTACGAATAGGTCGCAGGTTCAGATCAGTGGTGACAAAACCAATTAAAGACCTTGTTCTGGCTGAATTGCGATGTTAGTTCACCAAGCTGAGTTTCGGTGGTTCTGGGTATTTTTGGGGAGGGGTTCCCCTGACTAACCATCAAATCATATTCATCAAGGTGGCAACGAGGCTACAGATCCACCGGAACCCACACCAGAAATTCACATCCCATGCCCCATGCATCCCATATGGTCCCAGTCATCTGTAGTGTCATCCCCATTGTCCATGGTTTCTGGGGGGTGTTTCATATGGGGGAGTGGCTGATCCGAGTCCTCACAACCCAACTGGGAACCGTTGAAAAACCGCCCAGCCTTAAAGTGCTGAGCTGCCAATCCTTTGACCTCTTCGCCGACTTGCAGCCTGACCAAATCTGACCAAACCATACCAAAGCTCCATGTACTCTGCCAAAGGTGAACGACAAAGCTATAATATATGTATATATTATATATATATCATGGCAATCTCTTCTGGCAAAGTGACAGATCTGCAAAAGGAACATCAGATCGAAACGACCTGAACTTGAGAAGGCCGATGTTTTTCTGCCAGCCAAAATCTTCTGCCGAGTGTCTGAGTTCCTTCTTTCAGTTCATCAGCCCACTGTCTCGCACTTTCTATCTGGTGAATCCGCTCTGCACCTTGCAGAGTCTGCTGCGCGCTCTGTAACTTCACAGTGTTTCACAGGAATTCGGAAACTTGACTGGTTGATGGTTTCAACATGTTCGCTGCAACCCCTAGGTTTGCCCGCGGCCAATCCCGCATATCCTTTGACATGCTCAAATCCCTGCGCAGGGTTTAAGTTTTTTACTTTCCAAAACAACAAACACCAAACCCTAAAACCTAAAACTCTAAAACCTAAAACCCTAAACCTAAATTAAAACCCTAAATCCTGAAAAATTAAAGTCAAAAGCACTGCGTATAGCCAGTGTTTTCATTCATCCTCTGGTGATAAGTATATAATATTGTTTGGATGTGTTGTTTGAGTGTGGGCGAACCAGGGGGTTGCGGGGAACATGATTCAAAATGTTTCAACCCACCCCACAAACATGTTCAGGCTGTTCATCGCTATTCATCGCATAACTGAAACCATAGCTATGGATGCTTCCCGGCCCACAGCGACTCCCCAGCTGGGGTCGAAGTTCAACATGCCAATCTCCAAATAGATGCCATCGGACATTTACAAACAAAACTAATCATGACCAAATAATTTGACGCTAATTATGTACACTAAATCCAGATAACAACAATTTTTCGCAGGGTTTCACATTGATCTCCAGATGATGCTCTTACTGTCTCCCTATTGGCCCACGGTAACGTTACTAGCGATCTTGCTATGGAGGCCGCTTGAAGGATCATCCCTTTTAACTTACTTCCTGGCCAGCAGGCCTAGTCGGTCTCTGGAACAAAATGTGGGATAAACCCACAGTGCATTACTTGGGTAGGTAGTAAGCAGCAGGGTTCTTGACCACTTCTTTTGTTGGTTTTCCCCACTCTTGCGCGCACACACACACATATGTGTATATATATATATATGTATGTATATATATACAGAAAGATAAAGAAAAATACTGTGTCTGCGAAATCTGCTCGAGCCGGACATTGGGCTGACCGGGCCGACAGCAGGAAAAACTATATATATATACATATTATAGTTATATATATATATACATACGCTTACACATATATATATATAGATAGATCACACATACATATATATATATATATATGTATGTGTATATATATATATGTATATATATATATGTATACATGTATATGTATATATACATATATATATATTATATATATTATATATATTATATATATTATATATATTATATATATATATATTATATATCTCTCTCTCTCTCACCGTCTTTGTTGCTAAAAGCCGATTCAAATCACGATTTTGTTGGTGATGTGCCCGGCTTTGTTTCAAACCCCATTCCATCTCTGAGTCTCTGGTTTGTCATCTGTCATCATGTTCCCCATCAAAATCATCATCCTGTCGTATCCCTTTTCTTTGGTGTTGATCCTCCCAGCCGTACCCTACGGTGAATTGCACAGAATAGATGCAGAAAACCAACTATTTTATCATTTGTAGATCATTGTAGATCATTTTTCACAGGGGAATCATGAGTTTTCCGCTGTGTTAATCTTCAGGAGGGTTAGCTTGGAAAAAGAAAATAACATATACTTCAAGCCAATATCATCTAATGTAGTAGGATGTAGCAAACCAAATAATAAACCATTCCTGCCGACGGGGTCAAATGCTATGCTTCATCATACAATACTTTCCATATCGTTCTGCTACTTTACTGGAGGGTGAATCAATCGAAAACATCCAAAAACACAAAGTCCCGCGGTTTCTCTCAATTCAGCCCATCAAAACTCTATCTTTTGTGGTGTTGTCTACGGCTCGAGATGATCCGGTGATGCCCAGACACCGCCGTGCCAGTCGCAAGCGCTTTTCCGAGCTTTGCTCGCCGTAGTGAGGAAACCCTGCCGGTGACAGCGTGAAGCGTGCTTGGAGAAACATCTCCCACGAATCGTAAGTGGTTAAAAACCACATTTTTATGACCCAGTTATAGTTATATATATATAAATGTGGCTGTGTATATTTATATATATACTGTATATGGGATAAACCCACTGAAAGAGGACTTATAAACTTCGGCTATTGACCACTTGTGATTCGTGGGATGATCCTCCAAGCGGGGTGTGAACCTGGAAAAGCCCAAATGCAGATAGATAATTTTAATCCTTTCCCCCCTTATATTGAATAATACCCTCCCAACGAAACCCTGGTTTATTCAGTAAAGTAAGGATGTAAAACCAGCAAACGTCAGGAAACATTGGAATTTAAGTTAATCGATTCAAAACACGAAAGGGCGCAATACGGTGGCACATCCAGAACTTAAAGCATGGACATTGACACGGGGATTTCCTGCAAGCCACCTTTCGGGCCCTTGCTGACTTATTGCGAGGCAAGCTGACGGGAAAATCAGACAACATAAGGGCAATTCAGCAAACGTTTTTCTACAAATCCTCCTTCCTTGGACATCATTCACCCCTTACTTGGATGTGCATCCCAGCTCCGTGTCTGAATCATAGCCCATGTCCCATGTCAACCACTTCGAGCTGGACATGCTCCATTAAACTATATATCATTTGTGGCATCCCAGAAATGTATAAATCTATAGCTGGGCTCTATGCTACCAGTCATAGTCATTTTTGTATATAGACACTATAAACAAATATATGTTTATAAACATTTATATAATAGATACACAAATATACATATATATATACAAATATAAATACACATATATATTTACACATATATATGTATATATTTAAAAGATACATTTACAAATATTATATATATATATATGCGCAAATACATTTATAAATATATACACATATTATACATATTATATATATATATACAAATGTATGTATATATATATATATTCAAATGTGTACACATATATAAATGTATATGTATATGTACATACAAGTATATATATATAATATATATATATATAAACAAATATATAGTATATATCAATATCTCTCTCTCTCTCTCTTTCTTTCGCCCGCCCGAGTCAATTCAAACTGACTGCGGTCCTAAAAGGGCATGGGAAAACAACCAGGAACTAATCATTCAAAAGGTTCCCGCAAAATTCATCAAATTCTACATATACTTGTTCATTCATACTTCAAGAGAAATTGCATGGAATTGCGCTTTGCAATCAAAGGCCAGTGTTCGTCTCCAAAGTGTTGCACAGCAAATTGGGTAAGATGGTCGTCCCACCGTTGTGCTGGTCGTCCTCGTTTGCGACAAGGTTTTGTCAATTTTTTGGCCCCAATCTGTGGGAGGATGCCATAATACAGTTCTGGCTGGCCAAGCTGGCATGTGTTGTGCCACATGAATTGCAAATTTAAACTGGCGAATGAAAAAACAATCCGACTCCGACCACTTACGAACAGGATGCAACGTCATCGCAAATTCCACTTTACCGTTCATTCTTCGCATGGTATCTTGCCATTGCTCGTTGTGCGTACGGACCCAGCCTATGGAGTGTAGCATCGCTGCACCACATCCAACTTGTGTATTTGCACTTTTGTCAATGGTAAAACTGCAAGGCCAAACACTGCTGTGGGGGACACCACCGAATCGAAAAGCTTCAATCTCAATTTGAGGGACACACGTTTGTTTGAAATGATGTGTTCGCACTGATGAAATTTCGCCCAGGCAGCATGAAGTCGATCAAATTCCACATTTGTTCGCAAAGCCAAATCACCCGTCAAGATCTTTCCCAAAGATTGATGCCTGTGTTCACCAAAATCTCAATGAAGTCACCTGCCACTTCTGCAAAACACGGTTGTTCCACACAAAGCGCGGCCACGAAGCGCCCCCTGCTTGGAAGCCTCACCCTGCAGGTCCATATTTGTTTATTTATAGCTGGGTTTTGTACTAGTCATGGTCATAATGTAGATACAGATACATGTAAATGTATCTATATATGTATAGACAGAGATAAACTGTGCAAATATACATATATATGTATGTATGTATGTATGTATGTATGTATGTATGTATGTATGTATGTATGTATGTATGTATGTATGTATGTATGTATGTATGTATGTATGTATGTATGTAGTATGTATGTATGTATGTATGTATGTATGTATGTATGTATGTATGTATGTATGTATGTATGTATGTATGTATGTATATGTGTGTGTGTCGCTATATATAGTTATATATATATAATTACATACTTATATATAATTACATACTTATATATAATTACAGTACATACTTATATATAATTACATACTTATATATATATAATTACATACTTATATATAATTACATACTTATATATGGCCAAATCTACAGCTTCACAAATCTGCAATGAGGTCACTTGGGGATTGTTTTCCTCAACCATCATTCACTGTTGGGTCGGCCAGTGAGGTCCTTAGTACGATGTATCACCCATCTTCCAGCTGCTCCGCCTCAAGACTTTCCAAGGCCGATTTTCGTGCCTCGTCTCCTTAGATGAAGGGGCTTTAGGATTATATGATAAGCAATAAGCAAGCAAAATCTGGGAAATTGATGGCAAATCCTAGGAGCAGTAAGCAACAACAAACATGTGTGGATTTTAGAACCCAAAAGTTGTGTTTACCCCAAATTTAGGGATTGATATGGATGAATACCATCCCCTCAACTAAGGCGGACCCTGAGAACCGCCCAGTTGAGGAAATGAGAACTCCCACCCACATTGTCTTCCAACTGTCATTTGGCAAGGTCAATTATGGCAGGGTCTATGCTGTCTGTTTGGATGGCATGGCAACCAGCCCACATATATGGAGGTTTCCATAGTCATGGGTGTACCCCCCCCCCATCATCCCGTTTTTTGGAGGTTGATTTTCCATGAAATAAACCAGCTATTGGGGTTACCCCCACGACTATGGAAACCCCTATATATTACAAAGCCCAATGGGCTTTTACCCGAGCGGCGTTCTTCGCACTTCTTCGCAAGGCCTTCCTTGTTCTGCTCAAGCTGCGGCAACGCATGACGCAGTGAGAGCTGGACCTGGCGCAATGCTTGAACGACGTTCAACGTTAACCACCGGGGGGCCACAATGTGGGGCCCCCAAACTCATTACATACTCATTACATTGGTCTAAGGTAAATTTTTTGAGACCCTTATATTTGATGGGGGAAACCATAGTTTCCTGTAGATTTCCCCTAACTCAATCCAATGACAAACAATAGGCAACTTGGTTTACAACTATGACCCTCACTAGTCCGGATTCAACCAGAGTCCAGTGATTCTGCATGGCTTAACCTGGCCAGGATGGGCCTTCTCAAAGTCTTCGAAGCTTTTCTTCGCCCAGCTCCTGGGGGGGACGATGCTAGAGCCATCCAAACATATCCAAACCACCAAACGTGTGAATTCGATTCAACCATGGAAAAGTGTAAATGAAACGTTTGAAGAATGGTGTTGACTGACACGGAACCTAGGGAAAAAATTACTTTACTTCGTGTGATCCCCACCATGACATTTATACATTTTGTTACTGGCAAATCTTCTGGCATTCTATCTGACATATTTTCTGGCATATCTTCTGGCATACTATCTGGCATATCTTCTGGGATTCTATCTGGCATATCTTCTGGCAGATGTTCTGGCATATCTTCTGGCAGATGTTCTGGCATATCTTCTGGCATATCTTCTGGCATATGTTCTGGCATATCTTCTGGCATTCCATCTGGCATTCTATCTGGCATATCTTCTGGCATATTATCTGGCAAATCTTCTGGCATTCCATCTGGCATTCTATCTAGCATATCTTCTGGCATATTATCTGGCAAATCTGCTGGCATTCTATCTGGCAAACATTCTGGCACTTTATCTGGCATATCTTCTGGCATTCTATCTGACATTCTATCTGGCATTCTATCTGGCATACCTTCTGGCATTCTATCTGGCATATCTTCTAACATTCTATCTGGCATATCTTCTGGCACTCTATGTGGCATATCTTTTGGCGTGGATACTCGCGGTTGAGGTCCGGCAGGGAACACTGGGCGTGGATGGTCGTGGTTGAGGTCCGGCAGGGAACACTGGGCGGGGATACTCGCGGTTGAGGTCCGGCAGGGAACACTGGGCGTGGATGGTCGTGGTTGAGGTCCGGCAGGGAACACTGGCGTGGATGGTCGTGGTTGAGGTCCGGCAGGGAACACTGGGCGTGGATGGTCGTGGTTGAGGTCCGGCAGAGAACACTGTGGATCGCGGGTCGCAGTTGGACGAGGACGACGAGGACGACTAGGACGACGACGAGGAGGACGACGAGGAGGAGGAGGAGAGGAGGAGAGGAGGAGGAGGAGGACGAGGCAGGAGGAGGCAACTGACATAAAATCTAACAACCCTCACCTGGCAGGTGGGGAAATAAGAAATCATCTTCCAATGCTATTTATCAGAAGTCCACCTTATTTTTTTTGGCGGTTCAAGTCAGCTGCAAATCATCTTCCCAGGAATGCAAAGTCATGGCGAAAACAAGCAAACCAACCAGACAAGCTATGGTAAAGTCTTGTTGCGAGCATGGCAGATAACGACTGAATGCAACAGAGGCTCCACCAACGATCTGGCTTGTACCAAGCCTGGGCCACTGGGGCAAAAATTCGAAGCATCTGAAGTTCCTGAAGCCATGTCCCTCATCTTCCCTCCCCTGGCCCCCAAGCCTCTACGAGGTGCTTGGCCTTTTTGAAGAGCTGGTTCCAGGAGCTACTGGGTTCTTGGAAGCAGCTGGTGATACTCCAACTGGCCAGCCATGCCAATGGCTTGGGGATTCTGGGGGCTAGTTTCCGGCCTTTTGAAACAGCACTGCTCCTTCGAGCTCCTTTACCACTGCGCATAATGGATCCCAACAAAATGAAGTTGAAAAGGCGACTTTCGTGCCAGAAAATGGCAGGTGTGTGATTCTGAGGACCATGGAGCTTCCCTGAAAGCTGCGCCATGCTGCGCCTGCTAGGATTCCTCTCAGCCAAGGTGACCCAAAAGCCCGACTGCACTTCCATCCGCAAAACCTAGGGTCAAGGCTGCAACAAAGTGGCAGAGGAAAACTTCGAGATTGGACAAATTTGACATGTGGATCATATGTGTTTCAAAATGATATAATCACATAATGAAATTGTTTGTCCGATTATCCTGCGGGAAAGTTCAAAAACCAGCTTCACCCCTGAAATCTGAACTGCCATGAAACCAAACTGACCAGAACAAAAAGAACCAGAAAAGAAAAACATCTCTAGTCCTTAGGTTGCATGAAACCACCGATAATGACTGTCCCAATATACCAACCAAAAACCAGAACGTCTCCTGAAATCTTCAAAAATGCTTGGAAATTGCAACGGATCCCGGCAAAAAAGAAAACAAATGTGTCCTCTTTAATGGTTGGATGATTTTGGGGTCGTTTTGGGTCCCCAAAATGTTAGGAAAACCATCAAAACCCATGAGGAGGAAGAAACAACAACAACAACAACAACAACAACAACCACAACCACAACCACAACCACAACCACCACCACCACCACCACCACCACCAACAACAACAACAACAACACCAACACACCGTTCATGCAAATTCAACTCGATCCCCCCAATTTTGGCTTTCCGACCAAAATTTGGGTGTATTTTTGAATGGCTCCGTAGCCACCAACAACTACCAATAGGAGGCGAATCTTCATCCATGGGGGGGTCACACATCTGGCGCCTCTGGTGCTTCCTCATCGGTCTGCACCACCACCAGTGTGCTTCCATGGACCGCACCTGCGGTGAAGATCCAGGGTCCATCCCGAAAAGTCGAAGCTGCATCAGAAATGAATGGAACAAATAAACAAACATAGAAATAACTAGTAGAACCATGTCATTGTAGAACATATGTACAAGTTGATTAAGAAATCATTGAAGAAGTAAATGATAAATGAAGAGCAAAGGTTTCATCAACATTCATCAACCATGCACAACCATGCACAACCCAACCCAAAGACATGAGTATCATGAGCGAACTTGGCATTGGAGGGTATTTGTGATCCCGATTTGAAACCCCACGCAAAGGCCCAAACTATCTGGGAATACTGGGGGGCCCTAACAATAGCAATCGAGTACGACAACTTCCAGTAAGAATAGGATTTTGGGATCAATATCAAAAATTGAAATGCAACCAAAAAACCAGCTGGATTTTAATAGAACCATCAACACCCCCAATTAATAGCCCCCAGTTCGACTGATGATAGATATATCTCGACCATAAACATCCATCCCTTTACTTAGATTATAATGTGGCAAACCCAATAATAAAACATCCCAACATCCCATTCACCAACCAGGACTGAGGGTCATAATAAACATCATCCCATTTCTATAGGGCTATGGCGACCCAGCTAACGCTGCCAATTTTTATCAGCACTAACAGCTAACTGCCTAACTGCACCCCCAAAAAATCACCATCTGGATGAGATGATATGAGATGTAAAAAAAATCACTAACCTATATCATACCATATAATAAGATGCCTAATTCACCACTTAATTCACCACTAACCTGGGTAAATTCACCACTTTGGGTCAAGTTCCCCCTAACAGCCCCCATGTTTCCACCGGATCAGCGGGCCTGGTGCCCGCCATTGCGGTTGCATTTCGCCGCTGGGGTCCACTCCCGCAGTGGCCTCGAAAAAACCGAAGACATGGTCATATGAGTCATATGATATAACGCACATTGTATAACATTATTGTGCGTTTTACCATATCATACCATATAATAATATATATATAATATAACCAAGGTTGGTCTGTCTCTTTCTCTGTCTGCATGCATGTTTACTGATGCAATCTGATGCATATGATTGTGTATGATTCTGTGTATGTGTATATATATATATGTATGTATATACATATGTTTATTCATTTATTCATGTATATATATAATTATATATATATCATTATATATATATAGTTATATATATATATATATCACCTCCGAGTGATCTTACATAGCCATGGGAAAACCACAATCTTGTCAACTAATAGGTAAACCATCCAAAAACGGGCCATTTCCGCAGCAATATTAGATTACTAGAGGGTGTGAATATATATATATGTATATATATATATATGTATATATATATATAGCTCATAAATGCCCAGAATAGATAGCCGCAAATGTTCCACACGATCATATTATATAGCTCGGCTCGGCTACCCTATGGTTTTTCGTTACCGATGTTCGAACTGGGATACACACCACGAGCATCCCCTGGCTAGCTGGCAAGGACCTTTCGGGCCGCACAGCCCCAAGCTATGCCAAGCAGCCCAGATGTCACTGACCCCAAACTTCGTCTGGAAGGTGTGCTCCCATCGGGGAGCATCTTCCTTGAGTCAGAAGACACGGCATGTCTCCACTGATTGGTGGTTGGTGTGTGTGTGTGCGCGCGCGCTACCAACTACCACCCCATCCTCCAAAAAAATCAACCCCGGTTGGTGGTTGCGCTATGAGGCGCATCCAAAATCCCAAGATATCCCAAGTAGGATCATTTTGGAATATTTTGGCGGCACCTTGGGATCCCCATCTGGGAACATCTCCGCTTCCGGCTGTCTCTCATCAGCGCCTCCTGCACCAGGTGCGGGAGTGAAAAATGTGGCCCTGTACAACTGGAAAAGCCGAGCTTTCTGATCTTATCTCTATTTAAATATCCTTAACAGAACGAATTAGCTCTATTTGTTAATTTGCGAAACTGAACAGAACAAACTGACGGACGGGATGAACCGCTCTCGAATCATCAAAAGACGATGCCTTAACCCGTAACCAATCGGAAAAATGGAGACACATGCATTATGAAAGAACATGACAGAACGAGTCTATGATTGCGGATGGAGGCAACACACTGAAAACAAAATGAGACCCAAAGACACCACAGGCAAAGGTTGAGATTTCAATAATTCTGGGTCTTCCAAAGGGACAACTGAGGAGTACTGCGCATCACACTTTGAGGCAGAGGCCCCTGAAATGTTGATCAGGGATAGCAGGTATAGATCTACAGGCTACAGGACCTGCACCCCCTATATAAATGTAACATAGAACCTGGAAAAATGGGCATCCAAAGGTGATTTTCCTAGTGGATGCTGATATGGCAATTTTGGAGGGTTCCATGTCATGTTTAGGAGGTGTATATGGGCAAATAGATCAATCAAGAACCACATGAAATCTGACAGTCGTCCTTGTTCCGCCGCTGACGTCCGATCATTTGCCCCACTTGGCTGTTCAGGGCTCGAGGCGGCGCTGGCGGAAGCTGTGGTGCTGGTGCCTGTCAGAGATCCGGTGCTCATGTGACTGGGCATTGCCCTCCGGTACTTTAACATAACTATGGAGAACCATGTTTAGCAATTCTCATCCATTTTCTGTAGCTAGGTCAAATAGCAGAGGGTATACCCGGCTATTCAAAAGTTGAGCATATGTAGATGTGTATATATATATAAGCAACCCCTCGATGAAGGGAACTGATTTTACATAAGCCATTGGATGTGTGCGTCCAACCAAGCCAAGAATCACCAAGACTTTCTGCAAAACATGTGGTGCTGCACTGCAACAAAGAAGGAACAAATCACACCACGCGTATCCAGTTGTCTGATCTGGCAATGGCAACCCCTCTTGGAACATCATAAATCCACTTGAATGATTCTTTACCCATGTTGATTATTCAGGGGTGCTGACCTGCGACCATGGACTCTCCAGGCATGTGGTAAACCCGGCAATAAAACATACGCATACTGCATTTCCTGTACCACTGTACCTCATCGTAGAACATAGTAAGCCCACACCCCAAAACGGAGGTGATTGGGCCACATTGGGCCCCTCAAACCTAGAAAGTTCAAGCATCGTAGCATATCTTAGCCACACCCACCAGGCCTGTCGCACGAGGAGGTGATTGTGTGGCTCTCTCCACGGGAGCAGGTTCTTTTTGGCATCGCTTGCCATGGAAGGTCTTCTTTTTATAGTTCTCCTCCGTCTGGAACGCTATTCGCTTCCAACCCCGCTAGTAGCACACACTCAAACTAAGTTGAAATCACAACACTTGAAACTGCACAACAATGTCAAGCAGAGTGAGATTGAGAGAATCTACCTCCGCATCTATGGCGATAATTTGTGATAGACAATGCGCCAACACACGCTAAAATCACGGTCAACACAAAGTATCACAGCTCGTCCTTTTCCCACTCCTCGCACCTTTTGCAGCAATAGCCTGGCCGGTGTTGATAATATATTGCTGTCTGCTCCCCTCAAAGTAAAAGAAGATACCCTGAATTTCCAGCATGGAACAGATCCGCCATGCAATCAACCATCAGTTGTCAGGCCCACTCATCTCCTCACCCAAATGGCCTATGAACTCATCCCTCAGCTCGTGTTCAAGATAACTACCTCACCGTGGCGACCAAGATGCCACCAATCACATGACTCTATGGGCATCCATGGGCCCCTCGTGACCGGTTCACATCGCTGGAAAGAGCTTTGAACTCCACGACCTTTTAATGATCTACAAAGGCCCAAGCCATCACTGTGAACCCAACATGCCCAAACTGGGTATAAGTTCATTACAAAATCGTAGGAGACCAGAGGTTGTCAATGTTTTTCCTGTTTAGCTACATGTTGTTTTTTTTTTGGACCAAACCCTGCGAATCACCGAGCCACCTACCTCTGTGTCGAATTGATCATCATTTTTTCAGTTTGAAAACAACTTATTGAAATCACTCTATCATGATCTTTCTGTTCGCAAAGAATCGACAGAATGTCCAAGTCTATTATTCTAATCCGTGCTATTGTGTATCTTATCTCTCTCTCATATATATATATATATATATATTTATATTTATATTTATTTATATTTATATGTATTACATACCACTAATATCCCATTAAATCCCTGTTTTCATCATAAAGCCTAAATTGTCTTGCTTTATCCCAACCCCCAGCATCCCCCAGCCATGCCCCAGTGGCAGTAGGGGTTTAAACACTTCTGCCGCTGCTCCCGTGGCACCGCCCCCGGCGCTGGCCGCGCCGGGCGCGGCTCCGGCGCCGCGCTGCGGGCTCCTCAGCGCGGCGGCGGCGCGCGCGCGCGCCAGGAGCTGGGCTCGGCCGTGCCTGGTGGCGGCGGATTGTGGTGGGAATGGATGGTGTGAGTATTGCAGCTGGGTATTGAGCCATGAAGATCCCCGTGTGTCGCCACTCAATTCAACTACCCAAGCTGGCGGAGATGAATGGCCCTACTAAACTAAAGCTCGGCCTTCCACCCTGGCCTTGGGTGTTTGATCCTGAAGGACTGCTTTCATGGTAATCATTGTGCTTGTTGATCATGTCTTGGAGGAAGGGGCCCAAGCTGATCTGCCAACTGTCTCGCTTCTGGACGCACCTCAGCCACCATCGGCCATCTCAGATGTTCGTATTGCTGACCCAAAGAATCGCATGCTGACCCGGTCATGCCGCTGCATCCAAGCCGCTTCTGAGAACTCAGGTGATCCGCACTTGCCCACTTTCCTTGGCTCCAGATTTCGGCCTCTGGCCTCAAAAATCCACAAAAATAATCCTCCGTTGGCGGAGTTTCACTATCGCATCTACTCTCCAGCAAACTAACAACGCTATGGAAATGGATGGGGTTCCCTTTGAAATGATCTACAAATCTACAAATGAAGGCTTTTTCATCCGGGAAATCTCTGGAACCCATGGGGACCCATGGGGATCACTTGCGGCAAGGGGCCGCATAGGCCGCACCATGGGAAGCTCCCGCTTTCTGAGGTAAAGCCTTGGAGCCATGCAACGGCTACTGGTGGGAACGTGTGGAACGATTGGACGAGCGGCTCATGACCAGCCATGGCTGGTTTTCGTCGCACGCGTGCACCCACTGCAACGACCATGGATCAAGCTCCTACAGCATCGGGGGGCCATAGGGCCGATTTTTGGGCTGGGAGATTCCTATGATTTCCATTGGCCAAGGGAGAAAAATAGAACGAGATGATAAGATGATGGAGAAAATGAAAATTGTTGTCAACATTATGACAAAAAAAAGTCTTGAGGCAGGGGTTGGAGATGGTGGAAGCAACAAAGGAACACCTGACGCGGCATATATATATATTATCATTGTGTTGTAATTAATAGCAGCAATACAATATTATTAATACCACGCAAATGTATACATTTACATATATATATATATTATATATATATATGTAAAACCATTTCACTAGGGAATTTTCCAGCCAGCGAGCCCTGTTTTTCTGTTCGTAAACATCACCTAAGAAGGGCAACCACATTTTGCCTAGAAATGGCGATGCACTTCTGCACACCCTTGGAATGAGTATCTATCATTCAAATAAGGCACCCCAGAAAATCTAGCTGCTTTGTCATCATTCTCTCCTTTGTTGAATGGCCATATCTTGGCCATACGCCCCCCATTTTGGGACACACTTACATATCATATTGTCAGTTGTATCCCATGATATTCCTAACTGGTTGGCTGTTTAATGCTGTTTGAAAAAAACACTCCCGATGAAAAATCCCCCCATTGAAGATGCATATGCCGGCGTGTGCCCCATTTCCGCCCCTGCGTCACAGAAACCCACATGAAATCCCAATTTTTGATGGTAAACCCACCATTCTTGGTCGCCCAGATATGCTCAGATTGCCTTGGGCCCAGAATTTTCGTAGGGCGGCGGTTTCAAATAGCTGCAAAGCTCTGGGTCCCTCAGTTGAGTTTGGACTCCAAAGATAGAACTGAAAGGAATTGAACTTTGGAAATTGAAAGATCGCATTTTGATATATCATATACTGAAAACAGAAACAAAGTTTGGAATTGGAATTGGAGAAATCGCTTTTTCAAATGAACATTTAATAGTTCCCTGGCGACCTGAGTTCCCCGGCTTCATCGAGCATAACTAGGCAACTTGCCAACCATGATTAGCAACAATCTTGCTGATTTTTCACCTTAAATCATATTAATCCTTCATTTTTCCCTGGCAATTGTGCGGTCAAGGTGCAACCTGGGGATGCCTGCCGCCAATTTGGCCCAAGAGTGACAGGCTCAATGTGACATGGCACCGGGAATATGGGAAGTCTCATCACAGTAAAGCCAAGACATGGAAGAAGAAACCTCAACTTGGATCCACTGTACTTGTGAGGGGTGTCTCGGTACGGAAATTGTACTTGATCGGATGCCAGTGGGGATAGAGTTATACGAGTATGATGTTATATGAATATATAAGTGTGGAAACGTTTGATCAGGATATACAAACTTGGACATTAGGGGCGAACAATCATCAATTACATCATGGGACTTGGGCAGAGCCGCCAAGGGAACATCTACAATCCCCAAATTCGAAATTTGACATGAATCCTCATCCCACGATGATGAATGGAACTCAAAAAATTGCATACACAATCATATAAGCTATAAGCTACCCCTATGATTTCAATTGGGGATGACCATCCCCAAAAATTATGGGAAGATGAAGTAAATCATACTAAAATCTCATGAATCAATATCATCAATATTGATCAAGTCATGACAATGATAACATATGGTCAAGTTAAACGAATCAAGTCATTCTATATAAAATCGTGTAACTTCACCACGGCCCATCCAGATTTGCCGCGCCTTCGGCGCGAAGCGACAGCGGCGCGACCATGGGCGGCCTGCTGCCTTTGGCAGCCTGGTAGGTGAGGGCCACCCGACTTGGATGTGCATCCCACTTAGGATCCACGGTTTATAATCCACATAGGCCTTATTATTTCATCCGATATTCCAAATAAATAAACAAATAAATAAATAAATAAAATAATCATATAGATATATAATTATATTAAAATATATACACAACCGGGGGGTATAACCCATGTACTAAGTGGGATGCATCCATATAGGTCCTTGAAACTCTCCGTCCTCGTGGGTCAATGTCGTTTCCGCAGCTACCACGGCGCCATGCCCAGCAGGTTTGAGCCGCACAGAAATGTTGAATGCACATGTTCGATACCAGGAAAATGGAGAAGACATGTCTGATAAATCACAAGGGTCTATCATGATGGTTCCAAACTTCCAAACTCCAACATGTGTAGCCCCAACTGTGTATTCGTGTTTCTTTTCCTATGACCAGCTTGTGAATAAATATACGCGAGAAGAACAAACTCCTTTACTGATTTTACTGCACAGGCGCACAGAATCATCACATTCAAATACGCAGAATCATCACCTATGGCCATTTCCTTGCAACCTTGGTTTAGTATCTTATATAAATCACATATGTAAATCTCTTCGTTTGGTGGGATTGCAAATCTCATAAAAAGAATCGGGGATTCAATTTACTGAGCTACTGACGATGTCAGGTAGGCTCGGCTATGTAGAAATGGATAGACTTGTTACTCTTCTCTATTTGTGCCCTTCCAGCTCCTCCCACAGCACGAACCTTCGGCTTTTATGCCAAGTTGCGTTCTTGAGTCTCAAAGGGGCAGCTATGGACAGCTGCATGAATGGATATGCAAATTGGTGCAAATTGAAAGTTGACATGTCAATGCATCATGCTTATGACAAGTCATGAAAAACAATGGGTGACATCAGCACTCCCCCATTGAAAATTCGTAAGGATTTTTCAATCCGTGGCGCAAACTACCCCTCTCGTTCTCGGCACGTTTGACAGAACGGGGTCAATTTTCCTTCTCTGATCCATGGGCATCGTTCATCTGAGTGTGCTGCGGTGCCAGTTACAGAAAGATAGAGTGAAGTCCCTGGTGGTGGCCTTCCCCTCGTTTGCAGGCAACCCTTCTGCAAACCTGACACCATTTGAATGGTCGGGGCTGTCCGACTCGTGGACCTTGTAGATGCCTGCAGGATCGATCACTGTGGTATACCACACCATACGTTGTTCGAAGAACGTTGAATCGCAGTCCTTCTGCATCGTTCTCCTCCACTTCTTCGATGATCACTGGTGGTAGCGGAGTCTGCCGAATTTCTCTCCACATTTCTGCTTCTTCTTGGATGATTCTGATCAGCTCTTCTTCAATTCGAGCTTCCATGCTTCCAGCAGCCGGGCTCGGCCCACCCGAGGAGCTTGATGTCTCTCCATCGGGGACAGGGAGGCGGACTGGATTTCCTTGATCCAACCCCATCTCAACCCGTCGGGTGGTGTTTTCCTCTTCCACCCGGACCGAAGGAGGGAGGCGGACCAAGGGCTCAGATGAGCCGCTCGACCCCTGCTCACCCCCTGTGCCACGGACTGCTTCTCGGGCTCTTTGTTGAACCCCTGTTTGATCTCCTTGTGCAGGGAGACTTCGGTCTGCTCCTTCAGATTGATCTTTGATGACCTGGCGAAGCTTTCCTACTCCTACCTTCCACACAATCTGACCCAACAAGGTCAACAGGACAATGGCGATGGCGAAGATAACCATCATCACTTTGAGTTCTTTCGCTCCATGTTCTTCCTCCTCATCTTCTTCTGATTTCCCAACAGAAATCATGGCAGCCAAAGTGATCAGCTTGACTGCGGTGGCGGCTTGAGATACTTTGAACGCATTTGATGCCTTCTCTTTTTGATCTTCTCCAACTTCCTTCTTCGTTTCTTTTTCTTCTTTTGATTCACCTGGTCTTTGTGCCATGCCCAGCAAACCCTTGAGCTTGCCAATGCGGTTGGAAGACAGCGCCTTTGTGCCCAAATCGGCATTCAGCTCCTCGCCTGGGACATGACCAACTGCCCAATCCCCGGAAAGGACTGCCTGCCGGGCATATGATGCCCTCATTCGAAGATGGCGTGTGCGCCAGCTCCCGCCCTCACTTGACAAGATGGACAAAGCTGACTGGCTGTCTGACCAGGCAATCTTTTTCACATCATCAAACAACTCATACAGGATGGTGGCCACTGATTCTCCTGCATTCATGGCCTCGATGATTTCGTTCAACTCGGCTTCTGCTGTGGATAAGGTGATTGAGGCTTGACGCCCCGAGCGCCACAGCAATGCAGAGTCGTTTACCATGACTGTGAAGCAGCCATGTGACTCTTCTCCTTCTGGTGCAAACGATGCATCTGACCAAACTTGTATGACCACATCCTTTTCTTTTCCTTCTTCAAACTTCAAACCTTGATCCCATGTTCCCCTCAAATAGTCTCTTGTTTGTTCTGCTGCCTCCAAAACTTTGACTGTGGACTTTGTGACATGTGCCCCCATGCGTGAAATGGTGTACATGATGTCGGGACGTGTTCTGGTCACCAGCCACAGTAGCTCGCCAACTTCGCGTTGACATTGGCGAACTCGTTTGAGATCTGGAGGTTGTGAATCCTCCTCCATGATGGCAAGATCCCTTGAGATTGGAATCTTTCGAATCCTCTTTTCTTTTTCTTCTTTTCCTTGATCATATCTTTCAAGCAAATCTTTGATGTAACCACTCTGAGTTACAAACCACTCAGAGCGCTCTTTCTCCTCAGACCAGATCTTTTCCACCTCCATGCCTAGGAAGCGTGTTGGCTTTTCCGACACCTCCTCTGGATTGGATGTCGTCCATGTTTCTTGAAACTTCGCAGTGATGGCTTCCACCAGATCGCCTTCTGCAGCGATGAAGACATCATCAACGTAAGTCATCACCAGTCCAAGGATTCTGCCATTGGACAAAGAAGCCAGCTCATCCTCTTCCTCCCCCATGACCTGCACAACTTTCCAAAGATTGGGTTCAGATCCCATTTGAAAGAGCTTGACCTCGATGTTCTTTCCTTCTTTTTCCGCCTTGATGACAAACTGGTGCATACGATGATCTCGATGCCTCCCCCACAATCTTGGTGACCTGCGAAAACCATAAATCGCTTTGACAGGGAGATAGACGGTGTTGGGTGCGAGATAGCCCTTCTCAATCATGATGTGTGGAGGACGAATCAACAAAAGGTTCTCTTCCTCGGTGAGTTCCAAGTCAGCATTCAAAAATGCTGTTCTCACGTCAATGATTTGAGCCCTCCATTGAAACTTCCCGCAGCACCAAATGAGAATGCGAAAAGCTGTTGCATCAGCTCCTCCGCTGTAGTTCTCTTCTCCTTCTTTCTTTTCTTCAAAGTTCCCGCAAACAACCCATCTTGTTTTCTTTTTTCCCCCTTTTTCACCTGCCTTCACCACATGGACCAACTTCGACGGTATATATTCTACCCGCCGTCCTTCTCGTTCTGCCTGTTGCTTCAGCTCTTCATGTTCTTCTGCTGTCAGCTCTTTGAGGGCCTGCTTGTCTTTTGTCAGCGACTGAACTTCGCTGTCCACCGATTCCAACCATTCCCCCCACTTTCTTGAAACCTCCTTGGGTGAAATGATCTTTGTTTGGAGTACTTCTTCTGACTCCTCCATCGCTGTTGCAATCTTCCGCAGCTTTGCAACAACCTGTATGATTCCAGATGCAACTTCTGGATCTTCATCCACGATTCCTCTCATCTCCTCCTCAATCACTGCATAGATCTGTTTCACCTCTTCTTTCTTTTTCTCTCTTTCTGAATCTTCGCCTTCTTGATCCAAAGTAGGATGAACCCTCCTCACCGCAGTCTTTCCTCTCAGCCTTCTTCTTGTGCTCCATGGATCCACTATGCGTCCTTCAAGCGCTATCCATGCGCCTTCTTCAACCGGCTCTGTGGTCTTCTCCATGATGAACTTGGTGACTCGTGGAGGTTCTCCCTGCTTTTGGACCCAGTGCCCATGATCCTCTGTCGAGGGGCACAGGTAGTGGACACGCTCGACCACTGGTTCGAAGGCTCCTCTTCTCCATGTTCTTTTCTTGACTCTGACTTCTTGGTAAAATGGGGGACAACTTGGTTGAATGCCCTTCCTCACACACCGGTTGAGCTCATCCACATAGCGCAGAGCCCAAGGCCAATGTGCTGAATCAAGGCCTGCTTGTCGAAGTGTCCTCCTGATTTGGGACTTGATGGCCTTCACTGCTACTTCGGCCCGTCCGTTTCCCTGTGGATCGTCTCCTGCTGTCTTGGTGACATAGATTCTATGCCTCTGCTTCTAGCCCACCTTTTGAAGGCTCCTTCAAACTCATGGCCTCTGTCGCAGTGAATTCGGCCTATGTGGAAGCCGTCCGCCCGGAGCCGCAGCACAAACTCCATGGCTGTCGCGCTCACTTCTCGGGCCGTTTTGGTGATCATGGGTAGGGCTAACCTGAATACCCTCACCTCAGTTGTTTCTTCAAGGTCTTCTGGCCCTTTTTCTTCGCGTGGCGCCACGAGGCGGACTGGGTCTCCTCCACCCAACCCCAACTCAGCGGCAGCTTCACCCGGGAGCGGTGCAGCGAGGCGGACTGGGTCTCCTCCACCCAACCCCAACTCAGCCACATCATCGCTCCGCGGCGGGGCAGCGAGGCGGACTGGGTCTCCTCCACCCAACCCCAACTCAGCCGCCAACTCACCGCCTGATGCCTGATTGTTGTCAGCACCCATTGGTGGCAAATCGCCAAAGATTCCATCCTCCAGGGCCTCTTCTTCTACATCTTCTTTGTCTTCGATCTTCGGCTCATCTCCTTCTAAGGGCTCTTGTGCCGGCTGCTTCAACTTCTCCAGACCTTTTGGCACCCTCCATGTCAATGCTCCCACCAAGAAGTACCTTGCCATTCCTCCTCCTTGGTCGTAGGCACCAATCAAAGGGCCTGCCGTGTCGATGGAGAGCACTCCTCCAATCACGTGGCGCGTCTTTCTGTGTGGCGCGCATTGTTGATTTGTTTCTTGGCACACCCTGCAATCTCTTCTGTATGGGATGTGCCCACATGCTATGTGCTCCTGCCAAGAGAGCTGTTTGATCTTTGGATCCATCTTGTAGACCTGCTTCATCAACTCGGTCGCCAGCATCCTCATCAATGCTGGAGGCCATCTTGACAACTCCTTTGAGCTTTTCACTCTTTCTGGGTGACGTCGATCGCCAGTCTTGTACTCCTCCACCGTGAGCTTGAGGGAACCTCCAAAGGTCGTCGGCTTTGGTGACTTTCCTCCAAGACTTCCTTGTTCGAACGTCTCCTCAAACCATCCAAACTCCTTCTTCAGCTTGTGCCATTCCTTTGTATCCCAAAAGCTCACAACCTCTGGCTTGTAGCTCTTTGGACTGGCAGGTTGTTCCAAACTGAACAACGGATCTTTCGTTGCTCCTCTCGCTCTTGCTGCATATGTTGACACCATCTGCAGAAAGAGCATCCTCCACATCAGCAGGTCATCTCCTCTGACTTGTTCTCGTTCTTGATCTGTCAGATGCTTCTTTCCAAACTCTCCTCCACCCCACTGCCTCACTGGTCGCGGAGCTTCTGGATGTCCTTCAACTGGGATGTGCCTGAGCACACTTCTTGTTCGACAGTTCGGGCCTCCAATGATGGCTCGAATCTTCCCTTCTAATGCCGTCCTCATCAGCCCCCCATAGAGCTTGGACTCCAAAAGATTTTGTTCTTCTCCTCTTTCTACATCAACTTCTAACAACTGCCAACCTTCTCCTCCGACTTGATGCCAAGCTCGATGAAGTGTGAAGCCTTGATCAGGGCCCGCAAACAGATGAAGAAGATAGCCATCTCGCTTCATTCGTTTTCTCATCCTTTTGTTGCATGGTAGGTGATTCCATTCTCCAACTTCGCATTTGAGGCCTTCTTGAATCCAAGACGGCAAAGAAGACAGCACTGGGTGTTCTTTGATCAGCCTTTCCAACCATGCCTCTTCTTTGGTGAAGTCGGATGCCACCTCGCCAATGCATAGCTTTTTGTCCTCAATCTCCTCAATGAGCTGAAGAGCCAACTGACGTGATACCTGTGGGCATCCTTCACTTTGGTTGATCGGCAGCTTGCCAATCTTTGGATGGATGACTGTGATTCCACCTTCTTCCCATGTTGCTTTGCAGCCCAGAACGCCAATCAGCAAGCCCATCGGAACGATCGGCTCAATGTCCAAGTCAGGACTCACCAGTGTGCCTCCACGGGTGATCGCCAGTTGAGTCTTTCCACCATTGGCCAACGCCACTTCAACTTGACGGTAGCTGGTGGTCTCCTCCCCCGGCTTCAATGGTCGTAGTGGATTTGTCGCGCCAGAGTCCAACAGTCCCTGCACTCCTCCACCAGCCAACCTTCTCAATCTCAATGTCTTCAGCCTCAACGCATTCAGCTGCTGCTGCAGCCGATCCATCACTTCGTCCTTTCCTTCTTCTCTGCTTGTTGATGCTGCTGTTGTTGAGCTGCTGGATGTGGTGTTTGCGCTGGTAAGACTTTTCAACATCTTGCTGGCTTCCTCCATCAACTCCTTGATGCTTGCCTCACTTCCTGCTACACTTGAGCTTTCCACATCCTTCTGAACTCCTCCTTTTCCTTCGCCTTCTGTCTTCAGAACCCTCGCCCTTGTTGGACTTCCATCTGTAGAGCCCTTTGGACGACTGCAGTTTGGGGAGAAGTGATCAACTGCTCCACAAGTCCAGCACCTCTTCTTCTCATCCTTGAAGTCGTGCGAAAACCCGCACAGCTTTCCCTTCTTACATCCTCCATCTGACATGTAAAACTTGCACCTCGGCTTGCCTTGACCTTCTTCTTGACCCTTACCTTTTCCTTTGTCCTGCTTCTCAGCTTCCAGGACTTCAGCTTTGGACCTTCAACTTTGGGAGCTCCTCCAGAACGTTTTCGGTCAAAGCAACCTGGTCCAGTTCGGCCAAGAGATGGGTGGCAAACCGACTGACGGTCAGCTCAGTGGGAGATGTATCAACTCCAAGGCTTGATCTCGCCAGTTGTATGCGAAACTGCAAGTCTTTGTGGCTTTCTAAAACCTTTCTTGTCATCTTGTTCAAACCCTTGAGAAGTAATGCCGCATCTGGCACCACCGCCCCTATTTCCACTGTTCGTGTTTTCCACCTCAGCCACTTCCTCAATGCTGCTGGTGCTTCAACCAACTGGGATACTTCCGGTGGCTCCTCCAAGTTGCGCAAAAGCATCTGTTTCTCCATGACTCCCCCAGGACAGTAGGTGAGGAAGAGGTGTGTGAGGATGCTGAACACTCCAACTTTTCGTCCAGCCACCAATTCATCCCGCACCCCTTCTGGAACTGCCTGAAGAAGCATAGTTGACATCCTCCTTTCCAGTCTTTGCCACCGATCTTGAACCAGCTGAGGAGGGGGCTTGACTTCATGAGAGATTCGATCCAAAGGATTCATTGACATATGCTGCTGATACCAAGTCTCAACTGCCTTGGTCATTTCGCCCCACCATTCTTGGCTTGTGGTGGACATGTCAGCAGCAACTGGTTCGATCATCAACAACCAATCTCCTAGTTGTAGAGGTCCTTGTGCTGGATTGCATTGTTGAAGGGCTGGCAACTCCATGACACCAGTCCGAACCACTTCCACACCTCGGACCATTCCAGCCTCCTCTCGTGGCTCCAGCATCTTCTTTTGCATTTCCTTCATCGACTCCATCATCAGTGCCATGAAGCCAAGCGATCGCTCTGCAAAGCTTTCACTACTGCTTGACTCCTTCTGTCCTGTTCCTTCTTGGCCAGGATGGCGCTGTTCTTCACTTCCAAACCTCCATGGAAACATGACCGCTTCACTTTGGGGGTCTGCAGCCTCCTTGGAAAAGCTTCGGGCTTCTCTTTGGTGGTCTCCGGCCTCCTTATAAGAGCTTCGGGCTTCTCTTTGGGGGTCTGCAGCCTGACTTCGGGGAAACATCTCAGCCTCCTTTTGGGGGTCTGCAGCCTGACTTCGGGGGGTATCTCAGCCTCCTTTTGGGGGTCTCCAGCCTGCTCCAACTTTCGCGGTTCCTCTTCAGGTGTTGAAAACTTCGGATCAGCTTCTTTCTGCTTCTCCTGAGCTTCCAACTTTTGCATCAGCCGACGATTCTCCTCAAACTGGAATTTCATGGACTGTCTCATTTCTTCTCTTTCTAGTTGATCTTGCATCAAACGCTCTTTCAACCTCTCCATTTCTTGATCTCTATTCTCAGATGCTTGTCTAGCTCTGAGCTCCTCTTGTTCTAAAAACTGTGGACGCTGCAAAAATGGAGAAAATGCTGATCGAGGTTGTGTGTACAGCCATGGTGCTTGCGAAAACAATCCAGTGAAATGTTGAACCTGTTCAGGAGTGAAGAGTGGCTCAACTAACGACCCTACACTTCTATCTCTGTCCCCCTCCACTGCAGTTCCCAAACGCTCGCTCGGTGACACTTTCTGCTGAGAGCCACCTACACTTTCCTTAGATCTGTCCTTGGTGTCTGCAGGGGTCTTGATGCCTGCTGACGCTTGATCCTCCGATGGAACTTCTGGCGGATCCACTGGAGGCATTGTCAGTGGACGGACTGTTGACCCGGAAACTGGATGGGCACCGGATGGACTAGCTTTGGGGGTTCCTTGAGAATTCTCCAAACTACCATCTTCTATTGGTGGTGCACTTACACCTTCAGCTCCCTGATCCCTTCCACCTCCTACACTTTGTTGATCCTCAAGCGGAAGTTCACCTCTAACCTCTGCCTCTCTTTGTATGCGTTCTTGCGCTTGTTGCATCTCAGCCTCACCTTGGTTCAACTCTTCTCTAGTTGCTTTTCTCCTCCTTTGCATGTTTGCCATGTCTTTGCCCAATTCAAGCCGTTGGGCTCATAACCTACTGAGCTACTGACGATGTCAGGTAGGCTCGGCTATGTAGAAATGAATAGACTTGTTACTCTTCTCTATTTGTGCCCTTCCAGCTCCTCCCACAGCACGAACCTTCGGCTTTTATGCCAAGTTGCGTTCTTGAGTCTCAAAGGGGCAGCTATGGACAGCTGCATGAATGGATATGCAAATTGGTGCAAATTGAAAGTTGACATGTCAATGCATCATGCTTATGACAAGTCGTGAAAAACAATGGGTGACATCAGCACAATTAATCCTAATGCTCCAAATACCCTCTAAGTGTCGGTGTTTGGACCCGGAAATCCATCCGCAAGTGCAGTCTCAGAAGGTGTTTGGAGCCGGGATTGGGGATATTTTGAGATTGAAACATCAAGACCCACCAACCTCCCTAAATTCCTGACAGATTCTTGCTCATCTGAACCCTGAATTCCAAGGTCCCCGCTCTGAAGCTGGGAATCTTCAAGAATTGATACCTGATCTTCAAAACCAACACGGGTTTGTACGAAAATGGCCTATGCCACCAATATTTGGCTGATTTAAGAGGGGAAACTATGATGTTCTATCAATTTTAGAGGTATGCTGGAAAATAGGACTATAGCCGTCCATGTTTGAGTCATAGCCGAAGGACACATACTTGGATGTGCATCCTAGCTGGTAAGGGTTCCATAACCATCTTACGATCCAGTTGTTAAGGGGATAAACCATTAAAGAATCATGCTGCAATGGTTAGGGAAGAAACATCTACAGACCGTTTACTAACTGCGATGCACATCCAAGCTGTCTGCTGTTTCACCGCCCAGACACATGGTTCGCATCTCACGGAAGATCCCAAATCTCCTCGCAAGAAACCGTTGGCTTTTCATAGATAACCTTCCGTAGCGAAAAGCTACAAGAAATAGATAACATATGACATGACGTCTTTATCTTTGTGTGCGCATGTAAAATCATACATACATATATAAATCACATAATGTTTGAAGCATTTGTGAGATTACGCTTAGAGCAGGAATATGCTTCATTTGTCGTTAGCCGTCATCTCCCACAACTGGGGTTGAATCATTGCAACCATTAAAATTGCACAGGGTGATAATAAGCATCCCGGCTGAATGATATTAATTCAGTGAATCTGAAACTAGATAAATATGTCTTATAATGTCAACCCCGGATTAATAAACCATGGTTTATCAATTAGGGGGTACTCCTCCAATAGTCATAATCCAATACTTAAATGGTACCCCCCCAATTAAACAGCCGTTTGGGGTTTATTAATCCAGGGTTGATCATTATAGATGAAACTTGGGGATGATTCCCCATCATTCCAGTGCTCTCCTCGGATGCCAAACCCGTGGCTCTTCATGAACCGCCCAGCGCACAAATGGGATCTCAGTGGCTCCGCATCGGTCAGGGATTCACCAAGGGGAAATACGGCCATCAATGTCCACCCAGCAACCTGACTAACCCGTTGTGAGGTCGCTGGGGTTTATCCAGATTCACCCTCAAAAATGTAGGTAAATCATCTAACATCATCTAACTATAAATGAGCCATGTATACCATAGCACAAGATGCCACGATCCATTTCCACCATTTTCCAAGCCACCGTCAGGAGGCTTATGATTCCCAAGCAGGCGAGGCTGACGCGCCAGCCCCGCATGCCCCACACGGAGGTTTCCTCGAGGAAATATTCGAAATTTCAGGGGGAGAGGGGACCGACTCTTTTGCGGAAGTGATGTGACTTAGGGCCAAATACACGCCAAGATCAGCAAATTCCGCAAAATCGCACCAAGAAAATTGCTATTTATATCTATTTATGGTGAACCACAAACCCATGTAGCAGAAAAAGCTTGAAAAGCTGCACCCAGCCACAAGGTGAGCTGGCAACCGGCAATGACGCTGGATCAAAAATGAGTACTGAAGGCCCTACTGAACATGAAAATAGCTGGCAAGTGAGCGTTCCTCTTGCAGCTATTATTCCGCAGGTCTTGACTCAGCCACATCCCGAAAAGTGGGAGGAATCCTTTTAGGGGGAAAACCATCCCCGACCTCAATGACAGGTCATAAACCGTTTCATAAACCCATATAAAGCCAAGCTAAGGCTCGGAGATGGGAGTGACCATCAAACATGCCAGCACTTGCCCCAAGCTGCTGGAGCAAGACACCTGGAGAATCAGAGGTGGAAAGGCAGACCAGTCGCCTCCAGCCACCTCTACCAGTCGATGGACCATGGGTTCTTGGTGGTTCTTGGTACCACCATGTCCATGTACCATCATTCTTCTGCTAAAAAAATGATAGGAAGAACTTGGTAGAACTTGTGGCGATAGATTCCCCCAGATGGCCACGTACAACCTAGTTTCAACTAGTACTTGGCTCGTTGATAAACCTGGTCAAGTTACATGGCATATGGATGTACATGGTGCATGGTCATCTATCAAGGGGATTCCAAAAATGGGTGACCTGAAGCCCGCTGGAAAATATGAGTTGTTGATCATTCCGATTGTCCCAATTTTTTGTAAACACCCAGTTCAATACCAAATTCTGATGGTCAAATATGGTCAAATCCCATTCTTCTCCCATTTCAACCAATGATTTGTCCATATGTTTCCCCAACAAGCCATATTAAAACTATATGAAAACCGTGCAAAACCGTCATTTTTCATGTGGATTCCATTTCGAACAGCGCCTGCGGATGACCGGATGACCCTCCCAGCCTTTCCAAAGGTGGCTCCACAGTTGGTAGAGGTCGTCAAATCGGCGACCATCGACTGGACCACCGGCACCTTCAGCGTTGGGGAAATCTGCTGGAAACCTCTGGTTTTTGACATCTTTTTTTTACCCAGTTCGACTGGGGGATGGGTATGAATCTACTAGAAAATCTATATAATGGGCTTTCTATAGTTTTAGATGCATTCAGTCCCAATATATCCACTGACTATTCAGAAAGTATATTATCCTTTGGTTATCTAACATTGACATAGACCCTGAAAATTGCCAAGGTTTGGCGCAAACCAATCTTCCAACCCCCAATATGTGCAGGGTCTATGCAGGGGGTTCTGAACAGTTTCACTTCAAAATATCAACGGGGTAAGGAATGAAATACAGATTTGAAAAATATCGCAGACATTTAAGATCCAATGAACATCCTGAGAATTATGATGAGAGCACCTTCAGCTATGACTCGCATGCACTGCAATGAACAATAGAACATGTGTGAATCAGCCAAAAGTTGTCAATATGCCAAGACACGATCATAGCTAAGGCTGCCCCATTGAGTACCTCACATGGGACGACTGGGCTTTCCAGACAGCTTCGATCAAGTGACCGGGATATGTTAAGTAAATCTCAATGGTATGGATGGCATGGATCTATATACACTACTTGGATGCATGTCCAAGTTCTTCAACATGTCCGGACATGATAACCTCAGAGTGAGAGCTCCATTGCTACCCCGCGCTTCCAGGCCCGCAGGATCCCAGACCCTCAAGGCAATCATCAAAGTGAAGTGGGAGGTCAAAGCCAGCAGAAAGGTGCAAATTCCCCACAAACCAGCACCAACCTGCCAAGGCTGAACCGGAAAGTCCTACAGAATTCTGCAGAGGGTTGTCAACTTATCGAGTTGAAGAGCCTGGAAGGTCAACTGACAATTCCCTCCAACAAATAACTGGTTTCAAGTCAGCCTGACATCCCTGACATCCTGGTAGGACGATTTCTTGCCAAGGCTGTTTCTGATCAAACTGTGACATTTCCTCTGCATGTCCATCACCTTTGCGGGGGCGTTACCTATGAGCAGTGTTCAAGACCCACACTCTCGTCCCTTTAGATACTGATTGGTTCATAGGGTTTCCCATCATCGACCGTGATGATCCACAATATACCAGTAGTACCGCACAAGGCGGTGGCGGAAGTTTCAGAATAGGAAACCTATAGGAGACGTTGGTTGTTGTGAATCACGGATGGCAGAGCGAATCCACTGATGGACCGAAAGGTGGTTGGAGTTGTGTTTGCTGGAATGGTTGCAATGGTTGCAGTGGTCACCTCACCCACAACTGCTGGATGTAGTGTGATGTACTGCAACTGTAGTTGTAGTTGTAGCGTAGTGGAGTTGTAGTTGTGGTGTAATGTAATTAGTGTAGTGTAGTTGCAGTCATATAGTTGTAGCTGTAGTTGTTTTGTAGTTGTAGTTGTTGTAGTTGTAGTTGTTGTTGTTGTTGTAGTTGTAGCTGTAGTTGTTGTGTGGTTGTAGTTGTTGTGTAGTGTAGTTGTAGTAGTAGTAGTAGTAGTTGTTGTTGTATTGTTGTGTTGTTTTGTAGTTGTTGTTGTTGTAGTTGTTGTTGTTGCTGCTGTTGTTGTTGTAGCTGTAGTTGTTGTACTGTATGTTGTTTAGTTCTAGTTGTTGTAGTTGTAGTTCTAGTGTTGTGTAGTTGTGTAGTTGTGTAGTTGTGTAGTTGTTGTAGTTGTAGTTGTAGTTGTAGTATTGTAGTAGTAGTAGTAGTGTGTTGTTGTTTTAGGTAGTTGTAGTTGTGTTGAGTTGTTTGTTGTTGTTGTTGTTGTTGTTGTTGTTGTTGTTGTTGCTTGTGTTGCTGTGCTGTGCTGTGTCGTCGAAGTTAGGTAGTTAAGTTGAAGTTAGTTAAGTTAGTCAAGTTAGTTAAGTTAATCAGTGTCTACTTTTCGACATCTTCACGTCAAAAAAGGCTCAAAACCCTCAGTTTTTTACACTTTTGACTTCGAAATGTGCTTCGCGCCACAACGGCGTGCACTTTTTCACACTTTTTCGACATCTGAACCTCCAAAAGTGGTCCGAGACCGTCAGTTTTTAACACTTTTGACTTGGAAATGTGCTTCGCGCCACAACGGCGTGCACTTTTTCGACATCTCCACTTCCAAAAGTGGTCCGGACCTGGTGTGTTTTGTACATTTTGACTTGGAAATGTGCTTCGCGCCACAACGGCGTGCACTTTTTCGACATCTCCACTTCCAAAAGTGGTCCGAACCCCTCAGCTTTAACACATTTTACTTCCAAATGTGCTTCGCGCCACAACGGCGTGCACTTTTTCCACATCTCAACTGCCAAAAGTGGTCCGACCATGGTGTGTTTTGTACATTTTGACTTCGAAATGTGCTTCGCGCCACAACGGCGTGCAATTTTTCATCTCTCATCTGGCCAGCTGGCTCCGCACCCGCCGCTTTAGCGAGCCTACCTTTCGACCCTCCGGAGCCCCAAATCATTGGAAAAACACAGTGTTTCGCGACTTTCCTACCTTTTCGCGCATCTGCATCTTCTTTCTTCTGATCTTTTCTATTCTGACTCTTCTCACCTCTGCTTTTCAACTGTCCATATTGTCGGAAGTTTCACTTCTAAACTTCCTTCGGTTAGATATTATAACAACATTGCAGTATTTATATATATATATCATATATCATTATATATCCATTATATAATATCCTATGATCGTCACGCAACAGTGGTTTTGAACACCGCTCATACGACAGATCCATTATTTTATTGTGCCCCATAGAAGTAATGTTTTGCAGCCCCAAACTGTGGAAAGATCCCTGTTACTCCCCTGATTCTATCGCTTCCATTCCCATCATGAATAGCCAATTCATGTTACCCTGACTCTGGTGATTTAAGATAGCCGTCCAAATAACCTGTTTGTGGGTGACATGATATGCATACAGTAGCTGTAGCTATCAGACATTACCATTTTCCTATGTTGGATTACCACTTCTTTAGGATCATCCGACTTAGTGTTACGATCCGTGGGATGATGCTCGCAGCAGAGGTGGAGAAAAACAAAACATCTGAATTCCGAGTGTCTATCATGTGCTCAGGAAACTCTGATTGTAGACTGGCTCCCCATTTTTCTTGGGAACGTTGATCACCATAGCTCAGCTCACAGCTCCCTCCATTCACCACGGTCCGATAGGTCCCATTCGGTCCCATGGCGAAGAGCAACGCCTGCAGCAGCCACTTCCGTGAGGCTCCGCTATCAACGAAGTTCCCCCACAAAGGCCCAGTCACGGCCGTAGCAACTCCTGGACCAAGTTCTGTTCAGGGGGCCATAGATGGCGAATCCCGCTGTGGCAAACGCGTGAAAAGTGCACTCCAAAAATGGTTTTATAAGATGTTAAGATTGAGTTCAACATGTTCATGTCATCTTAAGTGGAACAGAAATAGATACAGTATACAGATATATATGACGGTTTGTCAAAATGTCTGTTCCCGGTTTTGTTGATAAATCGCAATTCCATGCGTGCCGCCTCATGTTTGCCTTTAAAAACATGACCTACCTTGATGACGTGAAAACGTGGAAATTCTTCGTTACCTTTGGAAATCTTTCTAAAACCACAGGAATCGGCTAACGCGCGTCGGTTTTCATTCGCTGTCGCTGGTACTATCTCCTGAACTGTGTGTCTCTGTGTGTGTGCCTCTCTGAATGCAATATGCTTCTTGACATGCCTCCTGATCAACGCTGTTTCCTTACTGTAAGCTACAAAAGTGTGAACATGGCTGTGCCTCTGAATGGGCTGCGGGTGGACCGGGCATGTATTTGCAATTTTCGCTAGCGCGTTGCTAGCGGCGATCTAGCGCGTAAAATACGTAAAAAATCGAAAATTTGGGAATATGTGGAAACTGACAGACTTGTAAGAAAAGCTGGCAAGACATTCACGACATGGAGGCCATGGCTGTCAATCAAACCTAGCGCAAACCTAGCGGGTTTGCTAGCGCTGCCTTGCAGAATTGCTGAATTTAGTTGCGTGCCGCCTCATTACGAAGAGGAAAAAACAGTAGACCCAGATGAATTATCAACAACCAATACTAAACTTCTAAACAACTATTTTTGACAAATGGTCATATATATATATATATATATGTGTGTGTGTGTGGGTATGTGCGACCTTTTTTTTTCTTGACTTTTGGCATTGATGGTAATTACCGGCAGGATTCAACTTATGTAAATGATACCTGTGGACAAATTGAAAGAAACCGAGAAAACTCAAGTGAGATCACGACCCAGAGGTCATGCCGGCATTGAAATCCTTTATCGGCTGACAAATTCTCAACTAGAAGTTCGCTTCTTTCGTGCGAAGCGAATTCAGAATTAATCTCGCCAACTTGTCTACGATTGACTGGTGTTCACCGTGAAAATCAGGACAAATTTAAGATCTCTGCCTTTTTGTCACTGGCCAGCATGTATCCAGCATCTTTCTAGAACATATAGGGGGTTCCCATATATAATACACAATTTTAATATAATGCGCAATTTAAAGGGATTTATTAACCCCGAGCCGTTTAATGTTATGAGTTTCAATGGGGGTTCCCTTTGAAAATTGGGATCCAGTCATGGGTTAAAATAACCCATCTTTGCCTTGAGACAATGCAATCATCGCTAGCCTCCGCGGGGCGATTCCCCTGCAGGTCAAACAATAAGACTAAGAAAAAGGTGGTGGTGGCAGATTCGTACATATACATATCATATGTATAATATCTGCCGACCCCTGCCGCCAGCAGGGGGAGCGCGTTAGAGGAGGACTGACTAGGGGCTGTCGCCCGCAAGCCGGCCCGTCCTTCAGGACCGTCCTTTTTGAGACTGGCGAAGGCGCCGTTTTTGAATGTTTGTGACGGCCGGAAAGGGCGCGTTTTTGAAGGTTTGACGGCTGGAAGAGAGCTAGTTTTCTTGTAGGTTCAGAAAGCAACGTTAGGCAGTGGGAGCGGTTGCCCGGAGGCTCGGTCCGTCCTTCAGGGCCCTGCTGTTTGGGCGTGGCGGAGGCGCCGTTTGTGAGCCTTGACGGCTGGAAGAGAGCTAGTTTTGGAGCCGTTGCCCGGAGGCTCGGTCCGTCCTTCAGGGCCCTGCTGTTTTGCTGTGGCGAGGGCGCCGTTTGTGAGCCTTGACGGCTGGAAGAGAGCTAGTTTTCTTGTAGGTTCAGAAAGCAACGTTAGGCAGTGGGAGCCGGTGCCCGGAGGCTCGGTCCGTCCTTCAGGGCCCTGCTGTTTTGCTGTGGCGAGGGCGCCGTTTGTGAGCCTTGACGGCTGGAAGAGAGCTAGTTTTCTTGTAGGTTCAGAAAGCAACGTTAGGCAGTGGGAGCTGTTGCCCGGAGGCTCGGTCCGTCCTTCAGGGCCCTGCTGTTTTGCTGTGGCGTGGGCGCCGTTTGTGAACCTTGACGGCGCGTTTTTGAAGGTTTGACGGCTGGAAGAGAGCTTGTTTTCTTGTAGGTTCAGAAAGCAACGTTAGGCAGTGGGAGCCGTTGCCCGGAGGCTCGGTCCGTCCTTCAGGGCCCTGCCGTTTTGCTGTGGCGAGGGCGCCGTTTGTGAACCTTGACGGCTGGAAGAGAGCTAGTTTGGGAGCCGTTGCCCGGAGGCTCGGTCCGTCCTTCAGGGCCCTGCTGTTTGGGCGTGGCGGAGGCGCCGTTTGTGAGCCGTGACGGCTGGAAGAGAGCTAGTTTGGGAGCCGTTGCCCGGAGGCTCGGTCCGTCCTTCAGGGCCCTGCTGTTTTGCTGTGGCGAGGGCGCCGTTTGTGAGCCTTGACAGCTGGAAGAAAGCTAGTTTTCTTGCAGGTTCAGAAAGCAACGTTAGGCAGTGAGAGCCGTTGCCCGGAGGCTCGGTCCGTCCTTCAGGGCCCTGCTGTTTTGCTGTGGCGAGGGCGTTGTTTGTGAGCCTTGACGGCTGGAAGAGAGCTATAGCTATAGTTTTCTTGTAGGTTCAGAAAGCAACGTTAGGCACTGGGGGCCGTTGCCCGGAGGCTCGGTCCGGAGGCTCGGTCCGTCCTTCAGGGCCCTGCTGTTTTGCTGTGGCGAAGGCGCCGTTTGTGAGCCTTGACGGCTGGAAGAGAGCTAGTTTTCTTGTAGGTTCAGAAAGCAACGTTAGGCACTGGGGGCCGTTGCCCGGAGGCTCGGTCCGTCCTTCAGGGCCCTGCTGTTTTGCTGTGGCGAAGGCGCCGTTTGTGAGCCTTGACGGCTGGAAGAGAGCTAGTTTTCTGGTAGGTTCAGAAGGCAACGTTAGGCACTGGGAGCCGTTGCCCGGAGGCTTGGTCCGTGCTTCAGGGCCCTGCTGTTTTGCTGTGGCGAGGGCGCCGTTTGTGAGCCTTGACGGCTGGAAGAGAGCTAGTTTTTTTGTAGGTTCAGAAAGCAACGTTAGGCAGTGGGAGCGGTTGCCCGGAGGCTCGGTCCGTCCTTCAGGGCCCTGCTGTTTTGCTGTGGCGGAGGCGCCGTTTGTGAGCCTTGACGGCTGGAAGAGAGCTAGTTTGGGAGCCGGTGCCCGGAGGCTCGGTCCGTCCTTCAGGGCCCTGCTGTTTTCTGTGGCGAGGGCGCCGTTTGTGAGCCTTGACAGCTGGAAGAAAGCTAGTTTTCTTGCAGGTTCAGAAAGCAACGTTAGGCAGTGGGAGCCGTTGCCCGGAGGCTCGGTCCGTCCTTCAGGGCCCTGCTGTTTTGCTGTGGCGAGGGCGTCGTTTGTGAGCCTTGACGGCTGGAAGAGAGCTATAGCTATAGTTTTCTTGTAGGTTCAGAAAGCAACGTTAGGCACTGGGGGCCGTTGCCCGGAGGCTCGGTCCGTCCTTCAGGGCCCTGCTGTTTTGCTGTGGCGAGGGCGTCGTTTGTGAGCGTTGACAGCTGGAAGAGAGCTAGTTTTCTTGCAGGTTCAGAAAGCAACGTTAGGCAGTGGGAGCCGTTGCCCGGAGGGTTCCATCAACTATGCACGTGCCAGTGGTTGGTGGAACACTCCTTTCCGTTGGGAGTGCGATGAGTTACTTGAATTCGGCCGGAAGCTTTTGTTGAATGCACCACCGCGCTGCATGTCGGACACGTGTGCGTATGCGTGCGACCTGCAAGCAAGCCATTTGCAACGCAAAATTTGTGGCCGCAACCATCACCTCGGCGGTGATCGATTTGTCCTGTTGCCACTTTGCTTTGCACAGATTTGGCGCAGTGTGGGCAGATGTATGTGTACAGTTGTGGCGTAACCGTGTCAGGCCCGACAGCAAGCTGCTGGTTCGATGAGTGGGCAGTGTCCGTTTTGGGAGCTTCTGCTCGCGTGGAAGTTTGTCTTGCTTCGTGTATTTCCTGAATTTCCTTGCGAACGTCCTCTAGGATTGCTGCGTGACGGTGGCGGGTTTCGCGTTGGCGCAAGCGGGCCAGGCGTTGATTCGTGCGATGAGCAAGACGGCAAACGAAGGCAAAGGCTGTGCATGCGTTGCATACTTGTGTGCCGTCTTGAGTATATTCACGCTACCCTGCCTGGGGTCGGCGGCAGGGGGCGTAGCCCCTTAATTTCGGCTCCGCCGGCTCCCCACGAGTGGCTTGCCCTACGAGCGTCCCAGAGCGACTAGAGCTCTAAGGTGAGGCGCGCCCCCAACCGCCGACCCTCCGACGCCGGGCCCCGAAAAACACCAAAAAATCCTTCAGGAGGGTGGGGGAGAGCTTTTTGGCCGGGATCCGGGTCGCTCATAAGCGTCTCCAAGAGCATTCCCCCCCCCCGTTTTGAGGGTACCTAAAATCGGGAAAAAGCGCCGTTTTGACACATTTTTCGGACGATTTTTCGCTTTTCGAAAGTCACAAAATGCTGTAAATTACAGCATTTTTGCGTTTTAACATCTTTTGCGGGGGCCATGCAAAAACGTAGAAAATGCTGTAAATACCAATACTTTTTGGACCCAAGATGCACAAAACACCGCAAATACCAGTGTTTTTGAAAGCCAAGCAAAAAAAACACTGTAAATTACAGCATTTTTGGCGTGTTGATCGCAAAAACTGCTGGTATTCACAGTGTTTTTGCAATTTCAAGAAAACGTGGAAGGCACGAAACACTGTAAATAGCGGTGTTTTGGCCACTTTTGGACGCCAAAACGCTGGTATTTACGCAGTTTTTTGCCCGTGGCGGCGCCAAACCCCTGTAAATTACAGCATTTTCTTCCCTTTCTGAACCGATTTTTGCCTTGATGAACGGAAAAAACGCTGGTATTTACGCGTTTCCCAAAAAATCGAAGATCGTGACGTGAACGAAACCCTGTAAATAACAGTGTTTTAGCCACTTTCGGGGACTAAAACTGTGGTATTTACGCGGGTTCTTGCCATCTGACAGCGCAAAATGCTGTAAATTACAACACTTTGTGCGCTGTTTATGTTCAATTTTTTAAACTGCGATGCTTTCACCTGTTCTTTGCCTTCTTCCACAAGAAACAATGTTGCAGATTGAAACTGGAAACAATGTTGCAGATTGAAACTGGACGACAGCGTGACCCGAAAGAAAGCTGGAGGGAGGAGTCGCACAGAAGCTTTTACACACACAGGGGCTTTTACACAGAGAAGTCTTTACACAAAGGAGCTTTTTACGCACAGAAGGTTTTACACAGCGAAGTCTTTACTCTAAGGAGCTTTTGCACACAAACGTCTAGGAGCCTTTACACACAGAAGCTTTTACACGAAGAAGTCTTTACACAGAGGGGTTTTTACACACAGACGCGTTTGCACACAGAAGCTTATTTTACACAGAGAAGCCTTCACACAGAGGAGCTTTTACACACAAAAGCATTTACACACAGCAGGCTTTTACACACACAGGGGCTTTTACACAGAGAAGTCTTTACACAAAGGAGCTTTTTACACACAGAAGGTTTTACACAGAGAAGTCTTTACTCTAGGGAGCTTTTGCACACAAATATCTAGGTGCTTTTTCACACAGAAGTTTTTACGCGAAGAAGTCTTTACACAGAGGGGTTTTTACACACAGACGCATTTGCACACAGAAGCTTTTACACAGAGAAGCCTTTACACAGAGGAGCTTTTACACAAAAGCATTTGCACACAGCAAGCTTTTACACACACAGGGGCTTTTACACAGAGAAGTCTTTACACAAAGGAGCTTTTTACACACGGAAGCTTTACACAGAGAAGTCTTTACTCTAAGGGGCTTTTTACACACAGACGCGTTTGCACACAGAAGCTTTTACACAGAGAAGCCTTCACACAGAGGAGCTTTTACACACAAAAGCATTTACACACAGCAAGCTTTTACACACACAGGGGCTTTTACACAGAGAAGTCCTTACACAAAGGAGCTTTTTACACACAGAAGGTTTTACACAGAGAAGTCTTTACTCCAAGGAGCTTTTGCACACAAACGTCTAGGAGCTTTTTCACACAGAACTTTTTACTCGAAGAAGTCTTTACACAGAGGGGTTTTTACACACAGACGCATTTGCACACAGAAGCTTTTACACAGAGAAGCCTTTACACAGAGGAGCTTTTACACACAAAAGCATTTACACACAGCAGGCTTTTACACACACAGGGGCTTTTACACAGAGAAGTCTATACACAAAGGAGCTTTTTACACAAGAAGAGCTATTGAATTTCTCTTCTGGGATCATTGGGAAACAAATCCTGGCCGGGAGCCTTTTGGA